GTTAAATGCGGCAGATGAGCCTCAGTGTCCGAGAATCTCTTCTGCATAAAACAGGTTCTGACGTGATATCAGCATCATATCATTACTAGCGATCCCTCCCTCCCTCCCTCCCTCCCTCCATCTCTCCCTCCCTCCCTCCCGTCCCCACCAAAGTAGCTTCATAATAGTAATAATAACAATCCTTGCATTTGATGCAGCGCCTTATCACACCTTCGAGACGTCTCAAAACGCTTCACAGAATATTTCGCCCACAAAATACACAGTCACTCCACTTTACAGTATATCCTGTGAGGCGCTTTGAGACGTCTCAACGACGTGATGAGGCGCCGTGTCAAATGTAAGGATTATTATAACAACAGCAGCAACAAATGACATTTACATGGCAACTTTCATGTCAGGAGGACGACCCCAGGCGCTGGACAGTCAGGGATTTGGACCCGAGCTGGAGGGTTAGGATCAGGAGGGGGTGGAGGGCAGGTTGGGGGGGGGGTAACCGAAGGCGTCGTCGAAGAGGAGGGTCTTGAGACATTCCTTGGAGGCGAGAGACGGAGCGAGGCGAAGGGACTGTGGGATGATGGAGTTCCAAAGGGGTTAAGTACGACATAAACAGCGGCTACGGCTTCTCGGGTTACCCTACTTTACTACTCTCTGCTACTGTTTATGGTTCAATTATTCCAAGCTGCGGAATTGTTCACCAGGCCCCAGGGAGCCAACGTTTGACTTCACGTCCGATTCGGTTACTCCAGAAAAACGTCACTCTCTTATGAACATTTCATCTCCTACGTTTTTCTTATTGTACTTTACGGCTCTTTTCTGTCCCCCCCCCCCCCCCCCATCCGTCCCGAGCGGAGGAGAGGAGACGACTGTGTTTTTTCAGTCCTCTCTCTCTCCTCGTGGGAGGGGAGGAGCGAGCACCAGCACGGACAGGACGGGGGGAGAGGAGGGGAATGGGATTCAGAGTAGAGAGCTCGAGTGGGGGAGCGAGCACCAGCACGGACAGGCAGACAGACAGACAGGAGAGTGCTGAACAGTCTCCTTCTGTGCTTGTAAAGACGCTGCGGATTCCGCCAAGGGGTTAAAATAGTTGTGGCAACGTTGTGAAAAGGTGTGTGTGTGCGTGCGCGCATGAGCGAGAGAGCGAGTGAGCGAGGAAGCCTGGTGGCTCCCAACACTGGCTGCTCTGTTTCCCCTCCAGCCTGTGGGGTTGAGCTCTGGTGTTGTGGCTGCTGGCCTGGCCTGGCCTGGGCGAGGAGCTTCTGGCTGTATATTTTGACAGAAGTCGTCTACTGTGTGTGGATTCCTGCCTCCGACCCAACCAGCCCGGAGCTCTGGCCAAGACCAAAAGGAATGAATGTTGACGGCTGGTTGCGAGGCTGTGGGATCTCCACAGATCTTGGCGGAGTTTCTGCTCAGACCAGGTCCTCTTGGGAAGAGCGGTTTTCAGAAAACACTTCCCCGGGGACCTCGCGTTCTGGCGTTGGGTGGAGGTTTGGTTTGAAACTTCCTTTGTGGTCTGTGGTACCTTCGTAACCACCTGTCCACCCACCCTCCACCCCCGCACCCGACCGACCGACCGAGTCCACCAATCGACTTGGTACAGAGCCTATCACACCAAGAGGATCTCTCAGTGCGCCTCACAGGAACATGGGATCAGGAGGAGGCCATTCAGCCCCTCGAGCCTGTACCGCCACTCTACTAGATCATGGCTGATCTGTACCTCAACCCCAATTACCCGCCCTTGCCCCGTGTCCCTTGATGCCCTGACCTCACAAATATCGATCCACCTCAATCTTGGGAAACGTGAATAGATCCACAGCCTTTTGGGGGAGAGAGAGTTTGTGATTTCCATCGCCTTTGTGTGATAAACTGCTTCCTGAGTTAGCTCCTAAATGGCCAAGCTCTAATTTTAAGATCCAGACCCCCGCACCCACCCCACCCCCCCCTGTTCTGGATGCTCCCACCCACCCACCCACCCACCAGAGGAAATAGTTTCTCTGTATCGGTGGTATTCCTGAATTAGCGTTACATAACCGGCCCACGCTCCCTGCAAGGTGAATCAGGAATAATTATTGGAAAGTTGGTTGTTTGCTTGTGATGTGTTGACAGCCTTAAGTACCGTTTAAGAGTGAATCGAGCCGGCGACTTGTGGCTGTTGGAGAGTGTTGACAGACAGGGCTCTTAAAGCCGGGTCTAAACACCGGCAGTAAATGTGTCTGGAAGTCACCCTGTAATGTTGTCAGGTATAAACCCTCTAATCTCGCAGATTGTGATGGACGGTTTTGAAGCCGCTGGTTTAAGGCACGGAAAGACATGCTGTAGATTTTCCTCGCTGACGCCCAGAAGCCCCGGATTCCGCCCGGTCCTTAGCCTTAAGAGCCATTGTTTCGCTCGCAAAGCACACGATCCACTTTACAGTATATTCTGGTGAAGCGCTTTGAGACGTCTCGACCCTGGGATACGGCGCTGTATCAAATGCGAGGTTTATAATAATATTACTGTTACCGTCGCGAAACTTCAGATCGCGCGGAAGTTTAGAAATCCCTCGGTTTCGCCCGGCATTTGGAAACCGGGATTTTCCGCAGGTCTTGACGAGAACCAGCCTTAAATTTTGCCTCTTACTCTTTCAAGACAATTGCCAGATCCCAATAAAAGTGACCGGGGAGCTGGGGGTGGGGTGCGTGTGGGGGTGAGGCGGGGGAGTGGGACTGTATAGGCAGCTCTTAACCAGGTTCCTACTTACTGCTCAGTAAACAGAGGTGTGTGTGTGTGTGTGTGTGTGTGGAGTAAGGACACTGCCTAAGGTTTTGTGCTGCCCGCCCGGGAATCGAACCTGGGTCCTCTCGCTTGGTGAACTCCCTAACCACTGCCCTACAGGACTCCCAAGGATTAAAGTTGAGACAGTGGAGCCAACAATTCTGTAATATCCCTCACAGATCTCCGCTTAGTGGAGTTCGTAGTCTCGGCTGGACATTGCAATTAGCAATGCTGGTTAGTCAGAGACATGAACCTGTCCGTCCGTCCGTCTGTCCGTCCGTCCGTCCGTCCGTCCGTCTGTCTGTCTGTCTGTCTGTCTGTCTGTCTGTCTGTCTGTCTGTCCAGGTGGCTGTTGAAGATCCCGTGGCGTGACTTGAAAAGAGAAAGAAGTTTCTTCTCTCTCCCTGTGTTCTGGTCAACAATCCCCCCACCTCCCGCCCCAAATAAAATTGGTCATTTGTTTTGTGGCGGTTTGTGGGATGTTGCTGTGTGCACATTGGCTGCCCATATTTGCCGACAAATACAGTCACTTTCTAGGAAAACTCTGTGAAGTGCTTTGAGACATAATGACGCTTACGACATGAAATGGTGCAACAACGGATGCAAAACTATTAAAGTTTCTGCTCAGTTTTGCCTATTCACTCCCTACTGAAATGTATTTTCTTCAGTAAACAACTTTGAGGTCAGTGATTTGCCTCACTTTCTCTCTCTCTCCCCCTCTCCCCTCTCTCTCTCTCTCCTCCCGAGTCTCACTTGCTACTCTCTCCGTTAGTTGGAAACGTGAGTGCTAGTTTAGCTTGGTTTGGTTTAGTTTAAAACTAACTAATGGATCCTTCATCCGTGACTGCAACTGACATAATCTGTCAGCTCAGCTCCTTGAAATACCTTTTTTTTATCCCGGACACTCTCCTTTTGTGCTGCCTTGGCTCAGTTGGAAACGTTCTCGCCTCGATGTCAGAAGGTTGTGTGCTTGAGCTCAGTCTGGGCTCAATTTCAGTGCAACGTTGCTGGCTGGTCTGGGTGAGTGGGAGCTGGTGCGTGTGTGTCTGTGTGTGTGTGTCTGTGTGCTGGATTGTCGGAGGTCCTGTTAAATTAAGGTCTTGTCCTCACAAAAACACGAGCGATCGAGAAATTCCCAAACCGGGAAAACCGCCGGACGCAATTCGTCGAGGGCCGACGCAGAGCACCTCCTTGTGTGGCCGGTTAATAATAATAATAATAATAGCGACAGTCGTCGTCGTAATAATTGCAATCCTCTTATTTGATACTGCGCCTTATCACGTCTTCGAGACGTCTCAACGCTCTTCACAGGATATACGGTAAAGTGGAGCGACGGTGTATTTTGTGGGCGAAACGCGGCAGCCAGGCATGGCGGTGGGAACGCTCGCCTCGCAACACATCTTGAGACGTCTCGAAGATGCGATAATGTGCCACATCAAATGCAAGGATTATTATTATTATTATTATTAAGTTTGCCACAAGATGGGCAGCTTTGCTTTACTCCCGTCCCATCCCGTCCTGTCCTGTCCCTCGTGACACATGCCTGATAAAAATACTCAGGTTGCCATAGGGACCGAGCACACTGTTAATCCTCTGTGATGTTTTCCCAACAGGAAATTAGAAACCAGGAGGGGAAGTAGCTACCCTACATGGTAGATTCAGTGGAAAAGGGGACCTTGTCAATAGGCCCAGCGGCTCGCTTATTTAAGATATTTAATACCCTGCTTTACCCATTTCCTACCGTCCCCGCTTTGTGTAGCTTTCAGGCAGGAAAAGAGACTCGTGGAGTCATTCACGCAGTTTGTGGAATAATAAACAGACCCTGGGTGGTCTCGTGCCAGGGGCGCAGTGACAGATTGCCCACCCTCGCTCGGTTTGAGATCATCATCATAACAATAATAATCCTTGCATTGGATATCATGTCGTCGAGACGTCTCAAAGCGCTTCACAGGATATAATGTAGAGTGAATTGTGTATTTTGTGGGCGAAGCCGGCAGCCAATCATACTGGGTAACATCCCACAAACAGCCGTGGATTGAGTGACCAATTTTTTTGGACGGGATTATTACCCCTGGAAAGTGATCTGCAAATCAACTAATAACTGGGTTCCTGTGTGTGTGGGGGTGGGGGAGAGGCTGTGGGGAGAGGCTGTGGGGGAGAGGCTGTGTGTCGCTGTGTGTCGGACACTATAAGGCGCTGTGAGTAACGTCCCGTCTGTTTGTCTGTGTGTTGTCTCCTCAGGTTCTAGATGTGAAGCAATCCCATGATGCAACATGCGTCCCCTCCACCCTCACTGACCATAATGGCATCTCAGAACGTGCCCCCTCCTTCCTACCAAGAGAGCCAACAGGTAGGCAACGCCACTCAGACCCTAATAGGGTTACACAGCGCCCCTCACCCAGGATAGCGTCCCAGAGCGCTTGACAGAGGAGGAGCCGGGGGACGGTGGGAGGTGACCATAGGCACAGTTGAAGAGGAAGGTCTTCAGGTGCGATCTGAAGATGGGGAAGGAGGGGTAGGGAGGGGGAGGGGGGGAGGGAATACCACAATGACTTAACCTAAGTCTCTTTGTTCTTCGCACGTATTATTCGGTCCGCGAGGCTTTAAGGCTAAACGATTTATAACAAGCAGCCAAAGCGAAAGTTTGACCCCAACTCCAGCCCCAGCCAAGCCACCGAGATCTCTGGGGTGGGTGGGGGTGTGTGTGTGAGTGAGCAGAAACCCTGATATCTGGTGTGGGTGCGACGGAGAAGAATGAAATGAACCCTGTGGAGATGTAAGAGCCGGGAGTACAAAGGAATGTAGAATGGGGTTAGTTAAGTGTGAAGAGTCCAATTTAATTCACACTGAAACCGGGGTTTAAGAATTTATGGCGTTTGAAGGAGCTGGTGATGATAGGGAAAAACTGCCTCATCCTCCTCACTCCCCGGAGAGGCTGACAGACTGGCTAATAAAACAGGTTTGAGGCTGGAGTCCTGCGAGGAATATCCTGAGGAAGCGGGGGGTTTGAGGGGGGAGGGCAGTGGAGAGAGCAGCTTTACAGTCTTCGCGACCACCCCCCCCCTCACTCCTCATGCCATTTCCGGAATTAGTTAAGCAGGATGCGCCCGTCCAGGGAGAGAGAGAGAGAGAGAGTGCATTTCATTCAACAATCTATCTCTGGGGTTTCCACGTGTAGTTGGGATGCGTGGAATTCTCTGCTTGGATTTGGAGACTCTTAAACACGGTGAATGGGTTTCCGCACATGTCAGACCCGCACACGGTGTGGGAAGAGGCTGTGGGGCAGTCAGACCCTAATACAACAGCAACAACAACAACGTGCATTTACACAGCGCCCCGTTCTGGGTGTGTTGCATTGTCCTGTGGCGCTATTCTCTCTCTCTCTGTCTCTCTCTCTCTCTCTCTCTCTCTCTCTCTCTCCCGGTGTCCTGGCCAACAAATCCTCCAAATAAAATAAAATTGGTCACTCGCTCCATCCATGGCTGTTTTGGGGGACATTGCTGTGTGAAAATTGGCTGCCGAACTTCACCCACAAAATAAAGAGGTCCGAGAGGCTGGGGAAGGGTCCGAGGCTACACTCTGCAGTGAAGTACCATGGAGGGCTTTGAGACGTCCTCTCGAAGTGAAAGGAACTGTGTCAAGTGCGTGGATTGTTGTCGTTGTTACGGCGGGAATGAACGTGAGAGCCGGTGATGGGAGCTGGTTGTCTCCTGTTCAGTGGCTGTGCTCACTGCCCCCACTCCTAGCGCCCGGCGTTGTGTAGGTGGCAGCAAATAAATTGGAGCCCATTTAGCTCCTTATGTTAAATGCTCACAGGGTGCAGAGCATGTAATAGGATTAAGAGGGAATATTGTGAGGCAAGAGCGGGTTTAAACACTTAATGTGAGGATTTCATGCCTATTTGAGCTCCACTTCAGCCCCTTAATCTCCGCCGCTTTGTTCTGTCATGTATAAAATCTTTAGATGTCGCTGGGATCGAGCCTGTGATGGGGTGGGTTTTAGAGGCAAAGATAAAAACGAATTGATAACATTTTGGAGTTTCTAATTTTTTTGCTCAGTTTGTCGCCGTTTCCTCCCCGACACCTCCCCCCCCCCCATAATAATAATAGTCCTCTCATTTGATACGGCGCCTTATCACGTCTTCGCGACGCCTCAGAACGCTTCACAGGACACACTGTAAAGTGGAGTGACTGTATTTTTGTGGGTGAAACGCGGCGGTAACAATTACGCACAGTAGTCAGGGAATGAGTGACCAAATTATTCATTCGTTCGTTCGTTCGTTCATTTGTTTGTTTGTTTGTTTACTGTCCCTGGAAAACGATCCACCAATCGACTAACAACCGGGTTCCTAATTGCTGCTAGGTAAACAGAGGCGTGTGCGTGTGTGTGTGGAGTAAGGAAACTTGCCTAAGGTTTCGCGCCGTCCTGCCCCGGAATCGAACCCAGGACATCTCGCTTGCTAGACCACTGCGCTAACCACTGAGCTACGCTAAAAGTTCTGAGCCTGGTGCACAGTAAACCCGACATGGCAACTCCTTACTGAGTAAACTCCCTGGGACAGAACGACGCACAAGACAGAGGATATTGGAGACTGTTGGAGGTTGGGCTCTGTCAGCGGGACATAATGACGGGGATCTTTTTCCATCCACAGATGACTGCCACTCCTCAACAGCCATCCAAGACCCAACCCGGGCACCTCCCAACATCATCAGCCGCTGCTACCCCTGTCCCCAACGTCCCCCTCGACCCACAGGCCCAGCTGGAGTCTGACAAGAGAGCAGTGTACAGGTAACTCAACAACAACAACAACTCGCATTGACACAGCGCCTCTCACCTCATGCAAGGCAGTGTCCCAAAGCGCTTGGGGAGTAACGAAGGGTGGGGAGAAGGAGAAGGAGTCGGGGCATTTGGGGGAGGATGGGGTTGGTCAGGTCATGGGCTGCAGCCCAAAGCGCCCGTAGAGACTGGGAGCAGAGCGATCAGCAGAGCTAATCAATACCCTGAAGAGCGGGGTGGTGGGGGGGAAGAGAGAATGAGAGAGAGAGACTGAGATCTGCTTGAAAGCCTAGTGGAGAGAGAGAGAGAGAGAGAGAGAGAATTCTGAATTGCTGTCAGCCTAGTAATGGTTTTATTTCAGGAGCAGACTGCCAGTCGTCTTATCGTCCTGGGGAATATATTTATGTTTCTGTGCACCAAGGTTGCCTGGTGTGTGAAGTGTGAGCGGCTATATTTAGACGCCCCGTGTTCTATCTTTGAAGTCAGTGCAGTCATTTTTAGATAAACCCCTCAGTGGAAGTGACTATTAAAAAATACACTGTATAAAGTCGCTTCTTTCACAAAGTCTGAAGCCAGTCAACGCAGCGAAATAGTTTGGGACCAGTGTATAACTTCTGATTGTAATAATAATAATCCTTGCATTCGATGCCGTCCTTCGATGAGATGTTAAACCCAGGTCCCGTCTGCCTGTTCAGGTGGATGTTAAAGATCCCGCGGGGCTATTGGAAACGTTTCTCTCTCTCTCTCCCGGTGTCCTGGCCAAGAGTCCCCCAAATAAAATTGGTCGCTCACTCCACGGCTGTTTGGGGGACATCGCTGTGGGCAAATTGGCTGCCACATTTCTGGATAAAATCCCATCCGCCCCCTGCTGCTGCTGCTGCTGCTGCATGGATTAGGGGGAGAGGAGAAGAGAGAGAGAGTCTTGAGTTCTGCTTGGAGGTGTAGTGACTGTGTATTTGTAGGCGGAACTACACTTTTCAGACAGTGAGGCACGGAGCGGGATTCTGGGGAAGGGCAAAGCCTCCTTTAATTGAGTCAACCGCCACTACTTGTGAAATGGCAACACAAACCGCTTGTGTTGGGGGCTGTGCTGGGATTAACGTTGGGAAACACAATCTTGAAAGGATTATCGAAATTATTCATTCAGTGTCCGACTTGTTAAACCCGGCGCTGCCGAATGTGCTGGATTAGCCCATTGCGCAAATTAATTTGCATTTTTTTTTTAGCCAGTGTCAAGTCCCCTGTTTTTTTTCATTAGCTGAGCACAGTTATGACCTCCCGGTTTACAGTAAATGTCAACGCAATTTGTGGTGTGTTTTGTGTTCGGCTGCTGGGGGGAAGCTGGAGTGAGACTCGAGTTGAGCCCTCGCTTGAGCGAATACTGGGCGATGTGACATTTTTTAATTCCCCTCTTTCCTCCACACACCCCCCCACCCACCCCCACCCCTCCCTCCCCCACTCCCTCCCTCCTCACTCTCTCCCTCCCTCAAGTCCTGACCTGGGCTGGTTCCAACGCACTTCATAAAAAAGCTGTGTGTGTGTGTTTGTGTGTGTGTTTGTGCGTGTGGGGAGGGGAGAGGAGATGAGGTCAGACCTGGGAGAGATGTGCCTGGTATTTGACTGCCTTATTAATTCTAAGTAATTTGCTGGCCTCATATTGAGCCGGTTCCAGCCGAGCTGAGCGGCTGTAATTGATCGGGGGGTTGTTAAATGGCAGGAGACATTTGTTGACAGTGGAAGGGTTCATAAGGTGCGGAATTTCATAACGCTATAATACTATCTGGAATTTACCATTCATAACTCCGTGCTGATTCCCCAGGGAAGATTTTCCCCGGGAATGTATTAAAGTGGGATCAGACGGAGCGATTGTAATTTTGCAGACATCGTTCGTTTGTTGGGTGTTTGCCTTGTGCACATTGTGGGAACCAGGAAAGACAGAATCTCATCATCTTTTATTTTTTCTTTGTTTTTCTCTTCGGATCTTCTCCCCCTCGCGCTCCTCAAATCCTTCTGGAGTCCTGAGCGGGTAACTTAGCGGTTAGAGCTCTCGCCTTGCAAGCGAGAGGAGCCGGGTTCGATTCCCGGGTAAGACCGGGGCGAAACCTTAGGCGACTTTCCTTACTCCACCTGCCTCTGTTTACCTCGGAGTAAGTAGGAACCCGGTTGTTGGTTGATTGGCAGATCGCTTTCCGGGGGTAATAATCCCTTAAACAAAGACTACCACTAATAATTTGGTCACTCAATCCACCACTGTTTGTGGGACGCTGCTGTGCCCAAAATACACATCAGTTCACTTTACAGTGTATCCTGTGAAGCGCTTTGAGACGTCTTAAAGACTTGGTAAGGCGCTGTGTCAAATGCGAGGATTATTATTGTTGTACACATAATCACGTGAAAACACAACACACAATCACAAATACACTCATTCATAAACAGGCACACGCAAACACACACGCACATACAAACACATACATAATCATACACACGTATAGATACACACACGCGCACACAAACACCTTCGCTCTCATTCATGTCACTGGAGCAAATGCTCAAAAGATTTTAATAAAGAAAGTAAATATAAAATTAAACTCTTTTCCTGAGCATTTTACGGGGAGATGCAGTTAGTATAGAAAATGTTACCTACAGCCTTCAGTCAGTCGCACTCTTACCACTGGCTCAGACGGTTGAGGTTTGAGCCCCCACCTACTTTAGACTGACACCCCAGGAGAGAAACTATTCAGCGTCCCACAGACTGTTTGGAAGAGCAGAGTGGCTCTCCCCATCCTCTGCTGAACAGTCCTGCCCCGCTCCAATTCATCACAAGAGAGATTAATTGGGCATTTATCTCATTGCCCGTCTATGCCACGATTCTGGTGCAGATTAACTGCCGCGTTTGTCTGTCTAAAAGTGGCGACACTTCAAAGTCATTCATCGGGTGAAGAGCTTCGCATGTTTCAACATGACAAACTGCTGTGACAAATGCAAGGAATATTCAGCTACCTTGTCGCTCTAATCAGGTCAATATCTCACTGGCCACAGGCCAGCTGCTCTCTGCCTCCACACTTGGCTTTGGGAGACAAGAGGTTGGATGGAGCAGAGCGAGGAATGTGTGACACAGGGAGGGATTGTTAGCTTGTGAACTTGGAAGGTTTCAGGAGTAATACGTAATAATAATAATAATACTCGATCCTTCAGATTAGATGTTAAATCGACTCTTGCAACTCAGGGGTTAGAGCACTCGCCTCGCAAGCGAGAGAACCCAGGTTCGATTCCCGGTCAGGGCGAAACCTTAGGCAAGTTTCCTCACTCCACGCACACGCCTCTGTTTACAAGCAGTAAGTAGGAGCCCGGTTGTTAGTCGATTGGCGGATCGCTTTTCCGGGAGTAACAAACCCCGCAAAAAATATAATAATTGGGTCGCTCAAGCCACGACTGTTTGTGCGCAGTTACTGTCTCAGGCTGGACCCAGTTGGATATTGGGACAGTTTATTATACATGTGTCCACCTGCTCCGTTTTCCATTGCCCGTTCCCAGCGATAATCCCGATCAACTGCCTGAACGTCCTCACTCGGGTTTCAATTCAATTTAAAGACGCACGAGGTTGACTTGTCTCCATCTCTGATTCTTCTTCCTCCACCTTTCTCCCCGCTCTCTCGCCCCACTCCTCTCTTCCCCCACCTCCCTCCCCACTGTTTCCCCACCCATTCCCCTTCCCCCCCGCAGACACCCTCTCTTCCCGCTGCTGGCCTTGCTGTTTGAGAAGTGCGAGCAGTCCACACAGGGCTCGGAGTGCGTCACCTCGGCCAGTTTTGACGTGGACATCGAGAACTTTGTCCATCAGCAGGAACAGGAGCACAAACCCTTCTTCAGTGATGACCCAGAGATTGACAACCTGGTGCGTTCCTTCTCTTTGGACCTTGATGGCTTTTCCCCCTCTNCCCCCTCACTCTACCCCTCCTTCCCCCTTCCCTCTTCCCCCTCCCTTCCTCCCTCTCCCCACTCCCTTTCCCCCTTCCCTACCTTCTCCCTCCCCCCTCCCTCTCTCCCTTCCCTCTCCCCCCACCCTCACCCCCTCCCTACCCCCTCCCTCTCTCCCCTCCCTCCCCCCCTACCTTCAAACGTATTTCCCATGTAAATGAGGAGCTAAGTGCGAATGTAATAGGCAGTAAAATATTCTCTTTTAGTGGGTCACGGGTCCTCTAATACTTTTTTAATCGCCAAAATTAATCACTATAACTAGATGTTCCATTACAAATGGTCTTGTGGTTTCTCTCTCAGTGGAAACACGACACCATTAACGACCCTTCTCTCTGATTGCTGTTATTAATCTGGAACACAGCAAAGTTCTAGGGAGCTGTGATGTTGTGGCGGTGGTGGGGGGGGAGCAGTGGGAGGGGTGGGGTGGGGGGAACTATGAGGTGGGCAGTTAAGATGCTGTGGAAGTTACGATGTATTGCAAGTTACGATGTTCTGGGATTTGCGATGTTCGTTATCTATTGGACCGTTGGGTGAGGAACTGAGAAGGAAAAGCACTGAACACTGTCCACGGTTCAGACACTCGTGTTTCTCAGACACACACGACTACACGTTTCGGCCACAAAATACACAGTGACGCCCACTTTACTGTATATTTTGTGAAGCGCTTTGAGACGGCTCAACCCTGTATCAAATGCGAGGATTATTATTATTACACATGGTGTGTGTGTGGGGACGTGTGTTTGTGTGTGTGTTTATCTGTCGCTGGACAGTGAGGGATTTGGACCCGAGCTGGGGGTTGGGATCAGGAGGGGTGGAGGGCAGGGAGGGTTGGGGCAGGAGAGTGGTCGAAGGCGCGGTCGAAGAGGAAGGTCTCGAGACGGGCCTTGAAGGAGGAAATGGAGGGAGCGAGGCAAAGGGATTGTGGGATGGATTATCAGAGGATGGGGGGGCAGAGAAGCTGAAGGCCCAACTACCGATGGGAGGGGGACGTGGAGCAGGTCGGAGCCCGTTGAGCGGAGGGAAGGGGCAGGTTGATATGGGGCTAGCAGATCACAGAGGTAGGGGAAGAACAAAGCCATGGAGGGCTTTGAAAGTGAGAACGAGGATCTTGAACTCGATCCTCTGAGAGATGGGGAGCCAGTGGAGCCGGGAGGGGATGGGGGCGATGGGATCATGGGGCCGGGCTGGAGGGAGCCCGGAGCGGGAGTTCATGGGCCGGGTTTAGGCGGTGAGGGTGGGGGTGGATGGGGTGGGGTGGGGGGGGGGTGAAGTGGGGGCGGGGTGGGGGGAAGGTGGGGAAGAGTACAGCCAGAGTGTTGTGAACGGCCTGTCATATTTTATAATTGCTGAGCTTTCTGCAGGCCTGTATGTACCAGAGTAATTAGGAAAGGTCAGCACTTCTCATTATCCGCTAAATCAGGCAGAAAGTGCTGTGCAGTCAATTAATTTTGCATCTGTATTTTTTATGACCTGCTCACTCTTTATATCTGACAGCAGCTCTGTATTAGGACAGATATACTGCAGCCTCGCCCGCAAATGAGAAGATCCGAGCCAATGATCCTCAATAATTGGCAGATTTATTATCATTTCCTCATTCCACACACACACGCACACACACACACACACGTCCTTGTCAGTGTCTTTAGACATTGCCATCAACTTAGGGAACCATCTGCCCGCCATGACCCAAGTTTTGCTTCGATCTGATAGAACTGGGTGCAAGTTCGACCACAAGGTCTCTTGCACTAACCCGCCTGGTTTTGTTGGTGGCGTTCTCACCTCCTGGCCAAAGGGTTGTGGGTTCAAGTTCCACACACACACGGTACCCCTAATTTGAGCTCACATAGTCTAGTTTGAAACCAAAGTGTTGGGGAGTCCCGTAGAGTAGCGGTTAGCACCTCGCAAGCGAGAGGACCTGGGTTCGATTCCCGGACAGGGCGAAACCTGAGGCAAGTTTCCTTACTCCACACGTAAACGCTGGTAAACTGTTTCCTAGCAGTAAGTAGGGACCTGGTTGTTAGTAGATTGGCGGATAACTTTCTGGGGGTAATAATCTCTTAAAACAAAATACGGTCACTCAATCCACGACTGTTTGTGGGGACACTCCTGTGCACGATTGGCTGCTGCGTTTTGCCCACAAAATACACAGTCAATTCACTTCACAGTATAATATGTGAAGCGCTTTGAGACGTCTCGAAGACGTGATGGGGCGCTGTGTCAAATGCCAGGGTTATTATTGTAGCATCTTATCGTGGTCTACATTACAGATGGTGAAAGCGATTCAGGTGTTGCGGATTCACCTGCTGGAGCTGGAGAAGGTGAACGAGCTGTGTAAGGACTTCTGTAACCGTTACATCACGTGTCTGAAAACCAAGATGCACAGTGACAACCTCTTGCGGAACGACCTGGGAGGTCCGTACTCCCCAACGCCCGTGTCCCACAACCTCCCCTCACAGGTAGGGGCCCCGACAGAACAACAACAACGACGACTTGTGTTTATATAGCACCTCTCACTCAGGGTAGCATCCCAGAGCGGGTTTCAACGGGTCTACAGCTCCCAAGCAAGCCATTCGATCCATCGAGGCTGCCCTCGTGATTTACCCACACGAGGCACTTTCTCTAATGTCACTCTCTATTGGTTAGAGCCTCACAAGCGAGAGGGACCTGGGTTCGATTCCCAGGCAGGATGAAACCTTAGGAAGTTTCCTCACTCCACACAAATGCCTTTGTTTACCCCCCCGTTCTTAACCCCCACAGCCCTGCAAATGTTTCCTTTTCAAGTACCTATCCAATTCCCTTTTGAAAGCTGGTATATTCTGTGAAGCGCTTTGAGACGTCTCGAAGACGTGACGAGGCGCTGGATCAAATGCCAGGATTATTATTATTATTATATCGGCTTCCACCGCCCTGTCAGGCATTGCGTTCCAAACCGTAACAACTCTCTGGGTAGAATAAAATGACTACAAATGAGGTGATGTGGGGGTAGGGGGGGGTGTAAACGCAGGAGTGCCGTGGGGGGGGAGTGTGAGGTTGTAGTCTTCGCTGATGGGATTGGGGCCGAGAGCAGGAATCACTGGGGACGGTTTGGGCCGGGATCAGGATTATCATGTTAAACACGACGGGATCAGGCTCTTTGTTTTTAGTGATTAATTTATTGGGTTTTATTGCTGCTGCTCCTCGGTGTGTGTGTGTGTGTGTGTGTGTGTGTGGGGGGGGGGGGGGGGGGAAGGTGGCTGTAGCTGTGGCTGGAGGGTATGTGGGAGTCAGCATCACTCTCCCTCCACCTCCCTCCCTCCCTCCCTCCCTCGCCCGCAAAATACACCTTACAGTGAAGCGCTTTGAGACGTCTCAACGACGTGATAAGGCGCTGCATCAAGGATTATTGTTATTATTTCCTTTCTCCCTCTGTTCTCACCAACCTTTTCTCCATCTCTTCCTCTGTCTCGCTCCCTCCCTCCCTCCCCCTCTCCCTCTCTCTCTCGCCCTCCCTCCCTCCCTCCCTCGCCGGGAGTGAAGTTATAAACAAGGGGAAGGCTTAAAACTCCACTGGAACGACATCCAGTGGGAATGAGTGGGAACAGTTTGGACGCTCTGCCTCTCTCTATCCTCATACCTCTTTCTGAATTACTCGATGTGTTATTTTTCTCCATCTCTCCCTCTCTCTCTCTCTCTCTCTCTCTCTCACTCTTCAAACCCGCAGTATCTCTCTCTCTCTCTCTCCCTCTCCCTCTCCCTCTCTCTCTATCTACGGCAGTGGAGCGTTGCCTCGTGAGATAAATTAGCAGCGAATCTGCATATAAGGGGGCTCGATAATTGCGAGCCGGGCGTCTACTTTGTAATTTATTAGTTCCTATTATTGCGGGTTCCCGTGGCAACGGCTCACAGACGAGGTGATGGGAGAGATGCTGGGATAGGCGGTGATCAAGCTTCCAGACCCAGCAAATTGAGATGCACATTTTTTATCAGCAAATTTTCTGAAATAATAAGCAGGAGGTTAATGAGATGCAAATATAGCCCGTGGCTGATTCCGCTTGTGTGTCTGCGCGTGTTTTTTTTTTGTGTGTGTACTCATCCCCTCCCCACTGCCCGCACCCAACCCCCCCCACACCACCCCCACAACACACACACACACGCGCGCACATATATGCACATACACGCGCATTCACACAAGCGTACGTACGTACATACATACATAGATACGTACACGCTCACACGCATTCTGATTTTTTTGGGGGTGGGAAAAAAGCAATCTAATTAGAACCCATTGGGCAGAATTAATGAGGATTATATTAATCGCTTAAGACAGAAGGCTGGAGTCCAAAGGGCTTGGAGTGTGCGGGAAAGAGCGAGGCGTAGAGAGATAGAGAGAGAGAGAGTGTGTGTGTGAGAGAGAGAGAGAGAAAGTGAAAACTTTGCCCGCAAGCAAATTTGCCGAGTGTCGGAGATAATCGGAGTGTGTTTTTATTCTTGTTAGGAAACGAGTGTTTTTTTTTAATCTTTTGCGTATTGATTTCAGTTCTTGGGATCTGTGTGTGTGTCTCTCTCTCTCTCTCTCTCTCTCTCCGCTCACAGACCCCAGTCAGAGAACGCAACTGTTAGATGCTAAAACGCTCCCTTTCTCTCTCAGTAAATAATGATGATAATAATCTTTGCCTTTGATGCAGCGCCTTGCCACGCCCGGGGAGAATAGCTCAAAAAGCCCCGCACAGGATTATACCGTAAAGTCTCGTGACTGTATATTTTGTGGGCGAAACGCGGCAGCCAATTGCGCACGGCGGTGTCCCACACACAGTGACCAAGCTTGTGAGAGAGGAGAGGGCAGTGGGGTGGTGGGGAAGGATATGTGGTGGTGGTGGTGGTGGGGAAGGGTGTGTGGTGGAGGGGTCAGTTTCCCTCGGACACAGTTGATAGAAACCACATCAGTTAACGCTGTGTCTACACATCGGGTTAATCTGCACCTGGAGGAGGGCACAGTCTCCATCGCGCTCTCACTCCGCGCTCCCTCCCTGGCTCAGCGCCAGCCGCTGGAACCCCAGGCTCTGAACTGCTGCCCGTCTGCGGGATAATAAAATCAATCCTCTTAACTGTGTTTCTCCTGTGACGGTTTAAAGCGATCTGATGAGAGCCGAGGGGCTGGTGCGAGAAAGAGCGAGAGGGGCAGAGAGAGAGAGAGAGACTCTCTCGTGTTCTCATTTAAATTGGAACCAAAGCGAGAATTTTTTTTCCTAATAAAATGTACGAGACCCAGGCGGATTCTTACTGTCATCGAATTGCTTTGAATTTTATTTTTCCTGCACTTCGGATAAGACGTTAGGACCGAGGTCCCGTCCGCCTGTTCTGGTGGGATTTAAAGATCTCGCGGCGCTATTCGAAAAGAGAGGGGAGTTTGTCTCTCTCTCTCTCTCTCTCTCGGTGCCCTGGCTGACAACCCCCCAGATAAAATTGGTCGCTCGCTCCACGGCTGTTTGTGGGACACTGAGGTGCGCAAATCGGGCTGCCGCCCTTGCAAACAAAATACACAGTCACTCCACTTTACAGTAAACGAGTGAGTGTGTGTGAGTGAGTGTTTGAGCGAGTGGGAGTGTGAATAGGTATGTGTGTGTGTGAGTGAGTGTGTGAGTGAGCGAGTGAGTGAGTGAGCGCGAGTTGTGCACAACCTGACCGTGACCTTGTGGTTTCCTCGTGTAGAACTCCCCGACGTCCCTGACAGTCACCAACACCATGAACTCACAGGGCATTGTGTTGCCCACATCGGCCCTGCAGCCGGGAAACACTGCCATGGCCACACAGGTGGTGACAGGTAAGGCTGTGGGGGACGCGTTTCAATTGTTTCTCTCCCATCTCTCGACCTCTCGCTTCCCCGGTCTCTGGTCTCTGGCAACTCGCTGTTATTCCGAAGAGTATTGGGCGCAGGTTTGGCAAGAGCCAAGACTTGGTGGTGTGTGGGGGGGGGGGGAGCCCAGAGTGTGCGTTGGGGGTGCCTGCTGGAGTGTGACCGGCTAAAACCACGCAGCTTGCCCCGTTTTGTTTCACGTCCGTTCCAAAACCGCCCGAGCAAACAGAGGGCTCGCCTCTCGCGTGCGAGAGGACCCGGGTTCGATTCCTGGGGCAGAGCGGAACGTTGGGCAGGTTTCCTTACTCCACACACACGCACACACACATACACACACACACACACACACATACACACACACACACACGCACACACACGTCTCTGTTTACCAGCAGTAAATAGGAACCCGGTTGTTAGCCGACTGGCGGATGGCTTTTCTGGGAGTAAAAAAACAAATAAATAATAATTTGGTCCCTGAATCCACGGCTGTTTGTGGGGGACGCTGCTGTGCGCAGTCGGCTGCCGCGTTTCACCCACGAAATATACAGTTAACTCACTTGACAGTGTATCCTGTGAAGCGCTTTGCGACGTCTCGAAGACGTGATGAGGCGCTATAACAAATGCGAGTATTATTATTATTATTATTATTATTATTCTCCTTTGTCGTGAAAGGCGGCTACATACCACAGCACTTTCACTGTTGTCGAAGTTTTGCCCATCGTGGTTTGAGGTCGGTGGGGGAGAGGCCCAAGGGATGGGTGTGCGGAGCTTCTGAAAAGAGAATTTCCCCCGGATTCTCAATGATCTTTTCTGTTGTATTTCTTCGCAGGTGGAACAATATACCAACCAGTAACTATGGTAACCTCACAGGGTCATGTGGTGACTCAGGCCATTTCACAGGGTACAATACAGATTCAGAATGCGCAGGTGAGAGAGAGCGAGAGAGAGAGAGCGAGAGAGAGAGAGAGCGAGAGAGAGAGAGAGAGCGAGAGAGAGAGAGAGCGAGCGGAGGTCAGGCTCCAAACCTGGAGTTGTATCCCAATGGGATTCCGTACCCAGTCGCGGAGGGAACTATTACTCCATTCCTGTTAACAGGACCGTTGGCCGGTCACTGGGGGCAGGAATCCTTCCCACTCGGCTCCCGTTAACCCTACAAGCCAAAGGCCAAACAGGGTAGGGCGGTCCTCGCTGGACAAGCAGCGGGAAAGCTTGCCAGAAGGGGTTCTCAATGGGGTTATGTGGTTTTAGCCGGTTAGACTCCAGCAGTTACCCCAACACACACTCTGGGCTCCCCCTCACTCCCCCCCAACCCCAAGCCTTGGCTCTCGCCAACCTGCGCCCAATGCTCTCCTGACTGAGGTGAGTAGGATTGGGACTGAGTTCAGGGTAAGAGTGAGTTAAGCCCAGAGGGTGATCCTCATTGACCGAGGGTCTTGCTACTGTGGTGTAGGGGTGGAGGTGGGGGAGTGGGGAGGCAGTGGTGTGGTCTGTGTGTGCGTGTGTCCGAGCCCAAGCCACTAACCCCGTCCTCGGTTTCTCTTCCTCCGTAAAGGTGAACCTGGAGTTGACGTCTCTGCTGCAGGACGTGGATGACAAGAAATCGAAAAGCAAGCGTGGTGTGCTGCCCAAACACGCCACCAACATCATGCGTTCCTGGCTCTTCCAACACCTTGTGGTAAGTCACGTGGTCCAGGCTGACGCGCTGGGGCAGAGCTCGGGGAGCGCTGCATTGTCTGAGGTGATGTCTTTGGGATGAGACGTTCAACCAGAGTCCCGTCTGCCCGTTCAGGTGGACGTTACAGATCTCCCGGGGCACTATTGGAAAAGAGAAGGGGAGTTTCTCTCTCTCTCTCTCTCTCGGCCGACGAGTCCCCCCCCACACCATATAAAGATCAGCCGTGATCTGACGGAACGGCGCAACAGGCTCAAGGGGCTGAACAGCCTCGTTCTGTTCCTAGGAGCCCGTCTTTATAGAGAGAGTGAAGCTACTGATCAGGTTCAGGCCACACGTCAGGGCTTTGAGTTCATCGCCCGCAGCATCTGTGTGAGTTCAACACACACAGTCTCACTAACTTATAATAATCCTGGCATTGGACACAGCGCCTGATCACGTCTTCAAGATGTCTCAAAGCGCTTCAGAGGATACACTGTAAAGTACAGTGACTGTGTATATTTTTGTGGGCGAAACGCGGCAGCCGATCGCGCACAGCAGCGTCCCCACAAACAGCCGTGGATCGAGAGACCAAATGATTGGACCGCCCACTCCGATCCCGACTGGAGTTATTCCCGTATCTCCGGGGGGGGGTGGGGTGGGGTGCGCGGTGGGGTGCGGGTGGCTTCCAAGGGCTGGACCCGCGGCCTGCAGCTGTTGGAAGCAGCTCAGCCCAACGGCAGTCGCTGGCACTGACCCAGGCCGTGAGTTAGTGGGAAAGAATGTGTAACTCACTGGGGCCGAGATTACACCTCACACAACTCTACCTCCAGCGTAGACTCCCACCACCACCGTCACCAACCGCCTCCCATCCCACCTCCGTGTGCACGACACACTGATCTCAGCCCTCGCCTGCGAAAAAGCACACGCCGTCGCGACACTTTAGTGGGAATAATAATCGTGTGTAATAATCCTTGTGTTTGATACAGCGCCTGATCGCATTGTTGAGGTGTCTCAAAGCGCTTCCCAGGATACAGGGCAAAGTGAATTGACTGTATATTTTTGCGGGTGAATCCTGTGAAGCGCTTTGAGACGCCTCCACGATGTGATCGGGCGCTGTATCGAATGCAGGGCTTATTATTATTAATTATTATCATTGTTAATTATTATCATTATTAGTCCAATGCAGGGCAAGGCCTGGCACAGTGTTGCGCTGTTGGGCGATGAATTGGGTGTGGTAGCGGGCAGCAGATTGCCCTGGCGAATAAGGGCAATGCCTTGCAAGGGGGTTGCGTTGGTGCTGTGTCAAACACTGCATTGGTGCGGTTGCATTAACACGTGCGTGATTCCTCCCCCCCCGCTGTCTCTCTCTCTGTGTCTCCAGCATCCGTACCCAACAGAGGATGAAAAGAGACAGATTGCAGGACAGACAAACCTCACACTCTTACAGGTCAACAACTGGTGAGTTCCTGGTGCTGCCTCCTCCCCTCCCCTTGGCCCTGCGCTGCGAGATGGGCCAGGGAAGCCCACCCACCCACCCACCCCGAGACACAGCCCACAGACACAGCAGATTTGAAGAAGAACAACAACTTGCATTTGCACAGACCCGCCCCCCCCCACTTCGCCCGGAGTGCTCGACAGTGGCGGAGTCTGACCCCGAGCCGGTCGGGGATGGGAGGGGGGGTGGTGGCGGTGGTGGAGAGGAGAGGGAGTGGGGGAGGTGACCGTAAGCGCGGTCAGAAAGGAAGGTCTTTAGACGAACGAGGAGATAAGTCCAGTGATAAGAGAGAATTCCAGCGGAGGAGTTCTCGCACACTCTCGCACTGGCTCGCTTCCTCTCTTCTCTCTCTCGCTCTCTCCTTTCTTTCTTTCTCTCTCTTTCTCACACTCGCGCGCACACCAAAAATATATCTCAGGTACCTGGCTGACCCCTACCCCCCCCCCCACACCCCCACTCACACTCTCTCGTACATTTACTGAGCTGTTGCTGCCACCTCGTGGCAGAGCGCCTGTAATGACCATTATCCTGACCGGTCCAGAGGACCTGTTGCTTTGGGCGACTCTGGCTGTGATTTTCTGATGTTCCTCAGTTTCACTGCCCTCCTGTTCGCCTCCGTGCATCACCTTTTCTCACGACACATCGCTCTCTCTCTCTCGCTCTCTCTCGCTCTCTCTCGTGTCGTGTCAGCGTCCTGGCGTGTCCTCCTGGCGTGAAGAGCTTTATAGGCAAATGCGAGCTGTCGCTGTTGCTGACCATGTAACGGAAACGACAACAACTTTTCGGAGAGCTTAAAAGTGTCGGAGAGAGAGGAAGGGGTGCGGGGGGGGGGGTGGGGGGAGAGGGGGCTGGTGGGGGGGGGGCTGACCGTGTCCGTGGTTGAGGAGTTACATTGCTCTCTCTCACTCCCCGCCGTCTCCGCAGGTTTATTAACGCCCGGAGACGTATCCTGCAGCCGATGCTGGACGCCAGTAACCCTGACCCCGCCCCAAAAGCCAAGAAAATAAAGTCACAGCATCGGCCGACACAGCGATTCTGGCCGGACTCCATCGCAGCCGGAGTGCTCCAGCCAGCGGGCAACCCCACCAACCCCGACAGTGAGTCTGCGTCTGTGTGTGTGTACTTATCTGTGTGTGTCTGTGTGTGTGTCTGTGTACTTGTCTGTGTGTGTCTGTCAACCTTTTTGTCTGTGTCTGTCCGTCTGTCCGCGTGTGTGTATGTGTCCACCCCCACCCACCCGCCAGACACTGTCTAAATCTCTAACATATTGCCCCCCACTCTCCCCCCCCCCCCCCCCCTCCTCCACCGGGGCAGGTTCGCTGGGAGGGGCGCTGGACCCCCTACACCCCCACTCAGACAGCGCCGCACTGACCATGATGAGCGGCCCCGGGGGGGATGGATCTCTGGACGGGACGGACGAGGAGGACGAGGAGGAGGACATGGGGGAGGAAGAAGAGGAGGAGGAGGAGGAAGATGAGGAAGAGGAGGACACTAATGGGGACCTGCCCACCGCCAATGTCAGTGACTTGGGGCTGAACCACAGCGAGACGTTGGGGTAGAACTGGCTCTCGCCCGGCCTGAGCCTCGGCAAAAAACAACCCACGTACACAATAAACTGATCTTTTTTTATTATTATCGACGAAAGAATCTTCACGAAGCAGTCGCCCCCCCCTCCACCCCTCTCCCGCCCCCCTCCACCTTGGAATCGTTGGTGTGTCTCTTCCCCCCTCCCTCCCCCCGACATCCTCCCCTTCCCCGACCCCCCATCTCTCCGTGTGCTGGTTTTATCCTGTATTTTAATGAACGTTCTTGTCAATGTCTCAGTTCATGTTCCGACAACTGTGTGATTTCCCGCCCCCCCTCTCCCCCAACCCCCACCCAACCACGAGGAGACACGGGGAATCTGGGCTGTGAGGGCGAGGGGGATGGTGGGGGGAGAATTGAGGGAAGGGGGACCTTCTGGCCTGTTTGTTTGATCCACAGCCCCCCAACCCCCCCACCACCCCCCATGCTCACACCCCCAGGTTGTAACTGCAATGATTTATACCCTAACTTACTGTCACCCGTGTCCCACTGGAAAGAGAGAAAAGTGGAGGAGGAAAGGTGACTGAAAACATGGTTGAAAGGTCTTGGGGCAATAGGTGTGCGTGTGGGAGTTGGGGTTATAAGCGCGTTTGGGAAAGGGTAGGTGGGAGGGCAGACCAGTCACTGGGTATAGGGTGGTCCTAGCTCAGAGGCAGCGGGTAAACTTGCCAGACAGCGATATCGATGGCCAAGCTATGTGTGGTTTTATCTGGTTAGACTCCAGCCGTTAGCCCAACGCACGCGCACTCTGGGCTCCCCCCCCAAGCCTTGGCTCTTTGCTAACCTGCGCCTAATACTCTCCGGAATTTGGTAAACAGGGAATGCGTCCCTCCAGGGAGAGAGTGTGAATCCTGGCCCAGATATGGCAATTTCCACGTGAGGGTTGGGATGCATGGAATTCTCAGTCTGGTTTGGAGACTCTTCAGCAACAACGGGGACCGGTTTCCGCACATGTCAGACCCCCGGCAAAGGTTTGTTTCAGGACCTGCTTTGGGCTGTTTCCAACCACATTTGGGGCAAATACCGGGGAAGACTTGTGCTGCCTGATTTGTTTTGCATTGAGGCGAAAAGAGCGGAGATAACCAACGTGTTAAATGTTTTACATCCGCTGAGAAATGTCTAACTTTGTTACAAGTGCTTTTTTTTAAAAGGGCTTTTCTCTCTCTTCTCTCCCCCCTCTCTTCTCTCTCCTGCCCCACCTCTCTTTCCCATCCCTTTTGCCCCCTCTCCATCTCTCTGTCTCCCCTCCTTTCTGTCTGTCGCCCTCACTCTCTCCCCCTCTCTCGGCCTTCCTCTCACTTCCTCTCTCTCTCTCTCTCTCTTTATCTCCCCACCTCTGTTATCGTCCCCTCCTCTCTCCATCTCCCCCACCCCCAAGCCAAGCCTCATTGCTATGTTACCCTGTCCAAGCCAGCAGAGGACACAGGTCAAACTACAGATTCCTTAGGGACGCCATGAGATATTTGTTGGCACGAGTGCTTGAGTTGAACACTGTATATATCTGTGTAAAAGAAGAAAAAAAGGGAACGTCCATTTTTAAAAAACATTGTCCTTCTTTTCCCTTCTGTGAGCTCCGCCTGTGGCCATCAGGGAAAACCTTTACAGGGCTCATTTATTGTATTAGTAGAAATGACGTGAAGTAATTTTGACTCTCGTAAAAGTCCTGGTTTGGCTTTCAGAAATCTCCCTGAAACATTAAGCCAATGGTACTCATACAGTTACTTGGGGGTTGCGATCTGGGGGTTGCGATCAGGAGGGTTGGAGGGCCGGGAGGGTGGGGGTAAGAGGCTGACCGAAGAGGAAGGTGTCGGGATGGGCCTTGAAGGAGGCGAGGGGAAGGAACCGTGGGATGGAGTTCCAAAGGGTGGGGGCAGAGAGATTGAAGGCCCAACTGCCGATGGTGGGGTGGGCGAGGCGGGGGACATGTATTTCTGGGGCTCGTTGATTGGCGGGTTCTGTGAGCCGGCTTTTGGCATCGCCAACCTTCCAAAATTGTCTTGGGAGTCTCCGGGAATTACAGATTAATCTCCTGGACGCTGCAGTGAGCGAGGGAGCGAGGGAGCGGGAGAACAATCAGGGAATTCTCAAAAGGAATGACGACCAGCAAATCCGATATCTCCTGTTGTCAGCTTCCTGCACATCCAGAAGCTCTACGACCAGCCAGTGTTTGACATGATATAAGGTAACGCGCTCTCACTCGCTCTCGCTCCAGCTCTCGACCTTCTTATTGGTCTATCGGTGGCGTGACTTATGTTGTCTAACTCCCCTCCAGTCAGCGGTGCCTTCCTTTACGATAGCGACCAAACACAGCCCCCCCCCCTCTCTCTCTCTCTCTCTCAAAGCTCCATCGGTCGTCTGTCCACCCGTTGCCTCTCTGCCCCCACCCTTTGGAACTCCATCCCACGGTCCCTTCCCCTCTCCTCCTTCAAGGCCCATCCCAACACCTTCCTCTTCGGTCAGCCTCTTCCCCACCACCCTCCCGGCCCTCCAACCGATGCCATTACCAGATGGTGCCCCCAGGTGGCAGGCCAGGCACACGCTGGACCAGCCACGGATGGCCGGACTCAAGTCAATGACCAATGTTATCGGGTGCAGATGGATACACCATCTCTTTTTGAGTCTAGATTTTTTTGTCGTCGCAAAGTCTTTGACATCCGTCTTGAGAAGGACGAGGTTAGGCCCCCAGTTTAACGTCTCATCTGACGGCCGGCACCTCCCGTCAATACAGACCAGGGAGCGATAGAGAGAGGTAAGAGAGAGGGCGAGAGCCTCGGAGAGACGCAAATAGAGAGATAGAGAGAGATGGGTGGGTGGGGGGGGACGGGTGGGGACGGGTAGAGAGAGGGAGAGAGATAGACTGCGTGATGGAGAGATCGAGAGAGGAGGAACAGAGAGAGATGGACAGACAGAGAGACAGGGCGAGGGGGAGCGGGGTGGGGGGTGAAGGGGCGGGGGGGGAATGGGATGGGCTGGTGGGGGAGGGAAAAGGGAAGGGAAGGTTGTTGACATCTTAGACGAGGAATGTAAGCCGAATTTCTTTTATAAGCCAAGTGCCGTCCGGGGTAAAGAGCGAGACGTGAATGCAAATTGTTGTCGTTGTCTCGTAGAGTTTTTAAATCCCTTGGGTTATAGCGTGTGGTGGGGGATGGGGCGGTTGTGAGTGTGTGCGGTGCGGAGGGGGAAATGGGTGCGGTGGGGAAGTGGGGGGGGGGGGACGATGGTCGTGCAACTGACGCGCTGACAAAAGGTCCGAAAACGCTCAGTTCGCCTCAAAATGAAAGCAAATTCACTGTAACAGTCCATCCCAACCCAGCTCAGCTCAGCCCAGCCCAGGCCAGCCCAGCTCAGCTCAGTCCATCCCAACCCAGCTCAGCCCAGTCCAGCCCAGCCCAGCTCAGCTCAGTCCATCCCAACCCAGCTCAGCCCAGCCCAGCCCAGCCCAGCCCAACCCAGCTCAGCCCAGCCCAGCTCAGCCCAGCTCAGCCCAGTCCAGCCCAGCCCAGCTCAGCTCAGTCCATCCCAACCCAGCCCAGCCCAGCCCAGCCCAGCCCAGCTCAGCTCAGCCCAGCTCAGCCCAGCCCAGCTCAGCCCAGCCCAGCCCAGCCCAGCCCAGCTCAGCCCAGCTCAGCCAGTCAGACGGTCAGGAGCTGGAGCCTGAGAACAGACTTTATCCCATCCCAGTACAAAGCCTGAGTGAGAGACTGTGAGATCAGCCCCGTTCCACAGCCGTCTTAATTATCCTGGCCAGGGAGAGGGCGCGTGTGTGTGGGGGTGTGGGTGGGGGTGTGTGGGTGGTGTGGGGGTGTGTGGGTGTGTGGGTGGTGTGTGAGTGTGTGTGTGCGTGTGTGGTGTGAGGGGAGGGGGTGGGGGTTCTTTCACCAAATCAAACCACAGGTTTCCTCATTCTCCTCGGAGTCAGAATGCTGTGGGTTTAAGCGCTCCCCCCCCACCCCACAACACATCGGGACTTGGAATCACTTAGTCTGAACTGAGGCTCCGACGCAGCCCTGGGGGTGGGGGGGCGGTAGGCGGTGGGTGTGTGTATTGTCCGAGGTGCCATCCTTTGGATGAGACGTTAAACCGAGGTCCCGTCTGCCTGGAAATTGACGATCTCCCGCGGGGCTATTTGGAAAGAGAAAAGTTTCTCTCTGTCTCTCTCTCTCTCTCGCTCTCGCTCCCTTTCCCCCGGTGTCCTGGCTGACAAATAAAACCGGTCATCCGCTCCACGGCTGCTTTTTGGTGGTGGTGGGGAGGGTGGGGGGGGAACGCTGCTGTGCACAAACTGGACGCCCACACACAGCGTTTCGCCCACAAAATAGCACAGTCGCTGCACTTTACGGTATCTCCTGCGAAGCGCTTTGAGACGTCTCAGTGACGTGATAAGGCTTCGTATCAGACGCAAGGATCATTATTACTATTATTATTGAGGTGGGGGGGGGGGGGGGGGTCTGTTCAACATCACACACTTGTTTTGCACTGAATTCCTGGGCAGAGACAATGACTGACCGGGAGGGAGTGAAAGTTTACAGTAAGACCCTGTGAAGCGCTTTGAGACATCTCGACGGAGGGGGAACGGGGGGGTGGAGGGGTGGGGGGGGAGGGGGGTGTGAGGTATGACGATAAATAAAATCGTCTTTGTAGTCGGGCGGTGTTTGCTGCTGGTGGGGGTTTATTCTCGCCGCCGGACTCACTGTAAAAGTGTACGGTAATAAGTCCGGATCAGTTACAGTGTCGTGGTCTGGTCTGTTAATGTCACAACAACACCACACACACATATATATATATATGTGTGTGTGTGTGTGAGGTCTCGCTTGTCAGTCAGTCACAACGCTTCTGAATCCAATCTGGGCTAATCATAGCCCCCACCGCCACCGCCACCCCCCCCCCCCCCTCACCCTCCGCCACTCTCCCCTCACCCCCCACCCCGTGACCCACTTCCTCCCAGCGACCAACCAACTCTCTCCCTTTTTAGTGGGAAAATAACCGCAACAAAAGCGGAGTTTGGCTGCCGTGTCACTCCCCAACCCCCCCACACACCCCGCCCCCCCCCCCCCATCCCCGGATCGGGAACATTGTCTTTGTTACTGAGGCAGCTGCGTAACGCCTGAATGAGGGAGACAGCAATGACCCTGGCTCTCTTCCCCCAACCCCCCTACTCTTCCCCCCACCCCCCCATTCCTCGCCCCCCCCCCCCACCACTCTCCCCCTCCCCCCCCATTGAGTTCCAGTCACGCGGAACTCCATCACAACTCAGCCCCATTGTCTCAGCACAAAACCCACTCTCAGTCGCTGCCTCCGACCCCTTTTCTCTTCTGGCTTCTGCATTAGGATGTTCGTGGAAATTAACTAACTCTCACAACCATCTGAAAACTCTATATCTGGTCTCTGTTGAGAGGGGAGGGTGGGGGGGGGTTGGGTTGGGGGGGTGAGAGACGGAGACAGAGGGGGCGTGTGTGAATGCAATATAATGGGACCCAGTTGTTAGTCGATTGGCAGATCGCTTTCCACGGTGGGTAACGATCCCTTCCAATAAATAAATACATACATAATGTGGTCACTTGATCCGCTTCTGTTTTGTGGGTTACGTCGCCGGGCGCAATCGGCCGCCGCGTTTCGCATCGCAGAAACACACGGCCGCTCCACGTTGCCGCGTATCCCGTGAAGCGCTCTGAGACGTCTCGATATCAGACGCAGGGGTTGTTGTTGTTGTTATTGGGATTATCAATGGGCGAGGCAGTGTGTCCGTGGAGGACGGACAGGCAGATAAGGAGGGAGAGGTGGGGTTGAGGGTCGTGGGGGGGGTGGGGGGGGCGCGAGAGAGAAATCCTCATAAGCAGCAATAGCTTGTGTGGTCTCGGTCCCTCCGAGCTCACCTGCCGAGAGAGCGCACAAAGCTTTCCTGCCGAGGCCACAGACTCAATCACACTTACCATGTTGCCAGTGTGTGGGGCTGTCAGGCTGCCTGTCAGAACCACACAGCCTCCTGCGGCTCAGCAAAATGGCCTCCCGTAAGGAGGGGATTACACGGCGTTGTTCGCCCACCGTGATGACTGGAGCGTAAATTAGAGGTCAAGTTAGAAGGCAACGAGTACCCGTTGTCGTTTCCGTCAGTTACCTGACAGGAGAGAGGGAGGTTTTCGGTCGTTCTTGGGCCCTGCGAAGGGATTCCCTGGTGAAAGGACGTAGCACAAAGTGGCCCCCAATATCCGCCCGCCCCCCACTGTCCCCCGTCCCCCACAGTCGTTCTCTCTCTCTCGCTGCCGCCCGCCACGAACGGTAGCCGTTTCCGTCAGCCTGTGGCTCGGTCGCTCGCGAGTCAGAAGGTTGTGGGTTTGAGCCCCAGCCGCACGTCGGGACTCAGACTTATGTTCCAATGCAGCGCTGTGCGGGCTGGGGTGGCGGGTGGGGGGTGTGGGGTTTGGGGTGGGGAGGGTGTGGGGGGACGCGGTGTTGCATTGTTGGAGGTGCCGTCCTTCAGGTGAGACGTTAAACCGAGTTCCCGTCTCCTTGTTCAGGTGAAGGTTAAAGATCTCGCGGCGCTATTGGAAAAGAGAAGGGAATTTCCGGCCAACAATCCCCCAAATAAAGTTGGTCACTCACTTACCGACTGTTTGTGGGGACGCCGCAATGTGCGCAATTGGCTGCCGCGTTTCGCCCGCGAAACACACAGTCACTACACTTTCCAGCATGTTCTGCAAAGCGCTTTGAGGTGTCGAGAAGACGTGATAAGGCGCTATATATCAAGCGCAAGGATTATTATGATTATTATTTCTAAAAGTCCCGGCATCTTTTATGCGAAGGGCCGTCAAAACACATCCCATTTAAACCTCTCAGGTTCTGGGTAACAAACAGAGAAAAACACAGCTTCACTTTCCCTCTGATGGACGGTGTGAGTGAGTGTGTGAGTGTGTGTGTGAGAGTGTGTGTGTGTGAGAGAGAGAGTGAGTGTGTGTGAGAGTGAGTGAGTGAGTGTGAGTGTGTGAGAGTGTGTGTGTGAGAGTGAGTGTGTGAGTGAGAGTGAGTGTGTGTGTGTCTGTGTGTGAGTGAGTGTGTGTGAGTGAGTGTTTGTGCTGAATTTCACTCAAGAGAAAGAAATCCGAGGGAACGATGTAGTTCTGTACAATGTGTGAGTAGTTTCCTTGTCTTAAGTCATGTTGGAGAGAGTTGGGGGTGTGTGGGGGGGGGACAGAAACGTCTACTTTTTAAGCTCATTTGATGTCAAACAAGTTGCCAGTCACTATAGCTCCCCCCCCCCCCCCCCCCACACACCCACACAGCGGGGTGCCACAGTCTCTCTCACCCCCCCCCCCACCACCCCCAACCCCCCCCCTCCTCTCTCCCCTTATTCCTCCCTCATTGTCTGGAAAGCCCGTGAAAAAAAAACACAGACAAAAAAAGCACAAAAGCTGTTGCAAACACGAAATTCCAATAATTTACCACGACTCGAAAACAGACAGACAGACCCGACAGAGAGAGAGAGAGAGAGAGACAGCGAGTCAGAAGCCAAGAGAGAAAGAGAGAGGGAAGGAGAGAGCGAGAGAGAGAGAGAGGAGAGAGATGGTACTTTGGTCGAAACTTGCGAGAAGTCGGCTAAAGTTTGCTGAACAAACTCCGCAGTGATTTTGTTTTCTTCTTCTCCTTTTAATCCGTTTTGTTTTATTCGGTTGAAAAACAAACATGCGTCGTCTCCCTCTAATATTCCTCTGCGTCTCGTTCCTGACCGGGGGAGCGATGTGTGAGGTTTGCCTGTGTGAGTGCAAGTGTCCTTCGCTAAGACCCGCGAGACAGACCGACACGCAGAAACCCCGGCGATCGCGAGGTAAGTCGGCGCCGTTTAACAGCAATCGTCGCAGTAATAAGCCTTTGACACGGCGCCCTATCGCGTCGTTGGGACGTCTCAAAGCGCTTCGCGGAACACACTGCAAAGCGTAGTGACTGTGTATTTTGCGGGCGAACACGCGGCAGCCAATTGCGCACAGTGGAGTCTCCCACAAAAACAGCCGCGGATCGAGAAGTGACCGCATTTTTTTTGGGGGGGGGGGGAGGAATTAATACCCAGGGAAAGGGATCTGCCAACCGACTAACAAGCGGGTTCCTACTTACTGCTGTGTAAACCGAAGGCGTGTGGAGCAAAGGAAACTTACCCAGCGTTTCGCCCGGCCCGGGAATCGAACCCAGGTCCTCTCGCTCGCGAGGCGAGTGCTCCAACCACTACACTACAGAACTCGACACGTAATAGTCGATAAAGCAGGTCCCACAACAATCGAGTTGGGAAAACAGAGACTAACAACACTTGTTTTCCAGATTAGCCCTTTACTCCCCATTCAACGGAGCTAATTATAAATTTTAATGACCCTTGATGTCCATTAATACCTTGTCTCATTGGGTTGGAGTTAATTATATCTGCGTCCTTCTCTTTAGACACATACAGAACGCAAACTTTGCTTTGAGCTCTGTTGAAAAAGAAACGCAGCCTCTTTTATACAGAGTCTAACATCATCGAGCAAGTTTCTTTTTCTTACTCACTTCCTATTGAAATGTAGATTTCAGGTCAGTTCGTGTCAGTCAGACACACAATTCAGTCTTGGAATTTGAGACTCTTAAGAAACATTGTTTTGACCGACAGAAATGCTCGTGTTTTTTTTTGCAAAACTCAACACTGCCGTCCGTTGAAAAATTAAACCACCCCCCACGCCCCCACCCCCCACAAACACCTCCTTTTACCTGGATTTCCTTGTGACAGATAGGTTTTTAAACCCTCCGATACTCTGTACGGGGTGAAGGACGCTATATAAATGCAAGTTGTTTTTGGACGGGAGGAAAACACATCAACTGAGTAAGACTGATTTGTGGAGAGGGTTGTGGTGGTGGGGTTGGGGGGAGAGCTGAGCATCTTGATTTCCACCCCCCACCCCCCTGCCCTGCCCTGCCCTGCCCCGAAAACAAAAGGTAACAGGTTGTATTTTTTAAAAAAATGCCAATAATAATTTGTTCACTTATTGCTGCCGCATTTCGCCCACAAAATACACAGCCACTCCACTTCACAGTACATCCCGCGAAGCGCTTTCGAGACGTCTCGAACGACGTGATGAGGCGCTGTATCGAACGCAAGGATTATTATTTCCAGCGGCGCAAGGGTTAAATGTCAGCGAGGGAGGGGCCAGATTGAGTACACAGGGCTGGGGAAAAGTTAATTCAACTTCACTCTGGATCAGAGCAACTTGAACCAATTCTAACCAATTCTAATGCAGAAGAGAAGAGAGGAGAGACAATGAAAACAGACAGACGGACAGATAGATAGACAGACAGACGGACAGACAGATAGGTAGACCTTGTAGGATGAGAGTGAGAGAGAGAGAACGTTGAAATAAGACCTTAGAAGTAAAGGAAGAGCCTTGAAACTCAACTGAACCCGAGCCAACAATAGCCGGCAGGAGGCTGGAGGCAGATAAGCTACGCAGATAGTCTTCGATAAAAGTTTTATGAAACTTTGATAAAAGTTTTTTTGTTGTGGCTGGGTCATATATTAGACCTTTAATGAGCAGGTGGGGATGGAAAGGCTGATCTCTCACTTATTTGTTCTCTGGAAAGTTTTCCTCTTGTTGGAAGGTAAGTCAGAAGATTTTTCTCTTAATATTAATAATAATAATAGTTCTTATAAAAAAAAACTTCAAACTTTTCCCACTGGAAACTAAATTATTTGCATTTATTTCTTATTAAGGTACAAAAAAACACGCTTGCTAAGTACAGTATTTATATTTTTCTCAATATTGATTAAAATGTTCAGTGAAAGTTTTGATGGAGTTTGAGAATGAAGGAGATTAATCTGTTAATTGACATTTTTTATATCTTTTTAGGTTTAATTTATTTATTTAGATATATATGTGTGTATATATATATAGGCGACTTAAACCCTCCATTATAATAACGACAATGGTTAATTATAATAATCCTTGCATTTGATAAAGCACCTTATCAGGTCGTCGCGACGTCTCAAAGCACTTCGCAGAGTATAATGTATAGTGGAGTGACTGTGTATTCTTGTGGGCGAAACGCGGCAGCCAATTGCGCACGGCAGCGTCCCCGCAAACAGCCGTGAAACGAGTGACCAATTTTATTCGGGCGATAAAAGTCTGGCAGGACACCGAGAGAGAGAGAGAGAGAGAGAGAGAGAAACTCCTTCCTCCTTTCGAATAGCGCTGCAGGATCTTTTAACGTCCAACTGAACTGGTGGACGGGACCTCTGCTTTAATGTCTTATCAGAAAGACTCGGCTGTTGGACTGTGTGTCATTGGACTGCAGAAACTCCAGAACAATAGTCCGTCAACAACAGGGATCAACCGGATAGCCTGACATCAGTGCTGCCTGTTATTGTGTTCAACCTTCGGCCAGACTTACACCCACCCACCCACCCACCCCATCGCTTCCTGCCTGTGGGGTAAACAACACCCACCCTCCCCCCAACACACACACGCACACATACACAAACACACACCCTCCCCCCAACACACACACGCACACACACACACAAACACACACCCACCCTTCCCCGTCGCGAGCAGAGCAGTCTTCAACGAGACTTGAGTGAACGTGGACAGCTAATCTCATTCACTGCCAAGTCCGCCATGTACTGCGGAGCTCACCACTGTGTTTGTGTGGGGAGATGGGGGGAGTCACGATCCTTATCGAGGGGTGGGGGGAGTTAAGGGTAATACAAAGGTAGTGGTTGAACAGGAAATTGTGTCTCGCGATTTCCTGTTTCCTCAGCTGCGGTGGGGAAGCAATGTGTCTGTTTCCGTCTCGGTTTCTTCCTCTGCCTCTTCCCGTCTGGAAATTCTTCCTGGAGGGATGTGACGGACACGCACGGACACAGACCCGACGAGTCCCGAACCCTCGCGGGGGAAAGACAAAAAAAAACCCCCACCATCTCACCCGCAAAACCCACAGTCACTCCACTTTACGATATATCCCGTGAAGCGCTTTGAGATGTCTCGACGACGTGCTGCGTCGCTGCATCGAACAACAATATTGGGGCTTGCGTGGAGGCAGGAAACTTGCCTAAGGTTGGCCCCGGGGGAAATGGAGGTCCTCTTCCTTGCGAGGCGACGGCTCTAACCACCGAGGTACAGGACCCAACCCACCCCCCCCACCCCGCCTCACAAATGCATTCACTGTAGTTGGGAGTGGGACGGACGGATGGGGTAATGGATGGGCTAAAGGCCGGGATGTGTTCACAGGCTCCCGGTTGCGTTTGGAGGAATCGCTCCCCGAGATCGTGGAGCACCCCAGGGACCTGGCGGTCTTCAAGGGGGAGCCGGCGACGCTGGACTGTCGAGCCCAGGGCCGCCCGCGACCCATCATCGAGTGGTACCGTAACGGGGAGCGCGTTGAGACCAGTGAGGACCACCCCCAGTCGCAGCGCACGCTCCTCCCGCACGGCTCCCTCTTCTTCTACCAGCTGAACCCGGGCCGCAGGGGGGCGCGGTCGGACGAGGGCGTGTACACGTGTGTGGCGCGCAACCCCCTGGGCATCGTCCAGAGCAGGAACGCCTCCCTGTATGTGGCATGTGAGTAAGCGGGTTGTGGTTCGAGGGGGGGCTGGGTTTGGGGATTTGGGGCGGAGGGTCTGGGGTTGGGGTCGGTGGGGTTGGAGTTAGGGTTGGGGCTGGGGGGCTGGTGTTGGGGGGCTTGGGTTGTGGGGGGTGGGGTGGGGGGTTGGGGCTGGGGGTCTGGAGTTGGGGTTGGTGGGGGTTGGAGTTGGGGGTTGGGGGGGTCATGGTGTGAGAGACGAGGCCGATACCCGTTACTGTTTTTGCTGTTGTCGCCCAGCGCTGAGGGAGGAGTTTCGGCTGGAGCCCAGTGACACGGTGGGGGTGCTGGGGGAGAGGGTGGAGCTGCCGTGTCTACCCCCCCGAGGTCACCCCGAGCCGACCATCCGGTGGAAGAAAGACGGGGTCTGGATCAACGAGAGGGACGAGCATTACCGGGTGAGTCTGTTTAACATAACATAACATTTAGGAGCAGGAGGAGGCCATTCGGCCCTTCAAACCTCTGCCCCGCCATTCAATCATGGCTGATCTTCCAATCTAACTCCGGCTCATAACCTGACCCCCTGCCTTATCCCCATATCCCCCCCCAACCCCCAGCCTTATCCCCATATCCCTTAATCCCTTTAGCAATAAGAAATCTATCTCTCTCAGTCTTGAATACGTTCAAGGACTGAGCGTCAACAGCCCTTTGAGGTAGTGAGTTACAAACATTCACTGCCCTTTGAGTGAAGTTCTTCCTCAACTCAGTGTGAAAGGGTTGGCCTCTGATTTTAAGGTTGTGACCCCTAGTTTTAGTTTCTCAAAACGGAAAAAAATCTCCCACTATCTACTCTATCATTGCCCTTTGACGATCTGATAGGTTTCTGTAAGATCCCCTCTAATTCTTTTATATTCGAGAGAATATCGGCCCAAAATTGGTCAACCTATCCTCGTAACTCATCCCCTCCATCCCTGGTACTAACTCAGTAAATCTACGCTGCGCCCCTCCACGGCAAGTACATCCTTCCTTACATAAGGAGACCAAAACGGCACACAGTATTCCAGGTGTGCTCTCACAGGTGCAGTTGCAGAAAGACTTCCCTACTCTTATACTCTAATCCTTTCATAATGAACTCTTAACACACCGTTCCCTTCCTAATCGCTGCTGTACCTGCAGACTAACTCTCTGTGACTGGTGTACAAGGACACCCGAGTCCCTCTGGACGCCAACACCTTCCAACCTCTCCCCTTCTAAAAAATAACCCGCTCTACTGTTTTTGATCCCGAGGCGGATGACTTTGCACTTCCCGACATTATACGTCACTGTTTACCACCTCCCACTTCGGCTTTTGCAACCCCCCCCCCCAACTCTCCTCTAAGCGAGAGTGTTGGAGAGCAACGAGGCTAATCCCCAATGTTTGTGGGGAGCGGGAGGATCGTGGATCGCTGTTAAACGTCCTGAACTTGTATCTCCCCCCCACACCCTGTAGGTCACGGTGGGGAAGCTGATCATTCCCATGGCCGAGCCGGCTGACTCGGGCGTGTACGTGTGTGTGGCCGGGAACAAAGTGGGTCAGCGCCAGAGCAGTGCGGCGGCCGTGACGGTGTTGGGTGAGAGAGAGCGACGTCCAATACACAAACCCCTCCCACCTTCTCGCTCCGTCTCCACACCCCCCACCCTCCCCTGCTCGGCCCCCTCCCCACCCCATCTCAGTAATGGGACACCATCGCCCCAACCCCAGCGCCACCAACCCCAGCGCCACCCAACCCCAGCCCCACCCCAACTCCAGCCCCCCCAACCCCAGCCCACCCCAGCCTCAGCCCCCTCTAACCCCAGCCCCCCCCAACCCCAGCCCCCTCCAACCCCCAGGCCCCCCTAACCCCAGCCCCCCCAACCCCAGCCCCCCCCAACCCCAGCCCCCCCCCAACCCCAGCGCCACCAACCCCAGACACGAATGCCTTTGGCTGCGCCATTTCACCCACAACATACACAGTCCCTCCATTTTACAGTACATTCTGTGAAGCGCTTCAAGGCGTCTCGTTGACGTGACCAGGCGCTGCGTTAAACGGGAGGATTATTGATTATTGATGATCAATAATCATTGGAGAGTCTGACTCGGGATTTTCTCTCTGGTTGCAGAGCGACCCGGGTTTGTGAGGAGACCTGATGACGTGACGGTGGAGCCGGGCGGCACTGCCCGCTTCCCCTGTGAGCCTCGAGGTGACCCCATGCCCCGCGTCCACTGGCAGAGGGAACGTGGAGAGCTGCCTGCGGGCAGGTGAGTGGCCAAAAGCTCCGTCCGCCTGGACAACCTTCCAGAAACTTTCCATTTCATTCCCAGGAGGTTTCGGTGTTTGACTGTAGTTGACGAGCTCCGAGAGGAAGTATTTACCCCTCCCCCTCGCTCCCCGCCCCTCCCCGTTTCTGACGCTGCCTCGTTCCCCACAGGTACGAGGTGACCCCTGACCACACATTGAGGATTTACTATGTGGCCCCCGGGGACGCCGGGGACTACACCTGCCTGGCGGAGAACGAGGTTGGTTTAGCCTCTGCGTCCGTCCGTCTCGTTGTTCAAGGTGAGGGCCTGTCTGGTCAGTGGGACTTTGCGCGTTATTTGCTGATTAATTGGTGACATTTCACCCTGGGATGGCACCGACCCTCACTGGCGTTCTCACTCCCCCTCTCTCTCTCTCTCTCTCTCTCGCTCCGCAGACGCGCACACTGCTGACGAGGGCCAGAGGGAGCCTCGCGAGGACATCACCCGGGAGTTGCAGCAAGTCCAGGTTTATCTCCACCATCTCCATCTCCGTCCTTCCTGTGTGGATGTTCGCTCTCCTCTCCTCCGATCTGCCATACAATCCCCTCGATCTCCCGGCACAGTCGCTACACTGTGAAGCTCTGCCACTCTGTAAGCGCTCCGAGAGGGATATGGGGCAAAAAATATGGGTGATTGGAGTTGAGCTACAGATCAACCATTATAGAATGGCAGAACAGGCTCGAAGGGCTGAATGGCCTCCTCCTGTGTGAATGCAAGTTTTTTTGTTGTTGTTGTTGCCTGTTCGTGCCCCCCCGCTCAGCTGAGTTGGACTTTGCTGTGTGACCCTCACCCCCTTCGCACCTCCATCCACGGCCGAACCTTCAATCACTGAACCCCTGACCTCAGAAACTCTCTGCCTCTGTCCTTCCGTCTCACCCTCCTCCTCCACCGCACCTACCCTCTCCTCGCCCATCTCCCTCGCTTGGCGTCAACCGATCGCTGCCGACATCACTTCCTGTGCTGCCTGGCTGTAAACGCTCCTGTGTTCTCCCCTCCCCTGGAAGGTGGTCTCGCCCTCGCGGCCTGTGGAGGAGTTCAGGATGTCGTACCGCCCGCTGGTGCCGGGGAGCTGGGAGCGGGCGGAGCGGGGGCTTCCTGCGAATCCCCAGGAACGCAGCGAGTTGCTCACCGGCTTCAAGCGAGGCCACAAGAACGAACTGAGGGTCCGGGAGCACAGCGGCCAACACCGCAGCCCCAACAGCAACTCCGAGGAAGGTGAGAGGCCGCTGTGTGTATAACTTATCATTAAATAATAATAATAATAATAATCCTGACATTTGATACAGCGCCTCATCACGTCTTCGAGACGTCTCAAAGCGCTTCACAGGATATGGTGTAGTGACCGTGTACTTTGTGGGCGAAACGCGGCAGCCAATTTTGGAAACAATAGTGAATAATAATAATGGTTCCAATGTTTTAATGCCTCCTCTTGTTTCCTACGTAGTGCCTGACGCCCCACCTCGTAGCCTTACCGTAGCCACGGTGGGAGGTGGGAACAACAGCCTCTTGGTCCGCTGGGAGCCCCCTCCACCTGCGTCGCACACCGGGATCCTGAAAGGCTACAAGGTGCTGACGGACTCCGTGTATACCGTACATTATTAATCTACTTTATTATTGCAGTAAATCTCACGTTAAAGTCGTATCAGTCGGAGCCATACGTTCCACACGACGTTTGCACACGTGTGAGATACGGTCAAACGTACACAGAACATAACCTCTTGTATGTATGACTATGATACGATCGGTACAGATCAGACTCGCGCGAGTCTCGCTGTGTGCGCAACTGGAGGAGTGCGGTCAGTTGTGGGCACCTGACTTCAGGTAGAAAGTGGGTTGTGGTGGTGGTGGTGGGGGGCGGTGCAGAGGGGGGGCAGGTGAGGGGAAGGGGGAGCAGAGGAGATTCACGCCAGTCAGACCAGGGACCGGGGGCTTCAGGGCTGAGGAGAGTTTGGAGACGTTGAGAGCAACAACAACTCGCGTTTACATAGCGCCCTTCACGCCGGACAGTTTGCTCTGAGAGATTGGTGCAGATTCCAAGGGCCGAATGGCCTCCTTCAGCGCCGCCGCTGCTGCTGTTGTTGTTTTGTTTGTTTGTTTGTTTGTTTGTTGTAAACGTCTGCGATCGTCCGCCAGGTTTGGTGTCTGGGCAACGAGAGCCAACACAGCAGGAACTGGACGGTGGAGGGGGGGAGCCTGGAGCTGGCCATCGATGGACTGACCCCCGGCATCGAATACCGCGTGCGGGTCGCTGCCGTCAACAGCGCCGGGGTGGGGGTGGCCACGGAACCGCAGTACGTCTTGATAGGTCAGTGCCTCGCGGGGTGGGGGCCCGGGGTGGGGTGCGGGTGGGTGGGGGGAAGAGGGAGGAGACTGTTCGGGGTCAAGGCAGTCGATTGGCGGCTCACTTCCCGAGTGTGGGGGGTGGGAATAATCCCTGCAAAAACAATAATAATAATAATTTAGTCACTCAGTCCCGCTCGGACTGTCCAGCGACTTGGGACGTTGTCCCGACGTGAAAGGCGCTCTACACGTGTAATATTGTATTGTTGTCGGGGAGGGGGAAGGGGCTGTGTTTCGGGGGGTGGGGCGGTGGGCGCTGTATTTTGTCGGAGAGTGAGGGGGTGGGGGCTGTGTTGTGTCGGGGAGAGGTGGGGGCTGTGTTTTGTCGCGTGTGGAGGCTGTGTTTTGTCGGGGGGGGGGGTGTGGGGGCTGTGTTTTGTTGGGGGGGTGGGGGCTGTGTTTGTCGGGGGTGGGTGTGTGGGGGCTGTGTTTTGTCGGGGGGGGTGTGTGGGGGCTGTGTTTTGTCGGGGGGGCTGTGTTTTGACGGGGGGGGGGTGTGGGGGCTGTGTCTTGTCGGGGGGGGGTGTGGGGGTTGTGTTTTGTCGGGGGGGGGTGTGGGGGCTGTGTCTTGTCGGATGCTCTGCTGCCTGTGATCCCCGCGGCTGTCGATGTGTTCCAGCGCGGGCCGATCGTGAGGCTCCGGCCCCGGTTCCCCTCCTGCGGCGGGCGCTGTTGTGGCTGCGACGGCCGCTGGTCATCGGTGTGGCCGGGGCTGCGCTGTGGGTGTCGCTGCTGCTGATCTGTGTCTCCGTTTACTGCCGACGGCTCAGAGCCTGGAGGAACCGCAGCTTGTACAACCCCAGCAAAGGTGAGACCTGCCCACAGCCGGCGCTCGCGCACACGCGTGTGTGTGTGTGTCCTGGCTTTGGGTGTGTGTGTGTGTGTGTGTCCCGGCTCTGTGTGTGTGTGTCCTGGCTCTGGGTGTGTGTGTGTGTGTGTGTGTGTGTCCTGGCTCTGGGTGTGTGTGTGTGTGTGTGTCCTGGCTCTGGGTGTGTGTGTGTGTGTGTGTGTGTGTGTGTCCTGGCTCTGTGTGTGTGTGTGTGTGTGTGTGTGTGTCCCGGCTCTGGGTGTGCGTTTCACACTCCCTCCTCCTCTGTCTCTCACAGCGCTGTACAGACTGGCCAGTGAGGACCTCATCATCAAGCACAGGTACGTGAACACGGGGTGGGGTGGGGGAGGACAACAACAGCAACAACTTACATTTGTATAGCGTCTCGGAGGACAGAGCACGATGCCGAGGCGGGGGGGGAGGTGACCGTGGGTGACCGAAGAGTAAGGTCTTCAGGCGTGATCTGAAGATGGGGAAACATGGAAACAGGAGGAGGCCATTCAGCCCCTCGAGCCGGTTCTGGCATTTTATAAGAGCGTGGCTGTCTCTGCACCTCATATCCAGTTACCCGTCCTTGTCCCATATTCCTTAATCACCCTTTATCCGAACAAATATCTATGTGCGGGAAGGAAGGAAGGAAGGAAGGGGGCAAGGTGGAGGGGCAGAGGAAGAGCGTTCCAGAGTTTGGGGCTGTAGTGGCTGGAGCAGGGTGGGGGATGGGGGGTGGGGGGGGGTGTGTTGCTGGTTGGGAGGGGCCGGTGCTGACATCTCCGATTCCCTGCTCAAAGGATGAGGCTGAAGGATACACCGTGGCTCGCTAACAACTGGAATTCCAGCAGCTTCTGCAAGAACTTCAGCCCGACCGTCACTCAGCCTCTGTGGCTCAGCAACGACCAGAGATCGCTGGACACGGGTACGAGGGGAGGGGACGGGGGAGCGAGGGGAAGCTGGTCCCAGTCGAACAAACACCCCGTACCGAGCTGAGGGAAGAGGGACTTGAAGACAGATAGAGGTCGGGGCGGGTGATGGAGGGAGGTCCAGAAATTAGGCTCGGAGAATGGGAAAGGTCACTGGGCGAACCTGCCCGAGTGAGGGGAGTGAGGGGAGTGAGGGGAGGGGAAGATCCGAGAAGCAACGTCAACAACCTGGGCCACGAGGTGTAACGTTGTCACTCAATCCCCGGCTGTTTGCGGGGAAGCTGCTGTGCGCAATCGGCCGCCGCGTTTCACCCACAGGACCGCGCAGTCACTCCATTTTACCGCGTATCCTGTGAAGCGCTTTGCGGCGCCTCGAAGACGTGACCGGGTGCGAGGATTATCATCGTTATTATTATTGTTATATTATATAATTGTTTTTTTCCTCTCGCAGAATCGCTGGAGGAGGAGAAGAAACCCCAGAGCCCCGGAGACCAAGGTGTCCGGATCGTGCCCGATAGTGGGATGTACGGCACGTTTTACGTGGATTTTGGGGGTAAGGATATGAGGCAGTTCAGCGTTCCAGCCGGACCCTCCCTCAACAACTGCGTTCCCCTCAACAACGCCAAGGCCTTGGACACCGAGACCCCCACTTTGCCGTGGAAACCAGCGTTCCCACCGCAGCCTCACCTGGAATCGTGGGATAAAAAACGCGTTAAAGGTGAGAGAGGGGGAACGAGACTCCGTCTGGGAATAACATAAACACCGTCCTTCAAGGCTCGAAGCAAACCTCCGGCCTCGAACCCTCGGATTTTTAAAGTTACCTTTCTCGGAAAGTTCCTGAAACCCATCTCGGTTTGGCAGACGGACGCGCCTGGTCTCTGTTTCCGCCCTCGAAATACACCGGTCACTCCATCCGCTTTACGTCACGTTGCCCTGCGAAGCGCGTCTGAGACGCCTCGGCCACGTGATCAGGCGCTGTGCCGCACGGAAGGGAAGGATTGTCTTGTTTTAAAACGACGATCGTTTTCAGGCCACGCGTGTGCGCGTGCGCGTGTGCGTCTGCGAGGAAAGAGAGCCACGGAGGGAGGTCCGGAAATTAGGCTCGGAGAACGGGAAAGGTCACTGGGCGAACCTGCCCGAGTGAGGGGAGTGAGGGGAGTGAGGGGAGGGGATGATCCGAGACGCAACGTCTACAACTGAGCTACGTGGAGTCCTGTAGCTCAGTGGTTAGAGCACTCGCTTTGCAAGTGAGAGACCTGAGTTCAATTCCAGGCAGAGGGCGAAACCTCGGGCAAGTTTCCTTACTCCACACAGAGCCTAATAATAATCCTCCAAAACCAAAAACAATAATAAATTGGTCATTTTCAATCCACGACTGTTTGTGGGACATTGCTGTGCGCAATTGGCTGCCGCGTTCGCCCACAAATATACAGTCAATTCACTTTACAGTGTGTTCTGTGAAGCGCTTTGGGACGTCCTCTCCCGACGTGAAAAGCGCTATATCAAATGCAAGGATTATTATTATTATTATTATTACAACCTGGGCCATGAGGCGCAACGTTGTCACTCAATGCGTGGCTGTTTGTGGGACTTTCTTGCCGTGTTGTGTGTTCAGTTATTGACCGCGGCCGTTCTCCCCGGACCCCCTTTTGAGCACGACGCAGTGCCCGCTCTCGGCCAGCGGAGGGCACCACGCACCCACAGTTTTGCACCAATATCCCACCTGCGGTCGCTAACTCAAAGCTCTGCGGGTAAAGCCCCCCCCCGCACCCCCCCACCCCTCAAATAACACCGAGCACAACTCCACGGCCATCCCGGGCGACTGTCGGGCTCCTGCGGTGTTGGTTCACAGATCCTGACCTCGTGCGTCAGCCTGGCTCAGTGGGTAGCCCTCTCGCCTCGGGAGTCAGGGAGTCGCGGAGCTGAGACCCCCCCCCACCCCCAACACCTCCCCCCCCACACCACGCGACTGTTCGTGGGGACGTCGCTGGGCGCAATTGGCTGCCGCGTTTCACCCACAAAACACGCAGTCACTGCACTTTACAGTACATCATCCCGTGAAGCGCTTTGAGGCGTGTTCTCCGGCGTAATAAAGACGTTATATCAAATGCAAGGATTATTATGATTAATATTATTATTATCATCTCCGGCAGGGACAGGGCGGAGCATGATGAAGACTTTCTGCTCCCCAAAACTCCCCCCTCGGGCTGTGGGGTTACAGCTGGTGGACGTGCTGCCCCCTGCCCCGCCTCGCCCCAGGGAGGAGCAGGAGCCACGAGCCGAGCGAATGATGGAGGGGTGAGTGAAAATTGCCGGTGTGGGGGGCAAACATAACTGGGGAGGGGGTGGGGCGACGTGATGTGATGATTAACACGGCATGCAACATTCTGTACCCGGAGACTTCCCAGTCGATGCAGATAAAATTAACCGTTTCCCTCCTGGCTGTGTGTGGGACATTGCTGTGAGCAGTTTGGCTGCCGGGTATCGTCCACAGAATCTGGTGTGTATGTGTGTGTGTGGTGTGAATTGTGCGTTTGTGTGTATTATGTGCGTGTGTTGTGTGTGTGGTGTGTGTTGTGTGTATTATGTGCGTGTGTGTGGCATGTGTTTGTGTGTGTTGTGTGTATTATGTGTGTGTGTGTGGTGTGTGTGTGTTGTGTGCATTATGCGTGTGTGTTGTGTATGGTGTGTGTGGCGTGTGTTGTGTGTGTGGTGTGTGTATTATGTGTGTGTGTTGTGTGTATTATGTGTGTGTTGTGTGGTGTGTGTGTGTGTGTGTGTGTGTTGGTCGATGATCACAGCGAAAGCTCTTTGAGTCGTTCTGACGTTGTATTAAATACCAGGATTAATACGACTGTCAAATGAATAAAAATGGATCCGCTTCTGTACCCCAGGTCAAACAGGCCTAAGAATCTTCCGGAAAAGTCCCCAGAAGTCCGCAGGAGGGATGGACTTTGGTCTGCTCGGGGAGACGGCGAAACCTCCGCCCGGTACAGCCGTCTCTCCTCCGTCTCCGTCTCTGTCTCGGGCGGCGATGAGAACGAGTCCGTCCTGACGTGGGAGCGCGCGTTGCGGAGTCTGGAGCTCGCGAGGGAGGAGTCGCATCCCAGGTGAGCGTCGCTGGGGCCACGTGAAGTGGAGGAGGGTGTGGGGGGTGGGAGGGGGGAGCTTCTGCCTGTGCCATCGTGGGGTCCGGTCCCTGTAGCTCAGGGGTTAGAGACCTCGGCTCACAAGCAAGAGGACCTGGGTTTGACCTAAGGTCGGGGTGAAACCTTAGGCGAAGGAGGGAGGGCGGGAGGGAGAGAGGGAGGGAGAGAGGGAGGGAGACAGGGAGGAGGGAGGAGGAGGGAGGGAGAGAGGGAGGGAGACAGGGAGGGAGACAGGGAGGGAGGGAGGGAGGGAGGGAGGGAGAGAGGGAGGGAGACAGGGAGGGAGACTGCAAAGATGTTACGCACACGCTCTCTATCACCTCCACATCTCTCTGACCTCCTCGCGTCCCACGGCTCACCTCCTCCTCTGCTCTCCCAACTCCCAACTGTGCTTCGCAGGAGGGTTTCCGAGATGCGTTTCCCTGCTCCCCTCTTCCCCCCCCACCCCCCACCCCCCCAAAAAATAAGGGCTGTATATATTCCCAAAGCGCTTCCCTACGGAACATATTGCAGAGAGGATAGACTGTGTGTTTTATATCTGAGACAGACGTAGCTGCCACCGACAAAACCAGGTAAGGTTTGTGTTCCTAACCCCGACATCTCGCGGAGACAAGGTCCATAAGTTTGGGACACGACGTGTCGATGAACGCCGGGGGGGTGGGGGTGGAAGGTGAACCAGACGGACCTTTTCGGTCCTCTTTCCTCCAGCGAACGCTCTTGTTCTCGGTGTTGTTTGTCGTTTTGTTGCTCCACCTCAGGCACTTCACGGACACTTTAACCCTTCGAAGACCCTCCTCGCGCCCCCTCACCTACGGCTACATCTGCGGTCCGACCCTCTCTGACCTCGAGGCCGACTTTGCCGCCGCCGAAGACGAGGAAGAGGACGACGAGGACAACGAGATGGCCCGCGGGAGGCCACGCCTGCTCCTCCGGGGCCTGTGCCGGGCTCCGGGATCCAGCGAGAGTGGCGGCAGCTCGGAGGCGGGGTCTCTGGCTAATGGCTGGGGGTCCGAGTATGAGGACCCCGGCACCAGCGCCCGCTGCAGCCTCGTCAGCTCGGACGCCTCCTTCCTCATGGACGCCAACTTCGCCCAAGCCCTCGCGGTGGCCGTCGACAGCTTCTGCTTCGGTCTCAGGAAAACCGAGCCCCGGAACACTTGCTCAGGTAACCGGGAAAACCAGGGACAGCCTTCCTACATCAACATCTCCCTCCGCACTGTGCGTCCACACTCCCAGGTCAGGGTTACAGACACAGTAACGCTCCCTCTACACTGTGCGTCCACACTCCCAGGTCAGGGTTAGAGACACAGTAAAGCTCCTCTACACTGTGCGTCCACACTCCCAGGTCAGGGTTAGAGACACAGTAATGCTCCCTCTACACGGTGCGTCCACACTCCCAGGTCAGGGTTAGAGACACAGTAATGCTCCCTCTACACGGTGCGTCCACACTCCTGTGACAACACAAAACCGCTTTTTAAACCCGCTGCCCGAATCGAATCGGGGCCAGATGGGAGAGAATGTTTAGTTTGGTTCAGTTTAGTTTGAATTCACTGCAATTCATTTGCATGAGGCCTATTATGTGAATATGGTGCAGATGTGGATAAAAGGGGAAAGAGCAATTCTCTCGTTCTCTCTCTCTCGTTCCTGCAGAGCAGATTTGTAGCCTTGTTAATCCATCCTCTGGTCTCCTCGCTCTCTTTCCACCCCCACCCCCCCTTCCCCGGTCTCTCATTTTCTCCACCAATCTCTCTCGGATCGCTAATCCGAGTATTTAACTTGCTATAAATAGCGTTAAAACCCTCGGAAAAAAAAACAACTCTCACAAACCATTTCGTGCGAGTTTTTAATGCCCGACATCAGGGCAATTTAATGCTTCATTTTCATCGTCGGCCTCGACAAATCCCTGTCCGTCAGTGTGATTCTGTCCCAACACTTCGCAGTCAGTCGGCTGGTGCGGGGAGAGAGGGAGAGAAGAGGGGAGAGGGAAAGCGGTGGGGGAGGAAGGGGGGGGGAGCGAGGGAGTGATAGAAAGGGAAGGGGTGAAACAAGAGAGGCAGAGCGGAGGGGAGAGAGATAGAGAGAGAACGAGGTGGTGGGATGGGGGGGCGGGGGGGGGGGTGAGACGTGAAATATATCTGTATCTGAGAGCCTGTATCCTGGGGAACATTATTTACTGCCGTTTACAGACGTGTGTGTGTGTGTGTGTGTGTGGGAGAGGGGCGGTGAGGCCGGACTGGGTGTTTATAAAATTCACTGCTATATTATTCATGTAATTGAGAGGAGAAACCCACCCCCCCCCCCACCCCCCTCACCCCGACACACACCTCTCGCTGTCACTAACACCTTGTTACAACACACTTTCACACACCGGTATTTACCCTCAACACCCTGTTCTGCGGACCCCACAGTAGCCCCTTTCCCCGGGCGCTCAGCTTAACTCAGGGGTCCGCGGGTTAGCCTGCGTGTAGCCCACTCCCCGTCCGATCGCATCGCCTGACCTTTCGGCAGTCAGAGCCCGTTTCCCAAATGGCCCGGAATGCAGATGAAGTGAAACGTAAAAGTCTGGGTTTTTAATTGGAATTGCTCGCCTGCTCATTTAGCAGCTCCGCGTAAAACCCACTTAAATTGGGGTCAGTCGTCCCTTATTGGATTTGTGCCTTGCCTGAAGCCCCGATACTTTACGACCGGCATTACCGAGAGCGGCTTTGCTGGTCTGGCCGCCCCACGGAACTGCTGACGGAGCTGCCCAGACCAGACAGCACTTCGATTAATGAATCTGCTGCTCGCATCCGGTCTCTCTGGCCCTGCGTTCGGTCAGCCTACTGCTCGCTGAAGCCTTGCCCTGTGTTTCCGTGTGCGCGTCTCGACGTTTTACAATGAAAGAGGTGTCCGTTTAGAAGAGAGATAATAATAATAATAACAACAACAATAATAATAATTTGGTCACTCGACTTCGGTGTGCAATTGGCTGCCGGATTTCGGCCTCAATTCACTTTTTAGTGTCTACACCCGGGTCCTCTTCGCTTGCGAGATGAAGGTGCTGACCACTATGTTACGAGACTCTATACATGTTCAAGTTGTTGTTGTTGTTATTGGTCCCCATTAATTCCTCCTCTTCCCCCCCCCCCACCATTGGGCCCTTTTCCTGGGCAAGTCCAATTTACTGACCGCCTCTCTCTCTCTCTCTCTCTCTCTCTCCCCTGAACCCAGACCTCTCAGCCGCCTCCTCTCGACCAGGCTCCATCCTCGACTCTGCCCTGTCTCACGAGCCCTCCGAAGGGTCAGAGGTCACCGGCCGGTTCCCGGAGCCGGAGATGGAACCCGGTTGGATCTGGGAGTGGAACCCGTCGTGGGCCGGTCAACTCAGGGACCGGGGCCCCCCGAGAGGGGAGGCAATGGCACGTAACCCAACACCCGTTCCAACAAACCCCGAGGGAACAGGGAGATTGCCAGACGAACACCACCGACGAGGCAGATACATTGCCGGTACGATAGTCAATAGTGTTGAATCTCGTTCAGTGTGTTGCTGCCCCCGCGTGAAGGGGGTCCATGTAAACACAAGCGTGTGTTGTTGTTGGTACGGTAAAACTCGCTTAAGCCTGATCTGTATAAATTGTGCACTTGCGTCTTAAGTCGGACATAATAATAATAATAATAATTTGGTGGCTTCAATCCACGGCTGTTTGTGGGGACGCTGCTGTGTGCAATCGTCTGCCGCCTTTTGCCCACAAAATACACGCGTCGCTACACTTTACAGTATATTCAGCGAAGCGCTTTGAGACGTCTCAACAACGTGATTAAGAACGAGGGCTCTGTATCAAATGTGCGGTTTATTATTATTATTATCATTATCCACGTCGTCTGCTGATCCTCAGTGTTTGGAGAGAACAAGTGAGAAGCAGTAACACTGCCCCCGTTTGGCTTTTGCTCTCCAGATGTTTACGGCTGCGAGCGGGACAGACAGGCGGAGTCGTGGGTGGGAGGACCTCAGGTCTCGGTGGCTCCTGTCCGTGTGCCCGGGGCCAGGAGGGAGCCGGAGCGAGCGGGGGCAGGAACCTTCCCCACTGACCCCAGCGCTGTCACCGTGGCTAAGGTGTAGGAGCAGCCAGGGCGGAGACGAGAGCGGTTCGGGAACGTTCCGGAAACCGGGCGCGGTTCTTTGTACATACGGATTGCACGGACTTGAGGGGAGCTGAGCGAGAGCCACTACACGAGATGGAGATGGAGATGGAGAGAGAGGATTGAGAGAGAGAAGCCATATTGGGCCACACCAGGCCAATATGGTTCAATAGCGATCAGGCCTCTGCCTGAACAGTGGCTGTGCGGGTGTGGGTTGGCATTGACGTAGCTCCTTGGTGAGGAACTCCCAAGATCCCAAGACCAAGCTCCGAACTTGTGGTGGGTTTCCATAGCCAGGAGTCCTCTCTGGCTGGAGGGTGGGACTGAGCAAAGGCCAAGTCCCAGGGACAGAGGAACTGGCTTGTAGATTCTGTAGATGGGCATTTGCTGAGATGATTGAGAGGGCATTGAACACCGAGGCAAGTAAGTCTGTCAACCCAGGGGCACCCGAGTGTGAACATATACAGAGCGCTGCCAACCCCTGGCTCGTTACTAACCAATCTAACAATTATATTTAAATTTAAACGGCTCCAAGGCTGACAGGTAGATTCGCCCCCTGCCTCCCTCGTCTCCTTCAAGAACCTCTGCTTTGACCGCGCCTTTGGTCACCCTCCCTGCCCTCCACCCCCCCTGATCCCCAACCCCCAGCTCGGGTGCAAATCCTTAACCTGTCCAGCTCCTGACGTGAAAGGTGTGTAAATGTGATTTGTTGTTAAAATCTTAGAATATCTCAAATATACGCAAAAGTACATTTGCGCCTTGCGGGGGTGGGTGGGTGGGTGGGTTTGGGGAGAAGGGGGTTCATATGAGCTGCGAGGCTGGTGTTGTGACTGACTAACGTTGGGAAGGGAGTCAATGTGAGCTGCGAGCTGCCAGGTCTCTGTTGGATCTCTCTGATGTTTAGTGTCCGTGAGGCGAGACGAAGGTTCCAGAATGTACTAATTTGCCCTCGAAGCCTCGCCGAGCTACAAGGCTGGTTTTGCGCTGCCCATCGTTGGCACAGACCGACTTAACCTTAACCTTACCTGCCCCAGTGTTAATCAATCTAACTACTGACCGATTCTGCCATGGACACGTGCCATTAAAGTAACACAGAAAGGCTTGGCTTGGCGTGTGGATTATTGTGTACTCGGGCTTTGTCTCTGAATAGCAGCTCTGCGACAAAGTAAAACCACACAGCGGGCTGGTCAGAGTGAGTGTTTCACCCTGTTTCCCCAGATAGTGGCTTAAAAATAATGTTAAACACCTTAAAAGCTGGAGCTAAAGGCCACTGTGGTGGCTAGAATTTTAACAATTTCCAGGGGGATCTTTAACAGTCACCCGAACAGGTAGACCGGACCTCGGTTTGACGTCTCATCTGAAGGACGAAACCTCCAACAATGTGGCTCTCTCCCCCCAGCACTGAACTGGAGCATCAGCCTGGACTGTGAGCTCAAAGTTCTGATGTTGGGTTTGAACCCACAACCTTCTGACTCCGAGGCTACGAATACTACAGACTGAGCCAGGCTGACACCTGAAATCACATTAATTCAGGATTAGCACCAGAAGGGGGAAAAAAAGGAGTTGGTTCGATGTGTCTTATACACAGAGAGAGAGAGAGAGGGGGAGGGCGCGGGTGTGGGGGGTGGGGGGTTGGTTAGAATATCGAACAGCTTTAACACAGTCAAAGCTGAAACCGTAATCGCATCTGAAAGGGAAACGGATAACTGCTTGTGAGGAAATAATAAGGGCGTGAGTGAGGGGATGGGATTAGAGAGTTCCAATGGGGAGTTAGCACCAGCACAGACACCACAAGGTCAATGGCCCCCTCCTGTGATTTTGTTTTTCAGGGTGGGGTGGGGGGGGGAACCGGAGCAGTTTTACATAAATTCACATTTACCGGATCACAAGAGCTTGAGTTTGTAATCAAACTGGATTCCATGAGCTGCTGTCACTATTCCAGGATCAACTGCAACAACCACAACTTGCATTTTATATAGAGCCCTTAGAACATAAGGATTTGCCGGACGAAAGAAGACTGAGCTCCATCCAGTTCGCCTTCCACCATCCTGGCCGTCGCTTGACATGTCGTGTCCCAAACGATGCACTGTAATAACCCCGGGATATTATTTCCTACAATAAATCTCTCTAATTTGTTCTTGAAAACAACAGCACTTTCTGCTTCCACCGTCTCCCTGCCATATCACCTGCCCGGTTTCACCTGAAGACCTTCCTCTTCGACCGAGCCTACGGTCACCTCCCCTCCGGCTTGACATCAGGCTCCGCCACTAGCCGTGACATGACCCCGAGAGCGAAGGGTGCTGTGAAAACGCAAGTTGCTGTTGTTGTTCAATGGCCTCCTCCTGTTAGGAGATGAAAGGGGACTTTGTTAAATTACCCAGCACATTGTTGTTGATTGTTTAGGACCAAGATGAAAGCGTTAGGAGCTAATTGCTTGCTTCAGTCCATTAACACGGGCAGTGAATGTGGATGGGAGTACACCTGAGGGAGCTCTCTCACCAGCTGCAGGTCCCCATGTGATTAAAACACTCACCATAAAATCCACCGTCAACGTGACAAGGCAAATAACTGTTATTTTTACTAATTAGTCCAGGAATTGGGAGGCATTAATCCTGCTCCAATCCAGTTTTCACACAGCAACTGTCTGCACAGTAGGAGAGGCTGTTCAGCTCATCGTGTCCATACCACGGGAATCCTGTTCTTCTAAATCATCTTTGTGTTTTAAATCATCTCATTTCCTCTCTCTCTCTCCTCACATCCCTTAATGTTCTCACTGACTATTGAGTGGCCTTTTGTCCGACTCCACTGATCAGTAATTACTTGTGGAGTCCCGGTAGCTCAGTGGTTAGAGCCCTCGCCTCGCAAGCGAAAGGACCCGGGTTCGATTTCCGGGGCAGGGTGAAAAGTTGGGCAAGTTTCCTTACTCCACCCGCCTCTGTTACCGAGGAGTAAGCAGGAACCCGGTTGTTAGTCAATTGATGGGATCGCTTTCCGGGAGTAACAATCCCTTCAAAAAAATTGGAGGGGGGAAAATGGTCAGGGTGAGGGAAGGGAGGGAGCAAGGAGGGGGAAGAGAGTCGAGAGGGGGGGGGGGTAAATGTACTATTTACATTTACACAGTGCCTTTCACGCAGAGAGGACATCTCAAAAGAGCCTTACACCCACTCCAGCCCAAGGGGTGTGTGTGTGTGTGTGTGGTGGGTTGGGAGGGGGGAGGGAGGGAATAAATGACCAAAAGCTCGATGAAAGAGAATAAAAAATGGAGGGGATGGGGGCGGGTGGTGAGATTGCAAGTGGGTCATTTACGAAACCGAGTGAATGATGAACGCCAAACCCGAATGTGGGTCACCTAAAAGCAAGCCGACAGAGAAGAGATTGAGATGAGCTGGACACCAACAGGGCAGACGAGCGTGGAAGGTTATTGTGGGCCAATTGGCATCTTCTCTCTCTCTCACACCCGCCCTCTCTCGCCTTTGGAATCCAGAAGCAGCAAAACCTTTCCTGCCGGCACAGTCAGGCCTGTGTCGATCACGTGGTGACTGTTAATTGTTTATCTCAACCAGAATATTGAGGTCAGGAGAGGATCGGGAGAGAGGATAAGAGAAGAGGGGAAAAACAGGCTCAACTTTTCCAACCCTTCACGCCGACAATTATTGCTTCTCTCTCTTGCGCTCTCTCTGTTTAGATCAGCCAGGATTTCATCTCTTTCGTTAAGCCGACAGGGACACAAACAAGTTAAGATTCTTTTTTTTTTACAAAAAAGACCATCCAGCGAAGCGACAGGGAATGGTATCTGATTGAGAAGTATCTGAGGCCAAGCTAACGACGCACTTCCTGTCTGGGATCAACCACTTCCTAAACCACAAACCCTGCTTCGCCCACAAAGCACACAGTCACTACACTTTACACTGTGCCCTGTGAAGCGCTTTGATACGTCTCGAAGATGTGATAAGGCGCTATATCAAAATGCAAGGTGTTGCTGTTATTATTATTATTATTAACAAAGACTAGTTCTGTGGGAGAGGAAAAGAGCCATGAAAGAGGAGAAGAGCAGGGAGGCCGAGCAATGAGGAGATCGAGGGGAGAAGGGAGGAGAGGGGAGAGGCAGGAAAGAAGAGGTTCGAAGAGAAAAAAAAATTTGAAGCCCGAGAAAACACAACTTTAAGTAAATTTCCAAACGATTCAGAAACACCGAGAATGTTTTTTTTTTGGGGGGGGGGGGGGGGGGGAGAGCAGGAAATAGTAAATGAGAGAGATTCAGTGAAGACCTTGCTCCTCAAGCTCAGCATGACCTCAGTGGCCGTGATTTCACAGAGAGCAAATTGCAGCACTCCCCCAGACGGATGACTCCGAAAATAGCAGCCGGGTTACCAGCAGATGATTGACCTCGGCAGAAAACGATCATTCAGACCCGAGGTGACCGAGGTTTCTCACTGATCAGTGAGGAAGGAACACAAAGAGCATCAATTCAGACAATAACCAGGTGGCCACGGGAAGATTAGAAGATCTTTCTCACCTACGTCTGGCTGAGTGCGTCTCGTTTAAGGGGAATTGGATAAGGAATTCAGTTAAAAAATAGTATAGTTCTTACAGACTGCTGATTGCTATTCAGGGATGTACAAGGTTAGGGTGTGCGCGACTTTCCCTGTGAATCCTTCCACCTCCCGACCCCCTCCCCCTCTCATTCTGTCTTCGTATAAAAAATTGTCAGCACCTTTTTGATTGGGGAAAAAGGCTGCGTTAAAGTCGCATCTCCCCCGGGGATGTTGTTTTCCCCAGTGATTCATGTCATCCTGTCACACGCAGGTTTTGCAAACAAACAGAGTGTTCGAGCCAAACACATTTTAAAGAGGACGGTGCCCTTTAAATCGTGGGATGAAGGAAGGAATGAAGAAATTAATGAATGATTAAACAGTTTGGCCATGCACATTCGGACACCGGTCATTAATCAAACCCAAACTGTGGAGATTGCAATCCTGGATCCGCTCCCTGTTTATTTGCCCGTCAGGAAGCCCTGATGGAATCTGGTTGAGAAATTGGGGAGGATTCCACAGACTTAATGATCACAAAGGCTCCGGTGCCGAACAGAGGGGTTTATTCCCAGGAACAATGGCACTTTAACGTGGGAATATCCGCGTTTCCCTGCCCTCGGATCTGTACGGAATAGTTGGGGAGTCGCAGCTTTTTTTAACCTCGTAAATTTAACACTCTCCCAGGGGGCGAGAGAACAATAAACCAGGAGTCTGGATGGGTTTACGACTCTAATATATAAATAAGAATAATCCTTGCATTTGGTATAACCTAACGCTAACCCTAATGTTTTGCCCACCAAATACACAGTCAATTCACTTTGCATTACATCTTGTGAAGCGCTTTCAGACGTCTCAACGACGTGATACGGCGATTTATCAAATGCAAGTTATTAATATTATTATTATTATAGCGCCTTTCATATCAGAAGGATGTCTCACTGCGCTTCGCAGGATTTTACCGTGAAGTGTAGAATCATAGAATCTTGCAGCACGGAAGGAGGCCATTCGGCCCATCGTGCCTGTGCCGGCTCTTTGAAAGAGCTGCCGACTAGTCCCACTCACTCCCCTACTCTTGCACATGTTTCCTTTTAAAGTACCTCTCTAATTCCCTTTTGAAAGCAATTATTGAATCTGCTTCCCCCAGCTTTTTAGGCAATGTGTTCCAGACCGTAACAACTCTCTGGGTATATAAAAAAAATTCTCGTCTCAACTCACATCTCATCTCACCTCCCGGCTCACTCCGTCCAGTAACAATTTCTGTAACATTAGGCTCACCGCCTTGATGACAGAAAGTGATTTCCTGGTCGCAGCAAAGGAGGAAATTTAATAAATTCCTGCCCCGGTCACTGAACCCACAGACGGGAAATGGCGCAGGAAGCCGAGTATCTTACCTCATGTTTCCTACAGATCCCAACTCTCGAAGCACCCGGTGTCCTTGGTTTCAGAGACGTCTGTGGAGTCTGGGCCCCATTTTCCTTTTGTGGGGGCTCGAAGGGGTAGATTTCGGAACCAGGAACTCAGGGCTGTTCACTGTAGGAGCCAGGAGACGATATTCAGTTAGGTCAAACGGGCACCGACAACACAATACAGATTTACGTTTACGCAGTGGCTTTCGTGTCAGGAGGACTTCCCAAGGTACTTAACAATTGGCTCCCGAGCTGGGGGTGGGGATAGGGGTGGGGAGGGGAAAGATGGCTGAAAGCAAGGTCTCAAGATGGACTTGGAACGAGTTAAGGAGAGGGAGTCAGAGGAACTCTGGGGTGGAATGTCTTGACACACACATGGAACCCTATCACCGTGTCTCCAAACCAGATAAGGTTCCACATGCACATAAACAGGGAGTCTTCACCATGTCTAATGTGGAGGTTACACAGTCCCCTCAAAAGGGACTCACCTGTTCACCTAATCCCAGAAGGTATTACCGCAGGACATCAAGAGTGTGTGTCGAGGGGGTTGTATAGGAGCTGTGTACTCACCATTGTCAAATCGTAGGTTTACAAGGCCGTTTGCGCTCGATCCATCAGAACAATGTCGCTGTAGCTTCTCCCCTGGAGTCGTGCTCTCTCTCTCTCTCACTCGACCCTTTTCTATTCTTACTCTTCAATTATTTATTCATTTCCTTTTTAACTGTTGTTATTGTCTTGGCTTCCGCACGGCTCGCAGACAAGTATTCCGTGTTCAAGTGAGGCTCACACGCCAGCGGACACGTGTACACTTACCCTGACGCACACCCAACTACACACGCGCACACACTCACGCATTCACCCTCACACATACACACACGCACGCGCACACACTCACGCACACACTCACAAGCCTACACTCGCACACGCATTCACCCTTACGCAGTCGACACGCTTGCACACTCGTGCTCGCACTGATTGCACTCGCCCACGCACCACAAAGAGACAGCGACGGATCCCCTTTTGAATCTTTTAAAATGTTTTAATTCTTTTAAAAAATTATAGTCTTCGGGTTAGAGAAAACCAGAGTATTTTTTGGTCAGGTCTAACAATAGCATTATTTTTTTGGTACAATTTGACTTTACATCGTAAACCGGCAACAGAAACCACGGAAACCCTGTCAGCAGCCTGGGCAGGAGCGCGGCAACGGCTCGCAACACTCAGGGGACGGGTGACAGGGGTTGGGCTGATCAAGCCAATGGGTTCCAAGGCTTTCATCCTACATCTCACTCACCAGCAACCGCCCCAGGACTACCATTGCGACAACACTTCATTGTCCATCTGGTTAACAACTAGACCTGCCTCTGACCCCATCTCCCAGTCCCACAACGTGATTGACTTGGGCATTGTGGGCAGATATCGATCGATTGGCAACGATGAGGGGGGAAGTGGGGGGGGGAGAGCAGTGCTGCTCCACCAGCCCACGGGATCGCTCGCCCGAAGCACCTGAAGTCGCCCACTTGAAAACCACTCTCTGAAAACCAAAGCTAGACGGTGCCTTTCAATCTTGACAGACACCCACCCACCAATCTTGCGAGGTCCCAGTCACCGCTTCATCTCCCGCTAACTCCCGCTTTGAAAAAAACCACAGCCAATTCTCCCATCGAGTCTCGATTTCTGAAGCCTCCGATATTCTTAAGAAAACGGTTTCCGGGACCGGAGAGACCGAATTGGGAGGAATTGGCCCCCGAATTCCAGAGGAGCCTTTCCCCAAATCCTGCGGTATCTTAGAATCTTTCAAGTTTTTCAAGCCAGACTCCTAAGGATCTGGGGAACCTGGGGAACTACTTTCCTCCTTTTAACAAGCGTGGAAACCCATCACCGTGCTGAAGAGTCTCCAAACCAAGCCGAGAAGCCCCCGCCTCCCACCCACACATGGAAATCCCAGAGATAGATTGTTGGAATGGAATTCTCTCTCCCTCTCCCTCGCTGGAGGGACACATCCTGTTTACCTAATTCCGGTGTGTATTAGGCGCAGGTGGGGGGGGGGGGGGGGGCGGGGGGGGGCCCAGACTGTGAGTTGGGGTAACTGCTGGAGTCTGACCAGCTGTGAGCGCCCCCTGTAGTTGGGTTGCTGTTGGGGTTGTGCTTGTGTGTTAACAAGTGCAAATCGAGATCCAGCTGTTAGGTTTCTGAGACTCGCACTTGCTGCTGATAAAAAGATTGGCACATTCAGACATTCACTATGATATCCAACATTATCCTTACTCGCTCCCACCCCCCCCTCCCCCACCCCGCTCAATTTCCCCTCCCTTCCCCCTCTCTCTCTCTCTCTCCCCCTTATTTATAAATACGCTCTCACTGGAAAGCCAGGAAAATATGTGGAGAAACCAATTAGCACCGCTCCCACCCCGAAACCCCCCCCCCCCCCCACTATGTACAAAATGAACACGAGTTTTTTCCTGACGTCTCAACAGTACGGTCATAAATTAAAACGGAAACCTTTTAAAATGTTGCTGACTTTCTTTTCAAACAAGGCAACAAATTCTGTACAGCGGCGGGGGGGCGGGGGGAGTTTAGCAGGAGCCACTTCCCCTCCCCCACCACCGAGCCCCCCCCCCCCCCCGCACCCCCAATCCACCCTCTGCCCCCCAAGTGTCTCAGGTCTTCTCTTCATCTGGAGTCCTGGGAAGGAAAATAAAAACAGTGTGAGATTCAGAGCCCAACTCCACACACAACACAGACCAGAGAGGAAGACTTTTTATAGCTCCATATTCCCCCAAAATGAGCGTCTAAGGGAATAGCGAGGTGTGAGAGAATAATAATGATATAATAATAATTCTTGCATTTGATGTAGCGCCTTATCACGTTGTTGAGACGTGTTAAAGCGCTTCACAGAATACAGACAGGAACTTGGACCTGAGCTGGGGGTTGGGCGCAGGAGGGGTGGAGGGCGGGGAGGGTGGGGGTAGGAGGGTGACTGAAGGCACGGTCGAAGAGGAGGGTCTTGAGATGGACCTTGTCGGAAACAAGGGAGGGGGTAAGGCGGAGGGACTGTGGGGGTGGAGTTCCAAAGGGTGGGGGCAGAGAGGCTGAAGGCCTGACTACCTCTTTGAGGGAAAGAAAAGTGAGAGAGAATTCTGATTAAACGTATCAACCGGTGTCTCGCGGCCTCTGTTCTTGGATGGTTTAAATATTTCAAGTTCCAAAAGTCTCCGGTTAAGGGGAATTGTAGATTGCGGGGCGTTAACTGAACAAGAGTGAAATGTAATCAGGCCATTGACATTTGCTGACACCTGGAACAAAGGCTGAGATAGTTTCAATCTCTGAGGAAGGCCCCAGCCTCAACCTATCTCCAATCTTATAGGAACTCATCACTCCTCTCCCCGGGGGAACGAATGCTTTGAATAGATCACAATTAAGACACGAGGATTTCACCCCTGATGCTCCGAGTCAAAGAGGATCATTGTTTGCAGTGTTGCTGTCAATACAACACACCCACACATACACACACACACACCCACATATACACACACACACCCACCCACATACACACCCACACACACACATATACACACACACCCACCCACACACACTTACAAAACACGGTAAAATTGCACTTAACTAAATCACCAGACAACGTTTATATTTCTATACCGCCTTCACACAGGGTGACGTCTTAATAAAAGTGCATTAATAATATTTTATTATCATAAATAATAATAAAATTAATTGATAATTATTACCCCCCGGAAAGCGATGCGCCAATCCACTAACAACCGGGTTCCTACTTACTGCTGGGTAACCAGAGGCGTGTGGGTGGAGTAAGGAAACTTGCCCCACCTTTCATGTTGCCCGGGAATCAAACCCAGGTCTCTCGCGAGGCTCTGACCACTGAGCTACAGGCGATCAGCAACTCAGTCCAGAGAGTCCAACCTTGACCTGCCGCTCACTCCACGTGACAATGCCTTAAGCCACGGCGGGGAGGAGTGGGGAGCGGGGGGGGAATTGGTGAAGCAAGAATTTGAGTAGCCTCTCAGGACATTCCCCCACTTTGCTCCCTGACAATGTCTCCATTCACTCCCAGCAGCTGATCTGCGGGGGGCGAGGGGCACGACAGCGTCAGGGAGTTTCCCTCTCCCCACACCCCAGCCGAGTGTGTAACAGTTGCCGGCCATTTGTCCATCTGCCGGGGAGAAAAGCTGTGACCTCTGAACGTTGGGAGTCAATCAATTTTAGGGCTGTCACGTTCCTTGTACATTGTACTGCACCGAGCAGAACAGATCAGAGATTTACAGGGTGAGATTTGCCTCCCAGTGTTTTGTGGCTTGTGATATCCAAACCTGTTCCTTTTCCTCTCCTCCTCCACTCACCCCCCCGCCCCCACCCCGCACACACACAACTAAGTACCAGCACCTTTACCCCCCCCCACTCCCCCTCCATCACGCACGTTCACACACTTATACACACACACAGTCAACATGACGTCCAGCTCTTGGGATCCAAGCTCTTGTTATCGGATCCCCCCAGCACCTGCTCACAAAGGCAAGGCTCCCCTCAATCTCACGGCCTTAACTAAATCCTTTAAAGATGTCTCTTACACACTGCAGGAAAAAAAAGGATCGGGCTAAAACAACAGTTTCCCATCAGACGTCCGAAAAAAAAAGGAGTGGGTTTCGGTTCTCATTAAACGATCGTGTTGCAACGACCCTGATATCTGACTCCGTTTCACATTTTTCTAGCACTCCTGACCTCAGGCTAAACAAAATAAATTCCTTCACTGCCACCGAGCGGCCTTTGAAGTCTATCCCATAGATTTGTAATTCATATATTAAAGGCATGTTCAATTCATTAGAACTTCGGGGAAAGCTTAATACATTCTGTTCCCCTTTAGGGTGCGATTCACCGTCAAGGCTTGCGAGAAGTTTATCATGCACACACAGGCCTCAGGTTACATCTGCGACAGAGCAACTTAGGCCAACTGAGTGTTTTCAGAAGGAAAACTAATATATATTAATTTCCAAATACTCATAACGGAATGTTGGCTTTGCAGAAAGCTCACGTCCGCACGATAACAAAAAATTAAGATCTAATAATTGCCAAAAATCTGGGTTTGTGTGGGGCCTACAAACCCATCGAAAGTCTGGCTACTGGAAAAGCGTATTAACAGGACGTGAAGGTCTGAATGTGAGGCTGCTGTCAAGAGCGATGGGCCTCAGAAACCCACCCGCCCGCTGCGGTTTTCATTGAAAAGTAAGAGGTGGATTCAACTCTGTCTGTAGTTGTTCAGAGGAAGCCCGTTCAGCCCTTGGCGGGCCCCAAATAATGCTAACCAGCTCTGCTCAGGAAGAGTTTATTGCTATGATTGTGACAGATTTGGTCTCTATCCAAACAGGTTGCCTGAATGTACTGCTTTCCATTAGTTCATAATACAAGACAACTCCAGTCATGTAAAGCCCTTGCTACTGGCACTGACTATCACACTGACTACGACATTGATTATAACATTGAGCATCGACAATATCAACAACAACAAATGACATTTACGCAGCATCCCAAAGCCCTGGATATACAAGAATTTGGACCCGAGCTGGGGTTTGGGGGCTGGGATCACGAGGGGTGGAGGGCAGGGAGGGTGGCGGTAGGAGGGTGATCAAAGGTGTGGTGGAAGAGGAGAGTCTTGAGACAGGCCTGCCTTCAATGGACAATATTCTCTTGTGAATCCTGTCTCGTACATTTGTGGGTCGCTTCAGATGTCTCCTCGCTCCGTAAACTCGAGCCGACTGCATGTCCCTCTCTACCCCCCCCCACCCGTGCTTCCCGGCATCAGCGGGGGCGAGCTTGTTTAGAACTCGAATTGAATCAAACCCCCGTCAAATCTCCTCAGAAAGCACTCACTCCCATGACAAACACACACACAAACACACACACACACACACAAAGGAAAAGTGGTTCGAAAGAGCTGTGAATGATGGAAGCCTCCAGCAGGAGGGGGAAAGAATTGACAGCTCTATGCAGCTGACATCGCTCTCACAAACCCATCTTTTCATTTTCAATGGCAGCCTGAGTCAGGCGGTATCAGGTAGATAAGGAATGAATCTTAATACAATGATTAGCTTTGTAATTTAAGCTGGGTAATAGAGCTGTAAAGCACTAAGGATTCCTGACACAGTTATCTGTAAATACTTGCCCGCAGGAACGGGTCATACAAAGCAGCCACACAGCACTCGTCAGCTAACCGTTCCTCCGCTTCTGTAAGCAGTGATAAGTTAACTCTTAAAAGGCAACTGCTCGTTTTTTATCCTTCTTTTTCGGTGCCCGTTTCTCCTTTTCTTCTCTCGTTCCCCCGCGTGTCCACTTTGTGCATCTATAGAGTGAGTCTCCAGGAGGGGGAAGGGGAGAGGATGTGTTGTTGGGGACGCCCCGCTTTTACTGATGAAGCTGAGGTGCCCCATCTCAGGTGGACGTTAAAGTAGCGTAGGCTCCTGTAGTGTAGTGGTCAGCTCGTTCGCCTCGCAAGCGAGAGGATCTGAGTTCATTTCCCGGGCAGGGCAAAACATTAGACAAGTTTCCTTACTCCGCACGCCTTTGTTTACCTAGCGGCAAGTTGGAACCCATAACATAACAAAACACTTACAGGTTATGGAGGGAATGGGTGGGCCAGATGAAATTGGAGGAGGGGGAGCGGCGAGACAGAATCGGTCCACCAGTTGGATCACCCTAGAATAGAGAATGGCATCTTCACCCAGTTTCCTGGCCAACGACTAGGTCTCAGCCTGGCTCATGTTGGCCGGTAAGAATTCCCTGGCTCCAAGGCCCACTCACCTCAGCACAGTCTGGCCCTCTGTTGCGCCCCGCTCCGTGGCTCCGAGAGCCTGTTGAACCTCTGGAAGATGAGCTTCCTGTAGTGGAGCAGTTGCTGGAGACCTGTCCTCGCGACAGGTAGGTGGGCTTACTGTACGGTATCACGTCATCGTCTGCAACCACACAAACAGCAATCAGAGGAGGTATCATCCAACAGCACAACATCCCCAACCCCAACCTGCTCGAGGAGAACACAGTAAAACCTGCGGACGTCTGATCTGTGTAAACCTTATGGTCGCCTAAATCATGGGCATCATCCAGCCCACCCACTCCCCCCTAAACCTGCAAACGTTATTTTCTCAAATGGGGTTTTTTCTGGAATTCCTGTTAGAGAGTGTGAGAGCCACTATCTCCCTGCCTAACCCTAACCCACTTCACCCAGATGACACCAGCGTTAATGGTTATGGCTATGAAGATGAAACTCAAGTCTTCACTGGAAGAGAGGAAGTTAATGGCGAGTTAGCAGAAGCTTTCACAACCTCTGGGGCGGTTTGGAGAGGACACAGATTGTGAGAGGTTATTCCCGCTGGTTGGTGAGTCAATAACTAGGGAGCCTGAGTTCAGGATCAACCCTGGAGGAGTTAAGGAGGAGGTTAGAAGAAAGCTTTTCACTCAGAGGGTTTTCGGAACAAGAACGCTTTGGTACAAGTAAATTCTGAGGCTGGGATCGTGAAGACAACTGTGAGAGAACTGGGTAAACATGAGAAGGAGTCAGCAATCAAAAAAAAAGAGCGAGGCATTAGGATTAGAGTACGCAGCTCTGTTTAGCCCACTCGAGGCTTGATAGGCCGAATGGCCTCCTTTTCTCTCCCTAACCCAGCACTCTTAAGGACAACACAACCTTTTCTGAGGTTCTGATCTAACGGAGTAAACGCTGACTGTGGATGAGGCTCAACTCCAGTCCATTCCCAGTGACGGTGTCCATCCTTTCCAAGTTCTGCCACCTGTCCTCTCACCGTTTTTGTGCCTCGCCGACCCTGCTCTGCCGTGGGGATGCCCGCTCTCCGTCCGCTGATCTGCCGACGGCCTCCTCTCTATGGACAAAGAGCTCCCTTCGCGGTCCAGTGAGGTCAGGCTGCTCTCCGTGCCGGGGGACTGTAGGTGAAACCTTTCCGCGGATCCCTCAGCAGGGGGGGGCTCGGGCGGGGGAGGCAGGTCTGTCCAGGACAGAGATACACGGAGTCAATATATGGTCCCTCAACCAATTGGCTCCACCTCCACTCCGGCCAGGCATCCAGTCTACTGACCATCTGACCAGGGATCTACTCCACTCCTCGCAAGTGATCCACTTCACTCCTGGTCAGGTGTCCAATCCATTCCTGACCGCCCAGGAATCCACTCAACCCCTGGCCCGCGATCCACTGCCCCCCACCCTCACACCCCTGGTCTGTGATCACCTCAGCTCCAATCCAGAGATCCACTCTCCACTCGGCAAGTGATCTACTCACAGTTAGCCATCCACTCTACACCATATATCCACTCCATCTGTGGTCAATGATCCACTGTACACCCACCTGAGATCCACTACGCACTCGCCCAGACATTTCATCCCGTCCTTCTCCATAGATCCACTCATTCCTGGCCAATGATCCACTCACCACCTGAACAGAGATCCACTCTACTTTCTCAGAGCCAGGGATCCCAAACCCGTGACGAACTCCATCCACAACCGGTAACCCAATCCCATGCAAGGTATCTGCTGCACTCCCGGTCAGTGATCGACCCATTTGCCATCTGGCCAGAGACCCACTGACAAGTGATCCATTCCAATCATGGCCAGTGATTCACTCCACAACACAGATCTACTGCATCCACGGTGGCTTGAAAGCCACTCCACCTGAGCCACTGATTCATTTCACTACTCGCAAGGGATCTGCCCCATCCAGAACCAGAGATCCACACATCTGGCCAGGGATCCACTCACCCCTTCATTTGGGACATTTTCTGCACGGAATTTGGTGGCCTTTTCCCATGACGTCTTGTTATTAATCCCATTTCCCAGCTCTCTCCCCACATCAGATGTTTTCTGATCCCATTGATCCAGCCTCAAACAGCTCTTTGTGGGATGACATCCCAAACCCTACCCAACCCACTGAGTGAACAGATTCTTTCTCACCTCCTCCCTAAATCTTTCCGGAAACCTTTACAGGTAACGGGTCTGTGTGCTGTGTTTCACTTGAACCAGGTGTCAGGTACAGAATTCTACGGTGTCTTAGCCTGTGTGACTCTTACAGTATATGAGTAATTCAGGACATGACATGTGAATGTGACTGCCAGGATGGTGGAAGGTGAACTGGATGGACCTTGGTATTTTTTTTTGGTTGAGCATTTTCCTATGTTGCTAACTGTCCGGACAGAGAGGCCGGACATTGTCTCACACTCACCCCCCTGAGCGAGGTCACGCCGGTAGTGGTTGGACTTGGCTTTCTTCTTGGCTCGTGCTTTCTGGCTGGGAGGTGTGCTCACGCCTCCGCTCCCCACCCCTGGGGGTGTCTTGTCTTCCCTGGTAAACGAAACAGAGCAAAATGATGTTGAGAGAGAGAGGCGAGTAGAAGGCGGGGATGTTTTTAAATGTATTTTTGATCGGCTGACCCATTCGTCTGACACACGCGGAAACCCGTCACCATATTAGGTGCAGGTTGGCAAGAGCCAAGGCTTGAGGAGAGTGTTGGGGTCACCGCTGGATTCTAACCAGCTAAAAAAAAGACATTGATTGTCATTGATATCGCTCTCTGGTAAGCTTTCCTGTGGCTTGTCTGGCTAGGACTACCCTACCAGTCAGGGCTTTGCAGGAGATGGGGAAGAGGCACTGACACTGGAGTGTCAGCCTAGATGTAGGCCAATGCTTGTCATTAACCTCTTCTCTAGAGACCTGAACCCTCTCCCTGCAGTACTGAGCTCCATTCCCAGACCCCCATTCATCACAGCTTTCGCAATGTAACATTCCACTTGGCTCCATCAGATCAGACGCCCGATTCATTCAGAGCTTCAATAAACCAGAATAAAATAATTATTCATTTATCGGTAATTTGCTGTCTGTTCTCCCCAGTCAGTCGCTTCCCTCCTCACTGATTTCCCTCACGTGCACATAGTGTTATCTTTGTTTTTCTTGTCGAGGGGGTGGGGGAAGTGGGGGGGGAGAAGGGAGTGGGCGAACACACGATTTGAATGAAAACACAGAAGCATTGAGCGTCTCCATTCGTGCAAGTTCCAATAGAGGTAATTGAGTTAAATCTGTGGCATTTCTATAGCATTCACTCCTTAATTAAGGGTTGACACGTGTGTTGAACCACCGCATCCACCCATGATTTTGAATAAGCTGGGACGCCACCCTGTGAGAGGGGCCCCATGTAAATGCAAGTTGTTGTTGTTGTTGAATAATGGACGCACCCAAAGGTGGCTGGTAATCTTGGGAGCCTTTCTTTCGCATTTCCCACAGTCGTTACGGCTTCTAATCTAAGACTTGATTTGAAAAGGATTTTCGACCAATTCTGGTTCCATATTAGCATTCGAAGGGAAAATGGCCTCGCAAGCTAAGACCAGGTGGAATTTCGGGCCACCAGAGTCCTAACGTCGTTTAAAATTGCGTGCCAGTTCTGGGCACATGACTCCTTGTGTTTCAAGCGACTCACTCATTTTAAAGATGATATAATGGGATTAGAGTGTATCTCATTTGGCCTCATTACTCGGGCACAGAGCTACGGCTGCTTTCAGACTTGCAATTACGCAGCCTATTCACTTACACACATTAATAGGACAGCACATGAAATGGATTCCTGGCTGACAATCCGACAGATGAAATGCTTTGCTCGCGTCACCGGCTGTTTGTGGGGCTTCTCAGTGTGGGAATCGGCTGCCATGTTCACCTACAGAACATGCACAGTCACTTTCACCCTTTACGGTAAATCTTGTGAAGCCTCGTCGAGACGTCTTCTTGACGTGGATTGACTGTGGCATTTTGTTGCGTGACTTTTATTTGGGGGGATTTGTCGGCCAGGACACGGGGAGAGAGAAACTCGCTTCTCGTTTTGAATAGCGCCACCAAGGGATCTTTAACGTCCAACTGAACAGGCGGATGGGACCTCAGTTGAATGTCTCATCCGGAGGGCGTCGTCTCCGACAATCCAAACACCCCCCGCCGCACAGCACTGCATTGGTGCGTCGGCTTAGATTGTGTGATTCCTTCCAGGTGTGGGGGGGATTGAACCCAAAACGTTCTGACTCATATATATATATATATATCATAGGTGAGAGAGGGAGTGCTGCCGACTGAGCCAGGCTGACACCACAGAGATGTCGCTCCTGATCTCTGCTGGGAGGTGCGAGTGAGGGTAATTTATCTGGAGGATCATTGGCCGGAACATGAGACACCACTCTCTCCCCCCCGCCCCACCACCACCACCACCAACGACCCCCAGTTGTTGTGTTTCTCACCTGCTGCTGATCCGCTGACGTTCTCAGTACTGCCCGCGTGTGTCTGGCTCAGGTTGCGCTTGTGCCCGTGCCTCTGGGCGCTGCCAGATTCGGATGCCAGGTCCTTCTCGGTGTTGGGGGTTGGGCTCTGGGTCAGGGGAGGTGTTGGGGGTCTGGGCAGAGGGACCGGTCCGATGGCTAATCTCCTGAAACAGCAATAACAAGCAGTGAGAGGCTGGGAGCCTGGCACTGACCTGGGAGTTGTGCAAAGACAACAGTATTGGAGGAGGGAAATGGGCTGAATGGCCTCCTGCTGTTTAGAAGGTTTCTGTGATTCTCTGCAGGACTATTGCTGGGCTGGCCTGGGATGTGGGAGGGTGGGGGGTGATCGGGCAAGAATTTTGCTCGCTCTAAGGTCGTATCTATATGAGCTCTTGGGTTAGCTTTTGTCACCATCTAAACAACAGGAGCTTTCATCGAGCCTCGCTCCCAGCACTCCCAGGTCAGAGATAACACGGATTAGAGACAGAGTAAAGCTCCCTCTACACTGTGCATCCGTCCACACTCCCAGGTCAGGGTTAGAGACACAGTAAAGCTCTCTCTACACTGTGCGTCCACACTCCCAGGTCAGGGTTAGAGACACAGTGAAGCTCCCTCTACACTGTGCGTCCACACTCCCAGGTCAGGGTTAGAGACACAGTAAAGCTCCCTCTATGCTATTATCTATCACCGATGGTTGCTCCTTCTCTAGCTTGTTCCAGGTTGTTACAGACTTCCCCTCAGCCCTGCCTCTTGCCCACACTCACCGTGGCAGCTGTGGGATCTCAAACTGATGTAGCCTGGGAATATCCTCGGACACACTGGGCCCCGCTAGGCGGGCTTCATCTCGCGGCGAGGGGGTCAGGGTGGCGGTGGACTGCTGCCCATAGGACGTGGCGGGCGAGGATGCCTCTCCCCGGGGTGGGGGCGGTGGGACTTCTTCATCCTGCTGTCCGTCCATCAAATAGGTCCTCTCCGGGAGTGGGGGGCACCACTCCTCATCTCCAGACCTAACGCACAAAGAATGACACTGAGGGGAACGTCAAAGAGGAAACAGCCGCTCAACCTTCACGTGCTCATCATCGTCGCCCCCAGAAGTTTCCCACCAGCTTCTCAGGCAAATAGCGCTGGGCAGCACCCAATAATCCCTCCCAAATAAACCAACCGACAACATTTTGGTCACCCAATGCACGACTGTTTGAGTGGGGCACTGCTGTGCGCAATTGGGCTGCCGCGGTTTGCCCACGAAATACACACAGTCGCTGCACTTTACAGTATATCCCATGAAGTGCTTTAAGACGTCTCAACGATGCGATAAGGCGCTGCGTCAAATACAAGGATTATTATTATTATTCAAACATACACAGCGCAGGTCCACACAGACCAGAACAGCGATGGGGAATTCTCAAACCTCTGGAACTCCCTCCATCAGTCCCTGTCTCTTTCTGCCTTTAAATCCCACCTTAAAACCCACCCCTTTTACTGCGACTACGGTCACCTCCTCCCTGCCCATCTCTAACCCGGCTCGCGGTGGCTGATCCCGGGTCACTGTGCTAAGCTACGCTCAGGCTACACTATGGCTAACACTGCATGGCCTCTGCAGTGCCGAGCCGAGGCTCCCATCACTCACCCTTCCTCCTCTTCCTCTTCATCATCATAGACGTCGAGCTGTGTGGTGGGAGGGGGAGGCGGCAGCAGGTCTGTCCAGTTCAGGTTTGGACCCTTCACTGGTTTAGCGTTTAGCTTCTGCTTCCCACTTTTAGTGCCTGTGCGAGCGAGAGCGGGGGAGAGAGCAGGAGAATGAGAGAGAGCGGGAGAGCGGGAGAGAGCGAGAGCAAGAATGAGAGTGAGAGAAAGAGAGAGCGGAAGAATGAAAAAAGAGAGTCAGGGAGCGGGAATGAGAGAGAGAGCGAGAATGAAGGCACGAGAGAGAGAGAGTGAGAGCAGAGAGAAAGGGAAAGTAGGAGTGAGAGAGAGAGAGAAAAAGAGTGAGATTTAGCGAGACTGTGAGAAAGATCGAGAATATGAGATAAAACGAGAGAGAGAGAGAAAGAGCGAGAGAGAGAGAGAGAGAAAGAACGAGAGAGCGAGAGCAAGAGAGAGCGAGAGGCAAAGTGCGAGAGCGAAAGAAAGAGATCATGAATTAGAAGGAAGGGCGGCTGCAGATAACCTACAGTGTTCCTCCTGTGAGAGACCACCCAGCCCTCCGTGACTGTGACTTTCCTAAACCAGCTCTTACCAGGCTCTGGGCGGCCTCTCTCGGGCTGAGCGTACTGTGGGTTGGAGGGTGCGGGCTGGAGCCCCCTGTGCCCGCTCATGGGGTCCGGGCTGTACTGGCTCTGGGCAGCAAGGGGCACCACGGGGGTGCTGGCGTAGAGCGTGGTGGGCTGGGCTGGGAAGCCGCTGTTAAAGGTCCTCATCTCGTCGCTGCCGGAGTCGATGGTGCTGTAGATGGGGCCGTCCGAAGCCACCGTCCCAAACTTCTCGGTCTGAGCGATGTAGTTAGAGATCCCTGCGTCTGAGGGTAACGGGACACGAACAGCGACAATCAGCTAGAATAATAACCCTCGCGTTTGGTACAGCGGCGCCTTCTCACGTCGTTTTGAGACGTCTCAAAGCGCTTCACGGAATTATACTGCAAAGAGGAGTGACTGTGTTTTTTTTGTGAGAGAAACGCGGCAGCCAATGGCGTACAGCAGCGTCCCCACACACATGGGTCGTGGGTTGAATGTTGTCTTCTTGAGGGATTATTGCCCCTGGAAAACGATCGCCCGCCGATCGACTAACAACCGGGTTCCTACTGACTGCTCGGGAAAACAGAGGCGTGTGGAGGAAGGAAACTTGGCAAAGGTTCCGTCTCCCACCTGGGAATCGAACCCGGGTCCTCTCGCTTGTGAGGCGAGCGCCAACCAACAACTATACTACGGGATTGCCAGTGGCCTTGTCATGGCTCGACAGATTGGTCAGTGAATCTTCTTCCCCCCACCCGATTGGCGCAGTGATGGGTGTCTTGACTCCCTCACCGTTGTAGAATCGTTCCGAGACGTCCAGCTTCACGGCACAGCAGTTGGCCGCGGCATCTTTCCCGATCCCGTTCCGCACCAGGTTGGAGGCCGGCCAGGAATCCGCCAGCCAGGGGTAACTGGTCACGTTAGCGTTCAGGATGCCCGGCCTGGGAACACACCCCACCCCCCCCCCACACAAGGTTAATGATCACCAGCGCTCACCACCAGCACCCTCGGGAGCAAATAACGGGAGAGAGAGAGAGAAAAAAAAACGAGCGTAAAGTACACGAGGTTACCTTCCGTTTATGGCTCCTGAACCCTCTGTCCGTGGGAAAGCCACTGCGTTAAGAGAAAGAACCGGTTAAATTGGAACAAACTAGTCGTTACTTTCTGACAGATCTGTGGTCAAGAGTTTTAGATATTCCGTTTCATTGGGATTTATTTATTCATCTGGTTATTTACTTATTTATTTACGACTTTTTTTTATTTGGGGGGGAAAAAAAATTGTAATTGATTAATTAATCAAATTAGATTTTTAAGTGGGCAAATTTCCCTTGGTTTACCAAGTCTCTTTGTTGCAAAAATATCATTTTAATAAGCCCGCAGTTACTGTTTTCCCCAGTGACAAAGCTCGCTCGAAAATTGGGTAAGTAACTTGATGCCTGAACAATCTGTGTTAATCCAATTCATTTCATGAAAAACTGTTCAATTGAACGCTTTGTCCTGTGGGGCAGCTATCCAGCCGGCCGGGCTATCCCAGCAAACATTCGGCGCTATAATAATAATAATAATCCTTACATTTCATATAGAGCCTGATCACATCTTCCAGACGTCTCGAAGCGCTTGACAGAATAGACTGTAAAGTGGATTAACTCTTAATATTTCGTGGGCAAAACACGGCAGCCAATTGCGCACAGCAGCGTCCCCAAAAACAGTCGTGGACTGATATCCAGTGAAGCGCTTTGAGTTGTCTCAACGACGTGATAAGACGCGATATCAACTGCAAGGTTTATTGTTAGTCATGAGGCCGAAAGATTTTCAAATGAGGAGCTTTTTTCATTCCGTTGCCTTTGTTATGTGTGTTTAAGCGCTCGGTCCCATGTGACAGACAGAGAGAATGGAATCATTGCTCACATACCTGCGGGTGTGTAGGCAAACGAGGCTGTGAAGGAGGGAGAGAGAGAGAGAGAGAGAGAGAAGGGGGTGAGCAACATTGTGGTGTGTGTGATTGTGAGTGTGTGTGAGTGAATAGGTCAGCGCGTGTGGTGTGTGTGTGAGCGAGGGTGTGAGTGTGTGTGTGTGAGTGAGTGAGAGCGAGTCAGTATGTGACTGAGGGTGAATGAGTGAGTGTGAGTGAGTGTGTGAGTGAGTGAGCGAGGGTGTGAGTGTGTGTGAGTGACTGAGAGCGAGTCAGTACGTGACTGAGGGTGAATACGTGAGTGTGAGTGAGTGTGTGAATGAGTGAGTGAGGAGCGTGTGAGCGTGTGAGTGAGTGAGTGAATGAGTGAGCGTGTGAGTGAGTGAGTGAGCGTATGAGTGAGCATGTGAGTGAGTGAGTGAGTGAGTGAGTGAGCGTGTGAGTGAGTGTGTGAGTGAGTGAGTGAGTGAGTGAGTGAGTGTCTCGGTGGCTCTCTGACCTGTGTAGTGACTCATCTCTTTCCTCTTCTTGCGCCGACAGTACAGCCAACACTGAAGCCCATGAGGATGAGCCAACAGGCGCCACCGATGCCAGCGATGAAGGCCGGCTGCTTCACCACGTCACTGATCTGCTCGGCCAGACTGACGTTCTGCCCCTCCGCGGGGACGGAGGCCTTCTCCGGCAATGCTTCTGGGTGGGGTTGGGGGGTGGGGGGGCGAGGAGAGGTGGGGGTGACTCACTGCAACAGCTCACACTGCCTGCCCAGCCCATGTCACAGGGTCTGCCTCACACTGGGTACATGAACATGGTGATCACCAACACCCCCCCCACCCCCAACACACACACACACACACACGACTCCTTCCCCCACCCCCACACCCCTCCACCCACACACACACACTCACTCCCCAAACCCTCCCGAGACACACACATACTCCCCTCCCCACCTCACACACACACACACTGTCCACCCCCCCACACCCCCTCCTCCCACAACCACACACAGAATAACACGCGTGGCCGGGACAGCAAGCCTGTGTGAGTCTGATCCTGTCTCGCCACACACACACGCACATGTTCCAGCAGGGAGAGGTTCCAGGACACCCCCACCCCACTCCCCCTCCGAGCCTGTGACTCACTGATGAGGACGGTGACGGGGGGGCTTTTCACTCCCACCCCTGCACTGGTCGCCGCTGCCACCAGCACCTGGTACAGGACCCCGGGCACCAGCCCCCGCACCACAGCCGACTCCAGCGTCCCCTCAGTCGTCTTGTTGACATGGAAACGGGTCTCGTTCCCCAAACACCAAATCTGCCACAAGGAGAGAGAGTGAGAGAGAGTATGTGAGAGTGAGAGAGAGTGAGAGAGAGAGAGAGTGAGAGATTCCCTCTGGGGGATAGCAAGTAAGTAGGAACCCGGTTGTTAGTCGATTGGCGGATCGCTTTCCGGGGGTAATAATCCCTCCTCAAAAGAATAATAATAATTTGGTCTCTCAATCCCCCACTGTTTGTGGAACAATCGCTGCTGTGCCCACTTGGCGGCCGCGTTTCGCCCACAAAACACACGGTCACTCCACTTTACAGTATATTCTGCGAAGCGCTTTGGGACGTCTCAATGACCCGATAAGGCGCTGTATCCAATTATTTCACCCCATCAGCAAAACACAGCTCATGTTTCGAACTGAAAACAATTAAAACTAATGGGGGGGGGGGACCGGGGAGAATCCTATAATCTTATTTACACCTGTGCTTCACCTCTCTGCCCGTTTGTGGTCTGTAGCTGTGGCTAAGGTTTGCGCTAGTCAATGCTTTCAGCTCAGCGTTTCTCCACCCAAATAAGAACAAAACTCTTAAGTTATTAACGTGGAATTAAGCGATTAGAGACCGAGCAACAATGGAACAGTCTGGAACATTGTGCAACAAGCGAGGGATTAATAAAGACTGACCCCGTGGGGTAAATTATTAAATGGGTTATAGAATCCAGCAAAACATTGCCACAACACAGAAATCTGTGCCTCTTAATTGAACACCTATTACTTTTGGAATTATTGTTATTTACAGAAATTAAAGTGAAAGATTGCCGGCGTTTTAATGTGTTTTTAATGTGTAGCTTAATAATAACTGCCTACGCTCTGGCTACAGATTGTGTTAAAAGTGCCCTCAGACTGTGTGTCGGGGTAATTACTGCCCCAACAACCGATCCCTGTGTCTCTTTGATAAGTTTCCTGTCTCTGGTGAGATCGTTATTGAACCGGTGATCTCTCGGCGCACAAACAGCCCTTTTCCTCCCCGTCATATTTCAACTACAACTTGAATTTATTAATTACAACGATAATAATCCTTGCATTCGATACAGCGGCTCGTCACGTCCCCGAGACGTCTCAAAAGCTCTTCACAGGATATAATATAAAGTGGATTGACTGTGTATTTCGTGGGTGAAACGCGGCAGCCAATTGCGCACGGCAGTCGTGGACTGAGTGACCAAATTCTGTTGTTGTTTTTTGGAGGGATTATTATCCCCCGGCAAAGCCATCCATCCGCCACTCGACGAACAACCGGGTTCCTACTTACTGCTGGTAAACAGAGGCGTGCGGAGTGAGGAAACTCAATCCACGGCTGTTTGTGGGGGGAGCGCTGCTGTGTGCGATCGGCTGCCGCGTTTCGCCCACAAAATACACTCAGTCGGTCCACTTTAACAGCAAATCCACGAAGCGCTTCGAGACGTCTGAACGCCGCGATGAGAGCCGCTGTACCAAACGCGAGGATTATTATTGTTGTTGGAATTACGGTCAGTTTTAAGGCAACACAGCCTCACAGGATAAGACCAGGCAGAGCCTCGGGATGCGAAGCCCTCTCCGCGTGACGCCCGCTGCCCCCCTTTTAAGCACGTCTGCTGCTGTGGGAATAAGGATAAATTCCGCTGCGGAGCACGTGGCACAGGTGGAGCCTTTACGATCGTTAAAAGGGATCAGCGAAGAAATGCCGGGTCCCTGAGGACTGCAGGAATATTCCTCGCTCTTCAGTCTTCATTCTTCAACCATGAAACAATTGCCATTAAATTCCTACATTAGCGTCCCGAGAAATTAGGACTAATATGTTCGCGGAGGATCGATCATCAGCTCTCAAACCCACCCCCTCCCCACCCCACCCCCTCCCACCCTCCCTCCAACGCCTCCCACCGCCCCCCTCCCCTACCAAACCCCCCCCGTGACTCAGAGCAGTTGACTTGTCCGGACTCACCCAGTACTCCTGGATGATCCCATTCTGCTCCTCGGCGGGGGGGGGATCCCAGGACACGCTGATGCTGCTGCTGTTGCTGGAGCCGATGGTTGCGACGGTGACGGCTCGGGGGGCTCCGCTGGGGGCTGGGGGTTTGCGGGGAGAGGAGAAGAAACGGTCCTTTTAAAAGCCCACGAGAGCTCGCGGCTCTGCGCCGACAGCGGGGAGGATCCCGGCGCTGGATAGCGGATGCGGTTCCCGAAGCGCTTCACCAGGACACGCCGCGGCGGAGCGGAGCGGAGTGACCGCGCCGTTCTGTAGGCGAAAGGCGGCAGCCGACTGCGCCCAGCGACGTCCCCGCAAACAGGCGGGGATTCCCGGGCGGGTCAGGGCAGGGCAGGACCTTAGGCACGTTTCCTTACTCCACACACATACACACACACACACCCCACACTCACACACACACTCCCCCCCATACACTGACACACACACTGACACCCCCCCCAACACCCACACACCCACTCACACTCACTGACACACACACTGATACCCCACACCCACACACCCACTCACACTCACTGACACACACACACACCCCACACTCACACACACACTCCCCCCCATACACTGACACACACACTGACACCCCACACCCACTCACACTCACTGACACACACACACCCCACACTCACACACACACACTCCCCCCCCATACACTGACATACACACTGACACCCCACACCCACACACCCACTCACACTCACTGACACACACACACACCCCACACTCACACACACACACTCCCCCCCCATACACTGACACACACACTGACACCCCCCCCAACACCAACACACTGACACACACACTCGCCATGGCTTACCCAGCAGTAAGTAGGAACCCGCTTGGTAGTCGCTTTTGGATCTGGGGGTAATAGTTCCCCCCCACCCCCCTCCTCAAAAAAACCCAATAATAATGATTCGGTCTCTCGACCCACGCCTGTTTGTGGGGGGAGACGCTGCTGTGTGCAATCGGCAGCCCTGTGTCGCCCACAAAATACACACAGTCACGTAACTTTACAGAGTATCCCGTGAAGGGCTTTGAGACGTCTCGACGACGTGATGAGGCGCCGGGTCAAACGCCGAGATTATTGTGATTATTGTATTATTATTATTGTACGCTAACCCCCCGCTGTGTATGCTGTACCTTCCTCTGGTGTGCGGACAAACACGGCCTCACTGTCCATCCCCTGGAACTCGTCGAAATACGGCCGTATTTTGATCTCGTACTCGGTGCCTCTCTTGAGGTTGAGGAGGACGGTGCTGCGCTCGGTGGGGGCTCGCACGTCCTGCACCAGCCAGGCACTGCTCGCTGTGCGGTACATCACCCGGTAGCCTTGGATAAACTGGGCCTGACGGTCCACCTGGGGTGGGGTGGGGGGGAGAGCGGAGTGTTGAGCCGGACCAGGCCAGGCCACAGCTCAGCCTCTCCACCTACCCGGACCCTCGCGCTCGCCTCTGCCTCGTCTCTCTTTATCGTCCACCCGACTCTAACAAACCCCCTCCCTCTCTTGCTCTCGCTCTCACTCTCTCGCTTGCGCTCTCACTCTCTCGCTCGCGCTCTCACTCTCTCGCTCGCGCTCTCACTCTCTCGCTCGCGCTCTCACTCTCTCGCTCGCGCTCTCACTCTCTCGCTCGCTCGCTCGCTCGCTCACTCACTCACTCGCCCTCCCCCCCCTCCCCCCCATGCATGTTGTCTCTGCCATCCCCCCCCACACCCCACCCTCCCCTCCAATCGCTCGGGCTCCCTGTCTCCCCCTTCCCTCCCCCATTCTTTCTCTCTCACCTTCCTTGCACGCTCTCCCCGCTCATGCTCGTACTCTCTCTCCCCTTCTCCACTCACGCTCTCTCTCTCTCTCCGTTTCTGTCCCTCGCGCTCCCTCCTTCCTCTCCTCCCTCTCTCTCCCACCGCCCCCCACCCCCGCCTCTTGCTCCCAAGTCCACTCTTGGGTTACTCTGCGTGACTTACAGTCCAGGCCACTTGGATGGTGCTGGAGGTGAGAGTGAGCGGAGGCTGCAACTGCACGTCCACCTCCCCCAGCTCCCGCTGCACCTGACGATGATCCACTCCCTGACCCGTGGGGCTCACATCTGCGGAGGAGAGACAGTCGCAACACTGAACCCCGCACACCAGCACCTGAGCCTGAGCCAACGCACTCACACACCGTCCAGACGGGAATCTTTGTATTAATCACCAGAAATAACCACACCAACACACTCCATCACAGGACAAGATTCGTGAGGGAGGGAGGGAGGGAGGGAGAGAGGGAGGGAAGGTGAGAGGGAGGGAGGTAGATATTGGAATCTAATCTTGGGGGTGTGATACCTTGTGTGCGGACGGGCTCCGAGATGGGGCTGGGGTCTCCCAGGCCATGTACATTGACCGCTCGCACGATGAAGAGGTAAATGGTGTTGAGGCTCAGGCCGGTCACCGTGTGCTTCTCCTGCTTCACGTACTCCGCCACCGTCTGCCATGTGCTGCCAGCTGACTGGCTGTCGGGAAAATAATAATAATAATAATCCTTGTATTTGACACAGCGCCTCATCACGTCGTTGAGACGTCTCAAAAACCTCCCAGGATACACTGTTTAGTGAATCGACTGTATATATTTGTGGGTGAAACGCAGCAGCCAATTGCGCACAGAGCGTCCCCACAAACAGTCGTGGACTGAGGGACCACATTTTTTTTTGAAGGGATTATTACCTGCGGAAAGCGATTGGCCAATCAACTAACAACCGGGTTCCTACTTATTGCTGGTAAACAGAGGCGTCTGCGCGCGCGTGTGTGTGTGTGCGTGTGTGTGTGTGGAGTGAGGACACTTGCCTAAGGTTTTGCCCTGCCCCGGGAATCGAACTCAGGTCCTCTCGCTTGCAAAGTGAGCACTCTAATCACTACTGGACTACCACTGGGCTATATGTAACGCCCGACAGTGAATGGGCAAACGGAAGCGAGGAAACAGAGCCACTGTTTCAGGGCAACTAACAGGGACAGTGCAGGTGAATGATTAACCACTGCTTCTTCCACAGTGAAGATTAAAGCCAGCCTTAGGTCTCTGGACTTCGTTTAAGGAGCAAATGAGAGTTCCTTGTAAAGTTGAAGGCTGTTCGGTGATGTATTTGCTGAACTGAAAGGTTGCCTGACACTGATCGGGTCTAATTTACGGTGCAGACCGTTGGTACTTTACTGCCTTGAGATCAAACCATTGTGGGTTCAGACACTAAGTGAGGCTCCAGAAATAGAAACACTTTTCAAAACATCCCTCTCTGTAGCGCGTCGTAAAAATAGCCGCTGAAATGGTTCATTTTTCCACACGTTCTATTACATCCTGACACAAGGGAGTCAAAGGTCTCACATTCCCAATGAAAAGCAGCAGGAGTTCTCCCTTTCTGCCTGGCTTTGCTTTGTGACACCGTCCCACGCTGCCTTTGTGTCAGCAACACAAGAGCCTTGTTTTACACCGCGTTTAAATGGGATTTCAACAATGCGCGTGCGACGGGAGAGAGAGAGAGAGAGAGAGAGAGAGAGAGGGGGGGGGGGGCTGGGCTCTCAGATAAAAACACAGTTACTCGATCTCCGACAGAGCGGCCGAGGACAATGTAAAGGGAAGGCGACGTGCTGGGCGGATGGCAGTGATGGAATTTGCAACATACCAGTTGGAGCGTTCCTAATTAAAGTTCCAGTTAAACCGTATAGTGTAGTGACTGTGCACTTGGCAGGCGATACACGGGGCAGATAATTTGCGCACCGCCACGTCTCACAAACTCTAAGCTCCAACTGCAGGTCTGGGTGAGTCTAACTAACCGAACACAAAACCGGGGAGGAGAAAATCACAGAGATTGGGGAGTGGGGGGGTGCGGGGAAGGCTATTACTTCTCTGCGAACAAACTGCACCAGCCATAAAACTGCTGGATTGAATGGCACATTTTTCTTTAGGATATTCCAGCAAGGCTGGGTCTGTAATGGGTTTCGAGGCCTCCTTAATGTAGCTATCAATCGTGTACCTGGGAGGGACCGAGGTTCCGCCTGATAGCCTATTCCCTGTTAGCAACACACGTCCAACCACAGTAATTCAAGGCTATTCCTGTCATCTCTGTGACAGGCAAACCTCTCTGTGTGAACAAACACATTCACCACCTGAGCAAGCCTCATAAATCTGCAGCCAATTGGCAGAGAGCGAAGCCTGCTGCCCCTGAACCACACCGAGATGGTTTTTCCTCTGCTGAAAGCGTCACGGATGTTCTCAATGACACGGAGTTCCCTGTAGCTCAGTGGTTAGAGCCCTCGCCTCGCAAGAGAGAGGACCCGGGTCCGATTCCCGGGCAGGGCAAAATCCTGAGGCCAGTCTCCTTACTCCACACACAGGCCTCTGCTTACCTCGCAGTAAGCAAGTAATTACCCTCCAGAAATGTGCTTGAAGGGATTATTATCCAGGGAAAAACGATCCGTCAATCGACTGACCAACTCACTGCTTGGTAAACACGAGATGTGTGGAGTGAGGAAATTTGCCTAAGGTTTCGCCCGGCCAGGAATCAAAACCAGGTCCCCTCGCTGGCGAGGCGAGTGGTCTCACCACTGAGCTACAGGAATCCACCAGTATTCTTCTCGTCTCCTACCTGAAGGCCTCGATGATGTAGGAAGTGACCTCGGAGCCTCCCTGGTGCTGACTCTGCTCCCACGTCAGGGTTACGCTGTTCCGTGTCACGTCCAACACCACCGGTTTGGATGGAGGTCCCGGGAGGAGGTCTGGCTCTGATGACAGGATCCGGGTGGGGCTGCCGTTTTCTGTGAGGGGGAATAACATCATAATAATAATCATTGATCTAGCGTCTGAGTGTAGTGACTGTGCATCCTGTGGGTGACCTCTCCCCTGGATCCATCAGCCTTATTTTCCTCCATTGATTTATTCCATTGTAGACGCAACTTCTACAGCCGTTTATGCCGAAACACTGCACATTCTGACAAGGGAAAGGTCGCGTGTAAAAGATACACTGCAGCCTTCCCTCCGTTTCCTTCTGGTGTCAAACCAGAATTGATGGCCTTTTGGTCCAGACTGACCTGCTGATCTGCGGAATCAGTCTCTCTCTCGCGCTCTCTCTCTCTCTCTCTTCCTTTGTCACGTCCAAACCAGTCGTAATTTTAGAAAGCTCTCCTCTCCATAAACCTTGTTTCTCCACCAAAAACAAGTCCCCCAATTTTCCCCACTATCTCACCACGTCTCTAAACATTGAGGAAGTTTCTGATTCCGAACAAGTCTTAAAAGGTCCAGGATTACGGTGGGATTAGCTCATCCTCACCCTATTAATTTGTTTCCATGGGAACCATTGATCTCCACCAAAGCGCTGCCCGCTCAACGATGCTCATTTAGCTCATGTCACTCCAATGACCCCATTCCCATTCCGGGTCATATCCTGACACTGACGAGGAGTGGAGCCCGCCATCCCAGGCTAGGGTGGCTTCATTTAATAGCCATTGTGAGGAGAGTTCGGTGATTTATCAGCCCGTCCGGCGCTGGGGAAGTGTCCTCACCCGGGGACAGTCGGGCACCTTGTGAGGACGAGAAATACCAACAGGAGATGTGGAAATCCACAACAAGTTCATCAGCACTGGAGAGAGGGGAGGGGGCCATTGATTTGGGGCTGGTTCTTAATTCAAGCATCGCTGCCTGATGTGGAAACCTCACTTAGTCCACGCTAATTCAGACAACAACTTGCACTTACACAGCGCCCCCTCAGTCATGGCAGCGTCCCAGAGCGCTTCACAGCAGCGGAGCACGAAGCCGAGCCGGGGGGAGGTGACCGTAGGCACGGTCCCCAAGGGGAAGGTCTTCAGGCGCAACCTGAAGATAGCGAAGGAGGGGGCGAGGCGGAGGGATAGAGGGAGAGTGTTCCAGAGTTTCAGGGTGTTGCGCGGCTGCCGATGGTGGAGCGGTGGGACAAGCAGGAGGCCGGAGCCAGTCGAGCGAAGGCAACGGGTAGTGGGTTGGGGAGTGATTGAGGGTAAACCCGGGATATTTACGCACAGCCAGTCTTGATCGCGGAGCAACATTTGGCCAAGAATAGAAACCCCCCCAAAACACCGACATAAATCACTGTCGGATATACCAGCGGCGCTCACCTTGCACCTCCAGGTACCCGCTCCAGGTTGTCTCTCCACTTGACCCCGTGGCAACGCAGACGTAAATCCCGGTATCGGAAACCTGGCAACCAAAAGGAACACAGGTGTATGAGTAATTCGAGACCTGACATACAGTAAGCGCATTACGGGTTGGAAGAACCAGTTTGCGTTTGATCTTGGGTTCCCGAAGCTTCCCACCGCGCTGTAGACCAATCCATACAGAATTAATTGCTATCAACATCTGCATTATTGTCGCAAGCGACTGCTAGGGATGGTACAACGTGAACTGGAGCGATCCGGGTCTATTTTCGTCTTGCAACTCCTACGTTCTCACGTCTTCTCTTCAATGTGTTACGGGCTACAGGATGCTTCGGTTTTGCCAGCCCTGAGGTGTGCAAGCCTGACCAACGACGATAACCCTCACATTTGACATGGCGCCTTTCACGTCGGGAGAACATCTCAAAGCGCTTCAAAGGAACTTGCTGTAAAGTGTGGCGACTGTGTTTTATAGGTGAACGCAGCAGCCAATTGCCTAGAGCAGCATCACATAAACAGTAAAAAATAATAGGTCACTCAATCCACGACTGTTTGTGGGACACTGCTGTGCGTAATCGGCTGTAGCGTTTCGCCCGTAAAATGTACAGTCACTCCACTTTACAGTATATTCTGTGAAGCATTCTGAGGCGTCTCAACGATGTGGCGCTATATCAAATGCAAGGATTATTATTGTCATCGCAAGCAGACCGCTGCTGTTTGGAAACATCCCTCACATCCTTCTCCGTTACAGAACAAGGACACCGCAGGAGAAGGTCAAAGCTCGTATGGAAACTCACTCCCAGCAAATCAGATTAAATCATCTTCTAAAGATGTAAATTATATTGAGCTTTAAAGGTGATTGATTCAGAAAGGCAGGCTGCCGGCTGAGGTCCCCGAGTCAACACAGGAGAAAAAACACAACCCAATCTCTCATCTTATTTCCATTTCATGAAGATTTGCTGTTTTATCATACAAACAAGGTAAATCCCTCCACGGCTCTCACTTCACTCCTATCCACTCTATCTCTGTCTACCTAACTCTATCGTGACCCAGCCGCTCTCTCCGCTCAGTGAATAGCAGCCTGCTTCATGTCCTCCACCCGTCTCTCACCATCCCACTCAACTCCTGTTAAGCCTACAAGCCAAAGCCCTAATGGGTAGGGTGGTCCTTGCTGGAGAAGCAGCGGGAAAGCTTACCAGACAGTGATATCAATGGCAAGCTATGCGGTTTTAGCTGGTTAGACTCCAGCAGTTACCCCCAACGCACACTCTGGGTTCCCCCCCCACCAAGCCTTGGCTCCTGCCAACCTGTGCCTAATACACTCCGGAATTAGGTAAAAAGGATGCATCCCTCCAGGGAGAGAGAGAGAGAGAGAGAGAGAGAGAGAGAGAGCGCATTCCATTCCAACAGTCTATCTCTGGAATTTCCATGTGTAGGTGGGACGTCCTCCCAAAGTGAAAGGCACTATACCAATGTAACAAATGTTGTTGTTGTTATTATTGAGACGTCATAAAGCATTTCACGGAACATATACTGTCACGTGGATTGACTGCGTATTTAAGAAATACTTCCTGGTGTCTGTTCCTATGATTGCCCTCTGGTGTGGTTGGCTTTGACGTACGTGGACAGGATCAGACGGGCTGACCTCCCTGTTACACACCGGCTGTGTGTGTGTACGTGTGTGCGTGCGTGTGCATGTGAGAGAGAGCGAGAGAACAAGAGAGCTGCCAGCACTCCTCACCTCCAGCCACTGTATAGCTCCCATTCTGTACGCGCTGAGATAGCAGATTGTCTCTCGCTCTCTCTTTCTATCTCTCTCTCGCTCTGTGCTGGGTCACATGGCTGATCCCAGTAGCCCTGAATCACTCGGATCTGATGAGGCTGCCTCCCAGAGGACCATTAATTCACAGTCGTCTCAGAAACTGCGTGGCAGCTCTAATTTTGTCTGGGCAAACAGCCACACTAGCACTAAAATGATGCTATTACCCACACAGGGACAGGGGAGATGCATTAACCTTCTGACTCGGGGACAATGAAAGCACAAAAACGTTAAATATTTCACTCCCAACAGACTTCAGCATCAATTTTTAAATAAATGTTCTGCGTGACCACAAGCTTTTATGACTAATGCATGAGTGGCCCCTGTTTTACCTCTCCGGGTGAACATGATGTGATCGAGAGAAGGCTAGCGAGTGCCACAATGCCTCGATACACAAAGCGCTGGAAACACACACACACACTGAGTCTCATCCCCGCACATAATAATAATAATAATAATAATAATATTCCTTGACGTTTGATATACCGCCTTATCGCTTCACAGAATATCCTGTAAAGTGAATGGAACTGTCTATTTTGTGGGTGAAACGCGGCAGCCAATTGCGCACAGCAGCGATTGTCCCACAAGCAGTCGTGGATTGAGTGATCAAATTACTGTAATTTTTTTTTGAAGGGTTTATTACCACTGGAAACCTCAATCGACTAACAACCGGGTTCCCCCTTACTGCTGGGTAAGCAGAGGAATGTGTGTGGAATCAGGAAACTTGTCTAAGGTTTTGCCCTGCCCGGGAATCGAACCCGAGTCCTCTCACTTGTGAGGCAAGAGCACTAATCACTAAACTACAGGTCTCCATTTCAGCAACGAAATGATTTTGAAACCTGCGCAATACAGCATCGTCTTTTTCTCTGATCCTGTGATGTGAAATGTACTGTGCATACACGTCCAATTCTAATGGTGCTCTTATCCAGGCATTTTCCTCTGTGTAGAGATGGGTTCCACTCTGTGACAGGAACATGAGCAGATGTGTAATAGCTAATAACATGCATGTAATGTATGATATGTACAAGGGCATTATATCCAGTACATGGTTGCGGGATTATGTAATACCTATAGGAGCGTTATACTCTGAGTAACACATGGTGTGTTATTATATAATATACAATCAACTAACTTTACAGTTTACAGTGTATCCTGTGAAGCGTTTTGAGACGTCTTGAAGACGTGATAAGGCACTGTATCTAATGCAACGATTATTATTATTATGATGATTATTATATTCATGAATTTTGCCCCGACAGAGCTGATCTGGGGAGCAGTGTGATTTACGCTCACACAGTGTAACTGTGACGGTTCCATCCGCAGACCAGCCCACTCCCCGGTGCCTCTCGCTGGCTCCCCCTGGCTTTGCTGGGTGATTTGTTAGGTTACCAGCGAGATGAGCCAGAGTTTGTGCAGAATCCAAAGCCTCCCATTAGCTGTGACGTCCCCGTCAGACTTTAGCATAAAGTAGGTTTGCTGCTTCCCACGTGTATATGGTACAGCACAAGTGTAACAAGGGACGTCGGGGGTTAGACAAGATGAGGTTACGAGGGAGAGAAGCAGAACCTGAAGGAGCTGGTCCCAAATCAGCCAACATTAGGAGCTGACAGCAGGAGCAGAGCTCTGAGACTGAGACAGCAATGTATTGCCCTGCGCTGACACATTCTCAAGATTAAACTCTTTGTGCAGGTGTTTTATAAAGAGCCTTTGACAGGAGGGCTGTATCCCAAAGGGTGAGAGGAGAGGTAGACTGTCATGCCTTTGACAGAGCAAGTCCCTCTCTCTCAGCACTCACTGATCCCATCTTCTCGCGTCCCTCCAGTGTTGATTCTTTCATTTCTTGTGTCCAGTGTTCACTGACAGTTGGAGAGAGTGCGGTGAAACAGGAAGGGACAGACTGCGACACACCAACAATTTACACGATATTAATGCGATTTACGTAACATCACTGTCTGTGATATTCTCCACAGAACCATAGAAATGTAAAGCATAACAGAAGGCCATTGCATCAGTGTCAGTGTTTTCACGACTGGGGTGGACAGATGTTTGTCAGATCAGAGTATCAAGGGATATGGGGCAAAGGCGGGTAATTGGAGTTGAGGTACAGATCAGCCATGATCTAACAGAATGGCTGAATGGCCTCTCCTGTTCCTATAATCCTCCAGGAGAGCTGTCTATCCTAACCCCTTTGCCTGTCTAATTCCCTTTGAAATGCTCTCAATTGACTATGTGCCAACGTTTGCTCCTGGCAAGTTAGTCCACCCTCTCATGACTCTACGGAAGACAAGGAAATCTTCTGAACTCACCCAGGATGTGACGTGAGGAATGGCCTGCTCCTACCTGTGTGTTGGTGATCTGGAGGGTCCCGTTGTTCAACATGCTGATGCGAGGGTCGTTGCCCAGGATTCTCTGTCCGTCCTTCAGCCAGTGCACGCTGGGGAGGGGGTTCCCTGTCACGTGACACTGGAGCTGAGCCATGGAGTCAACGGCGAGTGTCTGGTTGGCCGGTCCCTGGCGGATGATGGGTGGGATCCGATCAGAGGAGACTGGAGGAACAGAGAGGGTCAAGTGAGGCACGTCCACCATTGGCGATTTATTAAGCTGGAACCACAGCGCTGTGATGGGCTGCACCGTGTCACACGGAGATCTGCACCCGCCCTTCGGATGAGACGTTAGACCGAGGTCCCGCTGTGCGCCCGTTCAGTCGGACGTTAAAGTTATCACGGCATCACCTCGAAAAGAGAATTAAGAATCCTTGCATTCCATACAGAGCCTGATCACGTCTGCGAGACGTCTCAAGGCGCTTCACAGAATATACGAGACGACACTTGTATCGCGCCTTTCCCGTTCAGGAGGATGTCCCAGATACTGCAAAGTGGATTGACTGTGTACTTTAAGGGCAAAACGCGGCAGCCAATTGCGCACAGCAGGGTCCCTCGGCACTTTCAGGCAGTCGAGACGGACTGATTCCAGCTGTATCTGTGGCGTTCGAACAGTCTTTACACTAATCTTAGAGCGGGTTTGGCACCTTCATAGCTGGCTGCAGACAGCCAAGGGCTCTCAGACACATTCCATTTCAGAAGGCAATGCAGTTTGACCTCACACCGTGATTAAAAAGCCAATTAATGAGGAAACATTAATTGATTGCTCAATAATATATGACTCTTTTTCTGCAGGCACTAAATGTGTCAGCAAATCTCTTTAATTAGACTGATGCCAACCGCACTTACTTTTAGACAAGGGCGTTTTAATAAGCCACTAATCTTACAAGTGCTTTTCAAGGGCTTTACACGAATGTTAATTAGGGGAAAAAAATCTTCTCTGTTTTATTTAAATATGTTGCGTTTCTTTTCAATTTTAATTAATAAGCTTGGGGAAAGGTCTGAATGTCAAAGCCAGTGAGCCTTTGCGTGCGATGCTTCGTTTAGAAGTTAATTTTACTCCAGTGCTTCGGAGTTACGAGATGTATTTTCACAGCCTGAACCGATGCCTTCAAATCCCTTCATGCCCTGGCACCTCCCTCCCTACCTTTCCGACCTCACGTCCCAACCCACGATCCACTACATCCTCCGCTCAACTGGCTCCGGCCTCCTGCATGTCCCCCGTGCCCTCCGTTCCACCATCGGTGGCTGCACTTTCAGCCATGACATCCCCAGACTCTGGAACACTCTTCCTCTATCCCTCCGCCTTTCCTCTTCCTTCCCCATCTTCAGGTCACGCCTGAAGAACTTCCACTTTGACCGTGCCTACGGTCACTTCCCCCTCCCCTGGCTCGGTGTTGTTCTCTGCCATGGTCAAGCGCTCTGGGACGCTGCCCTGTGTGAGGGACGCTGTGTAAGTCCAAGTTGTTGTTGTTGACGTTGTCAACATCATCATTTTTGAACACCTCATCCCTCAGGGTCAGATGGTTGTGGGTTCAAATCCCACGTCAGATCTTTGAGCTGCATTGGAAGGAAACTGGCCTAACGTTTCGCTCCGGCTGGAGTCCAGGGCTCACTGTAACTCTGAAAACCTTTGGCAATGAAGTTTGTCTCAATGTGGTAAGGCACGTGGTGGTTTGGTTACACATCATGTGGGTTTCATTTTGATCTGTGGTAATACCGAGTGTCTGAGCCCAGTGTTTGCTCTGTCATCTGTCTCTGTGCCTCTTGAACACACCCTTTCTTGCCAACACCTAGCAATTAAAGTTCACCCTTGTCCAATAATAAGCAATCATTTATATTTCCAAAGGCCCATCTGTCAGACACGCTGACATGTAGTGGGAACAGTTACCGCTGACCATTAAGGGCCAAGTTAATCTTGTTATTTCTGGAGCACGCTGCAGTTTAATACCTAGTCCTTTGCAATCTCGCTGGCCTCAGATCAATCTGACAATTACTCCATCTCATTTCCCACAGTGTCACTGAGTAACGCCATACAATCAATTTCCATTGATCGGCTGTGAATTCTCTCCCACAAGCCACCGACTGCTCAGGCTCGAGAGGCCGTTAGCTTTTCAGAGAGAACGTGGGCCTTTTTTCCGCTAATCCCTCTCCAGAAACCCCGCGGCACTTTGAGCAGTTATTGATATTCTGTCTCTGACTTGAGGCCAGCAGGAGAGGAGGACCTCAGTGGGAATCGCAGCAAAAATCCTCTCTTTTTCACTGGAATTCTTCAAAGTATCCTCTCTAATCACATCGCTCGCCTTTGAAACTGTGCCTTTTACGCCAGACTTCCTCAAAGTGCCTTAGAGCAATTAAAAGTAACTCTCCTTGTGTTCGATGCAGCAGCTTTCACGTCAGGAGGACGAGAAGGCTATTATCCCCACTGAGAATGAGTGTTGTGCATATTTTATTGAGCAGTAAGTAATTAGGAACCCGTTTGTTAGTTGATTGGCCGATCGCTTTCCGGGAGCATTAATCCCTCTAAGAAAAAAATACGGTCACTTCAATCCGCGACTGTTCATGGGGGGACGCTGCTGTGCGCAATTCGCCCGCAAAACACAGTCGATTCACTTTACAATCGATCCCGTGAAGCGCTTTGAGACGTCTCGACGACGTGATGAGGCGCTGTCTCAAATGCGAGGATTATTATTATTATTATCATTATCACATGGACCTGAGAGTTCCACAACTTCTTAACCTTGAACACAACAGTCCTCCAATTTGATGAAATGATTGGAGTTGAGGTGCAGACCAGCCACGATCTGATCGAGCTGCTGAACAGGCTCGAGGGGGTCTCCTTCTGTTCCTGTAGAATTGTGGAGACAACACTATGGACTGGCTGTGATGATGTGCTGCCAAACTCCCGCCGCCCGGGCTCCAGCGCGAATGAAGAACGACCACTTAAATGAAGTGGCAGCGGGGTGACATTGCAACGGGAGCTCGGAGGATTGATCACGGCACGAGACCTGTGACGGGGAGCGATCTCCCGGAGCCACAGCGCAGAAGTAACAGCGTCGTTGGCAGGGCTTCAAAACGATCAATAGCTCGGAGAGGAACAGCCACTGGGTGCCAGCTCAAAGCAAACTCAGGCCCGGCCACGAGCTTCCCTCACAGAGACAAATTACTGCCATCAATTACGAGGGAAAATGGCACAGGAGAGCTCAAATGCAATTGGATTTTCCAGCTGCGGCCAGCAGGAAACAGGGTGGGGGGTGGGGTGGGGGGGAAAAAAACAAACCATACGAGGAGCTGATTTTGCTCAAGAGATTCTTTCGTGCATCTCTCTGCCCGTCGGCTTTGACACACGGCGGAAGTCAGAACGCCACTGGCACCTCACGGGGAAATGGGGTGCTGGAGATAGGAACAGGAGGCCATTCAGCCCCTTGAGCAGGTTCCGCCACGTAGCTCGGTTTCGTGATTCATCCGAAGGATGGTGTTCCCCAACAGCGCACGGTACCCCTCGCACCCCCCCCCCCACCCCCCACACAGCACTACATCGAGACTCACCGTCTTCCACCTCCAGGAGCACTTTGGCCAGGATGCTGCCAGCCACGCTGATTGCCTGACACATGTAATATCCCGAATCCCCCGACTGGACGCCCGTGATCGCCAGCTCTCCCTTCGGGGAGACAGAGAAACGTCCCGAGGGCTGGGGCTGGCTGGGAAAGAGCAGGGTCTGCAGGAGAGAGAGAGAGAGAGGCAAAGATCCTTCGTTACACTTATCCCAGGTCTCGCTGGCACGGCCTCAACGTATAGTGTCCAATGCGATGTGTCTGACCCGCACACTCATTCTCCTCAGCACCAACAGCTTCACAACCCGGTTCTCAACATCTAAACCCCGCTTCCCGCGCTCCTCCAAACTGATACAGAGGCACATTTCGTCTCGCTAGAGAGTGATTACCAGCGCCTCAACTTGTCTTCGAGACACAGTCCAAAACGCTTCAGAGAATATACCGTAAAGCGGAGCGACCACGTATCTTTTTCGTGGGTGAAACGCGGCAGCCAACTGCGCGCGGCAGTGTCCCGCCTACAGCCGTGGATTGACTGAGCGACCACATTATTACGATTAAAGTATTTCGAGTACTTTAAGGCGTTAAATTATTACAGTAAAGAGATTAATGTTTTCCCAATTGCTCCGCATCAGCCAACGGCAGGGGTCCCTCCCCGGGGGAGGAATTAAGCAAAGGCGAGAGGGTAGGTCAAAACGCCAAGCCAATTAAGGGAAGAGGACAATGGGGAAAGGGTCCTGGACTGCAGTCCCTGGCAGCGGCCCTGCTAATAGCAACAAGGTGCTTTACACGGGCCGGCTAGTTTTACACACTAACACACTCGTTCTGCAGATGGAAGTTATACACAGGAGACTGTCTTCCCTGAGAAACGCAGTCTCATCACTTCAGTAACCGTCCACACTCCCCAGAGAGAGTCTCGATTTCAATCCTCAGCTTGTTCGCTCACACCCTGATCCAGTCCAGTGATTCCTTGAAATCCCCCCATCTCTCCCCGCCCCCCCCCCACTTCGATTCCCTCCCCCCAAACCCCTTACAGAAGTCAGCCTCAGAATAACAAACATCAAAACCTCACGCAAAGACCCTCAAAGTCTCCCCATTCAGAGGGAGGTGTCCGTGCAGTGACGTGTCAGCCTAAAGCAGAGAGGACCAACCATTTGGCTGCTGAGGGCTGGATGCCCTGTTTGAGGCTGTGGGCCCCATAAGCAATATTTTTGTGTTTTCCTTCCAGAAACGTAACATAACATTTACGGGTTATGGAAGGAGTGGATGGGCCAGATGAAATGGAAGGAGTGGGGGGCCTGATGCGGTCCGCGAGCCACCAGTTGGACCACCCTGGCCTAGAGCAAGTGATGGGAGTTTGTGGCTGGACTATATAGATGTTTCTCTGCCTTTTCTGACTGCCCACTGACTGGGTGAAAGTTATTATAACACAAAAGACATGGTGACCCCCTGCCTCTCACCTGGCTTCCCTCCTTCTGCCAAAAGACCGCTGGTGGAGGGTTTCCCTTTGTCTCACACACAAAGGTGACCGAGCGACCCTGAGCGATGATCTGGTCTCGGGGTCTCACCACGATCTGTGGCGGCACTGGAGAGCGAGAGAGAGTGAGAGTTACTTCACGGAGACACTACAGGATACAGGCTCCCCCCTCCCCGCCCCCCACTCCCGTCCTCCTACACCCCCATCCCCACCAATCTGCTCGTTTAACACACCCGAAAGGTTAAATATCATCATTGTGGAGTCCTGTAGGATAGTGGTTAGTGCGCTCGCCTCACAAGCGAGAAGACCCGGGTTCGATTCACAGTGAAGAGTGTCTTTTAAGTCCAGAAAAACATGCTCCCGTCACAGAATCAAGCTGTTATTAAACGAATCCCAGCGTCCTGGCCTCAACCACCTGTTTTTTTTGTTATCCTCTTTCCATTAAGTCATTAATTGCCTGTCCTGAAATTGCCTTTATCACCCCTGAACCCATGCCCTCTCGCTTTGCTGCCTCAGCGCATCTGAAAGGATGTTTTCTAGGTTTTACGCTCTCAAGCCCATTTGGAATCTCCTTTGCCTGTATAAGGTCCTCTCCGAGAGAGAGAGAGAGAGAGATGGAGATTGAGATAGGAGGGTATAGAGGAATCTAATGGGAATAGCAGGTTAATGTGCAGTCTTTGTGAGACTAACTCGTTGACAGGTCACACACAGATCGATCAGGACTAGCAGTGAAGAGGTAAGAGCAGGAATGGAACACACGCACAGACCCCATTTGCTTGATAAGTTATCTCCCCGCTGGCTTTCTGCCTGATGAGATTGTTTCGGTCGGAATGATCAAGTTTAAAAGCTTTGTGTGTCGGTGTCTCTGATTGGGGAGTTGCCTGCGCCTTTAAGCACTGACTGGGTTTTTCTTACGAATTCATTCAAAATGACAGAGTGGCTCGAGATGGCTAATGGAGTCTCACTACAGGACTCCACTTTGGGCTGAAAGTGAAGACAGAGAACAGAGTGAAATGGATAGAGAGAGAGAGAATGAGAGAGAGAGAGAGAGAGAGAGAGACGGAAAGAGAGGGAAATTAATAGACGGGAAATGGAGATTCAGAGAAAGGCAGATAGAGAGAGAGTGACATACAGAGAGAGAGAGAGAGTGACAGACACACAGAGAGAGAAAGAGAGCAAGAGAGAGAGAGTGACGTACATAGAGAGGGGGACGGAAAGAGAGAAAGAGAAAATAGAGCACAAGAAAGACTGAGAGAAACAGATGGACACAAAGACACCGAAAGACAGAGAGACAGAAATAGATGAACAGGACGGGGAAAATTGAAAGAATGAGGGAGACACATAATGAAAGAGAGAGAAAGACGGAGAGAGAGAGAGAGAGAGAGAGAGGGACATCCATACAGGCCAAGACAGCAAGAGAGAAGGGGAGCGGTTAGGGGTACACCATATGGGGGAAGAGGTGGGGAGGGAGGGGGGCGGGGGGTAGATAACGACTGGGGGGGGTAGGCTCCAGACAAAAGGAATTGTTCCACTCCCCAATCAAGGTGTTGGGAGGTCAGAGGCTTCTCTCTCAGCGCACGGCTGCCAGTTACACTGTTCTTTTGGCCACGACGGTAACAGACAACAACAATGGGAATGTGGGTCACTCAGAGTTTAGTGAAATTATTTATGAGGCAAAACAAGTATCAGAACACGAGGGGGTTTGGTGGAGGGGGGGGGGGGGGGGGGAGGTGCCACAATCTCCCTGATATGATTAACTGAGAGGATTGTTCCCTTAGTGTCATCAGCGACCCACTCGCTCTCGGCCTATCTTGCTCTGAACTTTGCTTTGGACCTTATATTTTTCGCCTTTATACCATAATAATAATAATAATAATCCTTGCACGGTCTCTCATCGTTTCAACGAGACGCTTCAAACCCCCCCACCCCGCAGGTAAATAAGGTCAAGTGTGGCGACTGTTCCTGTATTTTGCACACAGCAAGGTCCCGCAAACATCAATCATTTCACCCAGTTGTGTTTGCCTTTGGTCAGCCGGGGCTCTGAAACCCACCCCCGTTACTTAAGAGTCTCCAAACCAAACCAAGAATTCCCTGCGTCCCACCTACACGTGGAAATCCCAGAGATAGATTGTTGGAACGGAATGAGCTCTCGTTCTCTCTCTCTCTGGAGGGAGGGACGCCTCCTGCTTACCTAATTCTGGAGAGTATTAGGCGCAGGTTGGCGAGAGCCAAGGCTTGGTTCGGGTGTGGGGGGGGGGGAGCCCTGAGTGTGCATTGGGGTAACTGTTGCGTTTCATACTCTGATTGGGGAGGCGAGGGCTAGAACGGGAGGGGCTATTCAGCCAGACACAAGGACGTTTCAATCTCTGATATGCCTGACCGAGGAAAAGTGGGTGATGAGGGGAAATGGAGCAGATTGCATCGAGACCCCCCCCCGCCCCCCCCCTCAAGGGGATTGTTGGCTGTCCTCTGAAATATGTGTTCGGGGGCTGATCCCTTCGCTAATTAATTTTGCTGCTACAGATGATGCTGAGAGCGAGCAGCGAAGAGATAAAGGAGGGAATGTCTCACAAATGCTAATTGCGGTCGATCATCAGCCTGTAACGACCCCACCCACAGCCTAGGGGGGCATGGGGAGGAGGGGGATGGGTGGGCGGGGGTGGGGGGAAAAGTGAGCCGCTGAGGGAGGAGGGAGAGAAGGAGAGAGAGAGCATCAGGTGCTTATTCTTATGTTGATCAGCTAAGGTCCTGTGTTAATGAAGCTGCAGATATGAAGATAGCTCATCTCTGGCCTTCAGGCAAAGCTGTTCCCACGGGCAGCCAAGGCACATCCCAGGTTCCCCTCCGCGGATCAGACATTAAACCGAGATCCCGTCTGCCTGTTCAGGTGGACGGGAATCGTGGCACTATTCGAAAAGAGACTCGGCAGACATACAGCGCTTAGGATATCACGTCGTCCTGACCGACAATCCCCAGATAAAATTGTCTGTTAACTTTATGACAATAATCTTTGCGTTTGATATAGCGCCTTATCACGTCGCTTTCCTGACGTGAAAAGGAGCTACGTCAGACACAAGGAATATTAACGTTCTCACTGATGGTCAGGCCACCCCCCCCCCCCCCCGGATGATAAGACGGTGAAGTGGAAGGCAGTGTGAGAGGTGTGAATCACCAGTTATCAGTGGAGCAATCCCATCCCAGCCCCTGACCATCTCCACTTCAAAGAGACGGAAGATAAGAATGGCCTCCGTGTGACAAAAGAACGCTCCAATTTCTGGTGAGAGATGAGCGGAGCCAGATAAGGAGGATTGGAATACATTGCTGGGGAAATCAGGGCACATCACAGTCACTCTGCGAAGCCTCCTTTGAATTCAACCCGCGATGCCAGCCCAGATTGCATCTCTTTGAATTAATTGTTTGACAGGTTTCGAGCAGCAGCTTGAGAAAGGCTTTTCTGTGAACGCTGGTCGATCTCAGTCTCCAATCTGTTCTCCCTTCCATTAATCTTCCACTGGCTGTCACCAGCACACCAGAGAGGACTGAGCAGACAGCCCCGACCGACCCATCACTTGGCTCAGTCGCTAAAGCTCTCACCTCTGGGTCAGAAGGTTGTGCCGTGGCCTAGTGGTTAGGGAGCTCGCCTCGCAATTCCCGGGGCAATGCGAAAGCTTTGGAAAGTTTTTACACCACGCGCCTCTGTTTCCCCAGCAGTAAGTAGGAACCTGGTTGTTAGTCGATCGGCGGATCGCTTTCCGGGGTAATAACCCCTCCAAAAAATACATTTGGGTCACTCAGTCCACGACCCACGGGTGTGGGACAACACCGTGCACAACTGGCTGCTGCGTTTCGCTCGCAAAATACACAGTCACTACACTTTACAGTATATTCTGTGAAACTCCTCGAGAGACGGCTCAACGACGGCAACCAGAGAAAAGTGGGAGAAGGGAGTGAGGTCTATTTTTAGGTATTTCAGAACAGAATTCTCTGGACAACAGGAATCTTTCCCCCAGTTTGAGGCAAATTCAGTTCTAATAGCAAACGTCCTTTTAAGAAGTTAGTCTCTTTCCAACTTCCTGTGGTTTGGAGGCTCAGTGTCCTGTCTGGATCAATAAAATACCAGGTTATTTTTAGACCATTTGAAACCGCAGACAAGGGGAAGTGCAAATGCCAGGCTCGCTGGGCAAAGCAGCAGCAGGATACACAGGATCCACTAGTCTTTATGGCGTTGATCAAGTCCAAATAAACTGGGAGTACTGGAACATGGCCTGCCTCACCACAACGTACTCTTCAAGACGAGTCTATAAGGCTATTTAAAAGGCAATTTGATAAATACTTGAGGACAAATAATATTTAAAGGGGAGAGAGCAGGGGAATGGGGTTAGAGTGGAGAGCTCCAGTGAGGGAGCGCGAGCACCAGCACAGACAGAAGGGGAAAGGAGCAGGAGGTAATGTCAGTGGTGACGCGATGACCTGAAAATTAGCCTTTTTTTAAGCACGGGACCACACATGGGCACTGAATGAAATCCACACTCCGCTCGTGCTATAACCAAACCAGCCTTCTACCGAAGACCGTTATAAAGACGTTCTTCTGCGGATTGTATCAGAGTCAAGTTCCATTTGGGTTGGCGAACTAGTTACCGGAAAGCGCGCACCATTTGCAACCGGGAGTCCTGGAGAAGAAATCGCTGTCGGAAAACAGCGCATTTTGGACTCATGTACAGACAAGACTTCACCAATAAGAGTACGGTCACACAAGGGGTCAGACACGCGCTCTGGTTAAGAAAAAGCAGTGAAACTTAGGTCACGTCTTTATAGCAGGATTTCCTTTAAGAAGTCAGGATGATCCCAGCCTCGCTCACAAGCACCGGTTAGTAGCATCTCGTCTCGCCCGCCCGCCCGCCCGGATGGCATGCACGCACGAGGAAATGAATGAGGTGAAATGGATACTCACTGAATGGACCGACTGAAGAGGAGAAAAAATAACATGAAAGAAAAACAAGAATGAGATGTTAAGGGAAATTCATGAATGATTATTATACACACAAAGGCAACGTCAGTCACTCTCGGCTTCATTATGGAAAGTGATACACAGATTGGGGGGAGGGGAAGGGGGTAGGGGAAGGGGGGTGAAGAGAGGTGGGGTGGGGGGCTCTAATATGCAACATTCACACCTTAACCTGGCCGTACTCTCCAGGATTTTGCAGTTTGCCAATGGCACATTTTAGACCCAGTGGAGGTGGCAAATGTAAACACGGGCGACCGAGAAAGACTGAATGTAATGAAGAGCCATTCGTTCGCGAAAGCGGAGAGACTGAACGTGCTCAACCCCTCCTCACCACCCCCGCATTAAGCCGCGTCATAATCGTCTTTTAAAAGTATATAAAGGGTCGTGTCAGGGCAGCAACGAGCCATGATGGATACCACACGTCAAAAGCCCAGCAGAGCTCCCCATCAACCTCTGTCCTGGTGATTAATGGCATCCGCTGTGTCCCTGTAGATATCTATCTTATTCTCCATACTGCCCCTGACACCCGCTATTCAAAACCAATTGCTTCGCATCATATTTCAACAAATTTATGTTTCACTCACATCCACAAGCCGCAGAACAATGAGATGATCAGAATCGCAGGCACCCCCCTCCAACCCCCACCCCCCCAGCCCTGACCAGGTAAGCCACAACAGCAACAACAGCAGCTGGCACTCAACAGCTCCGCTTGAAGCAGGGTAGCGGCCCAGAGCGCTTGACAGTGGCGGAGCCTGATGCAGGTTGCCTGGCAGTCAACCACAATAACAAGAGGAAGCGTTGAGCAATAACTGTAAGGATGATTTTAAGTGGGGGCTTCACACGAGGAGAGAAGGCGGGGGGGGGTGCGGTCTGGTCCATCTGCTTCCTGGGTACCATTAAGCTCTCAGCTATCATTCCTTTATTGCAAAGCCTTGCAGACAATCAGACCGTTCTGTGCCGAGCTGACCCTCTAATTGAATCTAATTCACACTCCACATCTCCCGTCTCTCCTGCCCAACGCGAGGAAATCCATCCCACAAACTCCCAGTGCCTCCACTCGCAGCCCACTCCAACCTCAAGTGGGCTCCAGCTGCCGGCACAATCCACTCCACTTGAAAGGGAGTGGGGGGGGGGGGGGGGGGAGTCTGTAATTACTGGCATTATTCCTGAGCTCAAAGAGTAGTGGTTCCACTCCCCCCCCTCACCCACCCCAGTGCCATGTGCCAATTATCACACCGCTGGTAAATGAAACACCAAGGTCAACCTATAACAAGAGTGCATTAGTGTGCCTTCCCTCACCCTCCCCCACTAAAAAAAAACTCCAGGCTTAATATCCCCACCCCCCCCTCTCCATGGCCACCACTTTACCTTCACCCCCGATGCCGTTCACGAATGCCGAGCAATGGTTCCTGGTGCTCCCTCCCTCCAAATTCCTCCCACTCCCACCCGGGAAACTCCGAGCGGGTGTCAATGGCGGAATGAATACCTTACCGTGCACGGTCAAGGTGCCTGAGAACTCCACCTTGCCCACGCTGTTCTCCGCCACACACGTGTAGGTCCCCTCGTCCTCGCTGCCCACCCGGGCGAGACGCAAAGTGTTGTCGCTCTGAATCTCAAACCTGGAGATGCACGAAATGGGAGCAGAGTNAAAAAAACAATAAAACTCAAGACTCAACAACAACAACTGCGCAAAGATGGCGCTTCTGGGGTCCAGTAATGGCCGTCCAGGGCTTTGAGCGGTTGTGAGGTTGAAGGGTGTAAAGGGTCTCTCTCTTTCTCTCCAAGCGCTTACCGTCCACGGGGCAGCTCACCCTCCTCCTTGCGCCAGCGAGTGGTGGGCACAGGGTCTCCCTGGACCTCGCAGTGAAAGTCCACTGTGTCATCCGCCAGCACCACCTGGTTCACTGGCCGCTTGGTGAAGGTGGGTCTCTCTGCAACAACAACCACAGCAACAACAAATGACGTCCCAAAAGCGCTGGACAGTCAGGGGTTTGGACCCGAGCTGGGGGTTGTGATCAGGAGGGGGAGTGGTGTGGAGCGCAAGGAGGGTAAGGAGAGGTGGGTGACCGAAGGCGCGGTAAAGGAGGAGGGTCTCGAGACGAGCCTTGAAGGTGGCGAGGGAGGGAGCGAGGCAAAGGGGACAAACCGAAATCCACACCGATACTGACATCAGTGTCAAAACGGTAGAACAAGAGGTTTGCAGCTGTGAAGGGGAATTTCAGGACAGACACCAGGAAGTGTTTCTTTACCCAGTGATGTTTACAGAGCAGTGGCTCAAACCCTTTCCCCTTCACCTGGCGAGGGACAGACCTCACCACACAGGGACTTGCTTAGGTCAGTCAGCCTCCCAAAGGAGAGCTTCCTGTGCAGGTTGTGTGCGTGTGTGTGTGTGTGTGTGCAGGTCCAAACATGCATGACTATGTGCGTGTTAAACCTATGTTTTTTTACATGCATTTATGGATGTGTGTCCATACCCGTGTGGGTGCGTGTGTTCTCTCCCTGTGTGTATGTGTCGCCCGGATCTCATTAGTTGAGGCCCAGAAATTTGATTTGACTTTGCAGCAACAAATTACACTTCGATAGCGCCCTTCACGTCGAGGATACAGAGGACGAACATTCACTCACCAAACACAACCAGCTCAGCAGTCTCGCTGTCCCTCTCGCCCACCATGTTGGTGGCCGTACACACGTACATCCCGGCATCGCTCTTCCTGGTGTCGGAGATCATCAGTTTCCCTCCTCGGATCTGAGGGAGGAATTGCCAGAAGGTCAGCACGGGGGGGGGGGAGAGAGAGAGAGAGAGAGAGAGAGATTCCCTGTATCCCCGGCACCGTCAGAGAGGCCTGAAACCATCTGCAGGTGTCCCTGACGTCCGGACACAGCGCCGAGTGGACACACACCTGAACCTTCCTTCACAGGTTAAAGGGAGACTCAATCCACCGAACTGTCAGCCTAACATCAACTGTGCACCAGAGAGCGCGAGTGGTGCGAGTCCGAGAGTGCTCCAGCGGGGGGTGTGGCAAAGAGCGTCAATAACAACGACAACAGGGTCCTTCCTCCCCCTCGCCCCCACCCCTCACCCCCACCCCTCACCCCCACCCCTCCCCCCCACCCCTCCCTCCCTCCCTCCCTCGCTCGCTCGCTCGCTCACCGTCACCCGCTCCTCTTTGTCGTCGATCCTCGCTCCGTTCTTCTTCCAGGAGATGCTGGGCTCGGGGTGGCCGCGGGGGGGCAGACACTCCATCACCGCAGGCTCTCCCGCCGCCACCACGATGTCGCTGGGCGTCTGGCGGAAATCATCCCGCAGGACTGCGGAAAGAACCGGGAACGCCGTTAGCGGGAGAGTGCAATTCTCTCGGGACCTGGGTGGGAGGGGGTGGTGGGGGGGGTGGGCTACATTTGGTGGATCAGACGTTAAACCGAGGCCCCTTCTGCCTGTTCAGATGGACGTTAAAGATCTCCCGCAGCGCTATTGGAAAAGGGAACTTCTCTCTCTCTGTTTCTCTCTCTCTCTCTCTCCCGCTGTCCTGACCGACAATCCCCCACGGCTGTTTGTGGGACGTCGCCGGGCTGCAAATATGCCTGCTGCGTCGGCTCTCAAAATACGCACAGTCACTACACTTTGTCGTGCATCCTGTGAAGTGCTTCGAGATGGTTCGACAACATAATAATAATAATCACAATGTCAAATATCAAAGGCAAAGATTGTCTTTTAATCTCTTTGGACGTGGGTCGCAAAGGTTTCTCTGTCCAACCTCACCACACCCTCGGAAAAATAACAGAGAGACACGATACCCCTTCTCCACCCCTTCCCCCCCCCACACACATACCCCCCCCCCACACACACCCACACACAGTCTAATTCAGGTGAGAAAACTTTCTAGTCTCATTCTATCCAGGTTGGTCCGAGCCCATGAAACACGTCAGCGTTTCAGACCGAAATTCTTTGAGAAAAGAGATTTTCTGCGTCTCCGAGCAGAAATGATGGCAGACGGCAAGTTAAGCGATTTCAGGTTTTGTTGCTCGCTTACAGAAACAACCTAATCAGCATCTATCAGTAATTCGCCTATTTATTCATGCTTTAAAACAAACAGCTCCATTAGCGAGTATAATGTCTCCCGTCCACCCTTGATCTGCCTGTGTGTTCGTCGTTCCTGCAGTCTGTGGCAGGTGACAGCACCCTGATTCCAACCCTGCATCGGTAATTCAATTTACCCTCTGCTATTCTGAATTAATGAATATTCCCGATCAGATGGATGGATGAGGCAAACATTCATTACCCAAAGTAAAACCTGTCATGGCACACAGTCAAAAAAGCATTCGGAGGATTAAAGTGGATTCATGGCTTGTAACCAGCATATATTACAGCAATGGGCAGCCCAGCAATTAATTACATCTATTGGACACTTTGCCAGACGTCCCCTGGGAAAGCTGGGACAGCGAGCTATTGTTCTTTGTGCCTTTGATTGAGGAGTTACCCAACGCTGGTTTGAGCTGCAGCCTCTCTAGAAAGAAGAGTCAGTTCGTTTTGCCTTTCAGGTCGTTTCCCCCGTGATCCTGTGCGAGTTTGCCTTTCTCCCACATGGAGACTTTGGGATCAGTGCAGCCTGACACTCCTGTACTGTACCGGGGGAACACTGTATTGTCGGAGACCCCGTCCTTCGGATGAGACGTTAAACCGAGCTCCCCGTCTGGCTGTTCAGGTGGACGATAAAGATCCCACAGCAGCATTCAAGAAGTGAAAGGAATTTCTCTCTCGGTGTCCAGGTCAACAATTGCTCCCCCCACACAACCCCTCAACCCACCCACCCTCAAACACCCCACCCTCAACCCCCCCCACCCTCAACCCCCCCACCCTCAACTCACCCACCCTCAAACACCCCACCCTCAACTCACCCACCCTCAACCCCCCCCACCCTCAACCCCCCCCACCCTCAACCCCCCCACCCTCAACCCCCCCCACCCTCAACTCCCCCACCCTCAACCCACCCCACCACCCCAGATAAAATTGGCTGTTCACTTCATGACTGTGTGGGGATCGTTGCTCTGTACAAATCTACTGCTGCTGTTAATTTGTATTATGAGTGATGTGCAATTATCTGCACCGGTTACTTATACGCAGTCGGTGTGATTAATCATCTCTCTATTTATCAATAACCACACTCATCAATAAGTTTTGTTCCTGTCTGACTCTTTCATTTGAGTTGTTGAAGGTTATTTTATTAGGTATCAAATTCTACCTTGATTTATTGACGCAAAAAATCCCCCCCCTTCCCCCACACACCCCAAAAATCCCCGGGTGTTTTTTTTTATGAGTACAACCCAATTTGAACGGTCTTTTACTGATCTTCTAATCCCATTTCCTGCTTTTTGTGGTGACTGCTCTGTCTAATTCGGTTAAATTGGATTCGGTACACCAGTTGTGTCTCTGTTTGTGAATATCAATTTGTGGCTTTTTTCCAACTTTCGGGGGGAATTTCACCAAAAAACGTATTTTACCGTTTGATATAGCGACTTATCACGTTGTTGAGACGTCTCAAAGCGCTTCGCAGGATGCGCTGTAAAGCGGAGTGACTGTGTATTTGTGGGCGAAACAGATACATGTTATATTTAACATATCATTAATGATTACTATTAACACTGTTGTCAATATTATAAATTAACATATTATATAGCTGTTTCATGGGTTTGATTCCAGCGTTTCTGAAGTGTCAGAGTATCTCTTCACGGTCAGAACAGCAGTAGAGACTTTTATCAGGAACCAAAACAAAGGGGGGTAATTTTAAAGAAAAGCAAAATAATCTTATATCAAAAGACTATATATGTATATATATATATATAAGGAACTTGCACTTTTATAGCATAACATCTCAAAAGCCAATTGCTGCGAAATGCAGAGAGCTTTTTGTAGGCACAAGTGACAGCCATTTTGTCCTGAAAAATAGCCAAGAGGTGAATGAATGAGCCATTAAATGGGGAGGATTGTGGGGCCGGGAACACACTCCCTGCGCATCTGTAAACCAAGGCCTTGGGCTGGGAAGTGAAAGGGGGTTTAGTCCTCCTCTCCGCAGAGTCGCAGGTCAAACTGGGAGATATCAAGGAGGGCTCGTGCCACGGGGCTGAGAGAGACGCTCCAGCACTGAGAGTTGCTCCATGGTTCTCGCTCCCCAGACAGCTGTGGTGTGTACCTGAGTGAAACCAGTTGCTATGAGCTGCAGGGCAGCCTGTTCCTTCGGGAGCGTTGGGCCTGCAAGGCCATTAACCTCCTTCACAGAGAAAACGCACGGGCCAATTAAGACCATTCGCGTCCAAATCCACAGCACCGACTGTCCCATCCCACCCCATCCTCCACAGCCACTCAACGCAGACCTGGAGGAGGGGAGGCAGTGTTGGGAGAGGAATAGCAGCTAATCACTAGTTATCTGGCTGATTCTGGTAGGAACTCTCATCCTGTCAGTGTCTAACAGGCCGCTGAAGAGCTGCCAAAATATTTTTTAAGAGGCATTTTTCACTTTGACGCAGATGGTAGATTACTGTGTGTAAATGTTTCAAAGCTGGTTCTCTCTGTCTTGAGCACAGACAGCACTTACACTCTGCTTCGAGGTGGGTGGGGGGTGGGGGGAGAGGGGAGGTTAGACTATTCCCGGTTGTTAAGCAGTCGTCTGTATTTGGGACCTGGGATAAAAGCTGTCAGGTTCCCTTTTTCTGACCCCGGTGAGGTGGGAAGAGAACATATTTCACCGTTCATGTTAGATAACGTTTCAAAGTGTTTTACAACGACAATGTGTGGATCACCGAGCAGGTTTGGGAAGACGGGAGCTAGAAATGTTGACTAAATGCAGGGCTAAAGAGAGAGGTTTTCAACGGGTTTTGAAGGTGAGGAGACAGGTTATGAGGCTAAGGATTTTAATAATAATTATACTAATAATATCATACGACTACCACTAGTAATAATCCTTGCAGTTCATATAGATCCTTTCACATCAGGACAAGAACAACGACAACATATTTTATTTGTATAGTGCCTTTCACATCGGGAGGATGTCCCAAACCGCTGGACATCTCAAAGCGCTTCACAGGATTTACCGAAAAGTGTAGTGACTACGTGTTTTGTAGGTGAACGCACAGTCGATTTGCACAGAACATTATCCCACAAATAGGCATGAAGTTAATGAACGACCTTATCTGGGGGATTGTTGGCCAGGACACTTGGGAGAGAAAATAGCGCCGTGGAATCATTAACATCCACCCGCACAGACAGACAAAATGGAAATATTCAAGGCTACGGACGCAGATAAGAGAGCTGAGGCCTGAAATTCCACACAGACCATTAAACCCAGTACGAACTTGGGAGGCCAATTAGCCTGTCTTCAGACCATTTGTCTTACCCAGTCCTAAAGAGAAATGAAGGCAGGAGAAGACAAAACGGTTTGACGGCTAATGGGCCTCAGTGAAGAGATCTTGATGGGGATGGCAGAGAGAAGGACGGAGAGAGAGAGAGAGACGGACGGGCGAGGAGGGGGTCATTATCGGTAGAGGTTGGGAGTAAGGTCAGTGCAAGCAAACAGGGTCGTCGGGCAGCGTTTAAGGAACATCTGGGCCAGCTCTTGTAAGAGGCCCGTCAGGGGCCTGACACACTCCAGCACGTACAGTAAACAAGGAACTGATTGCGCTAAACAAATAAAGGCTTTAGCAAGAAGCAAATTATCACCATCTGCTGACGGACGCCACCCAGCAAGGCCGGTGAGCAGCACAGATGGGAAGGGAGCTGAGAGTAAACGTGACCGTGTGCTGAGAACACAGAAGGAGAGGAACTCGCAAGTCGCAGCACCTCGAATAAAGGGCGAAATGCCTCGCAAAATAATCGATTTGGAATTTTTCAATGTTTTTTTTGCGACACGAGCGGAAACCCATCACCGTGCTTAAGGGTCTCGAAACCAGACTGAGATTTCCGTGTACAGGGTGTTCACAAAGTCCTGTTACCCCCCCCACCCCACCGCCGCCGCCCTGTGTGTGTGTATTTTTCTTACAAAGCATTTTTATTTTCTGTTGAAGAAAGACAAGTGGAGTGTAACAAGGTCTGGTCCTCATAACTTCCTCCTCACTTGCTCCATGTGGTGGATGTTGCACTGAACATGGTGACGGATCATTATCTGCCATGAAAATGAGGGCGCTCACACACACATACTCGCACACACACACACACTCACACCATACACACCACCCACACACACACACTCACACCATACACACCACCCACACACACGCACTCACACCCACACACACTCACTCGCACGCCCGCATACCGA